GAAGGACATACTTACCACATAAACACCAGCATGCCGTGAAGATGGTGAAAATAGAACGACATTGCCTTGAACTTCGCCAAAGTGAACTGACAACGATCAGCTGCCTTTGCGCGCGCGATAATTGTGCGCATGTCCGGATATGGCCAAACGGGCGATCAGAAAGGTCAACATCTGGCTTGTGTTTGAAAGCAAATTGTCGGGAATTATACAATTTCACAGTTTTGTGGGAAAATATCAAATGTAATGCAATTTGGATAACTGATGACTTTATACCTAAAACTGCGATTTACGTAATATTTCCGTCCGTTGATCGATGCACAATCAAATAATATATAAGATTATATCTGTCACTAGCTCGATCTTGATCTTTTTATGAAAATAATGTTCGAAATGATAGTTTGCTAAGTTGGATACCTATTACCAATATGAATTATGTATCAAATTTGCCAAAGGAAACAATTAGTTGACATTTTGTTGGTTCCTTACGTTGAAACAACGTTGACAACTAAACGAATCTCGACTAACTTTCTTTGGTCGCATGATAAACGTTGAATCAACGTTTATGAAAGGTTGATCAACCAAACAACCAAAATTCAACGTTGATTCAACGTTGTGTGCCCACTAAGGTCCACTTCTCGGGCGATCGTTGGTCAAATTGAAGTTGTTTGTAGCGGCTCCAAAGTCGGGATATCGTTGTTTTGTGAACATTTAGGTGCCGTGCATAATATATGCGTAACGTGTTTACGATTTCTACAAGCAATTGTTTTCTGATCAAACGAATTTTTTCGTATGCACTTTGTCATTGTAGCCCCCATAACCATAGTGACTGCGTTTAATACCAGACATTCCCTCGGGAAACATTTCTTGGAATCATTCAAGCCGTTGGTACTGCATTAGTGTATCAATATAGAATGTTTTTACCGAGATGTCTTCAATAAACGTAAATACACATTATGAAAAGTAATACAATAAACTTCGGTTATAATGAACTTTATTTAAGACATTTCTGATTTTGTTTCTTAAAACCGAAGTGTGTGACAGACATTTCGACTAAACATGCATAGTCACAGGACCCATGACTCCGGGACCAAAACAAATCCGTTGTATCCTATAGTTCCTCATAAGGGGGGTTCGTTATAAACGAGTTTTACTGTATTACTTATGGGTGTGACTTGCATGTATTGCGAGGCGAGGCGAAATTGGGTTTAACGTCGTGCTTGGGAATATTTCACTCATATGACGACGTGCATGCGTGTGTACGTGTATGTGCGGCTGCTTGTACTATCCCAGACTGAAGCTGGTTTTGTAGTGCTAGCCCACTGAGATACCATGCCGCAGTGAAGCATGATTATCCCACTCAGACACATTATACTGACTCCGAGCCGACCAGTCCTTGTTGTACCCATTAATGCCGAGCGCCAGGCAGGGACCAACAAGTAATGACATTGCATGTTATGACAATAAGTAAAAGTAAGTAAAGCGAGCATAGCATAGGCATCTACACGCTGTATGTGATCAATTCACTGTTACCTAGATCCGGACAGAGGCTAAGTGAGCAGGTCCTTGGAAGCCAGAGTTCGCTGACTTTCTGGTTGAATAGTGGCGGCAATGTCCTTGTCACCGTCACCGTGACGCCAACGTTCATGACACGTGCCAATATAGAGCTCTCCCATGTAATGAGCTGAAACAATTTGGCACCGGCAACCATGACGGCACTGGAACAATTGTTCTTTTTTTTTGTTATTAATATTTTATTTGCTGTAAACAATATTTCTTCCATTGATCTACCTGTTGTGGACATAATGTTTCAAGAGATTAAAAGTTTTGGTTAGTTTTCAAAACTTTACACATAAAGATAAACAATTTAGCTAAAAGCAACACTAAGTCAAATACATCGTCATATATATATATATATATATATATATATATATATATATTCCTTCAAGCTAAACAGAATACGTTGAAGATCAAATTTCAAATTATGAATATGTTGGCATGTCATAAAGTTTAATAGTGATTGACAGAAGCTTCGAACGTGTTTCCACTCAAAAACTAAGTGAACTATAGTTTCAACTTCACATTGATAAAAGTGCATAAATTGCTTTCAGCTAAGTTGATATACATAAAAGGGAGTTAGTTGTATAATCTTGTGAATGTTTCAGAACTAAAATCATGTCAATTTAGTATCTAAAGTAGCCTTTAGTGGTTTTACAAATATTTTTTCCTGCTCTAATTCAGTGAGAACACATCCTCGCTACTTATGTTTAACTTTAGTGAGTATTACATGCATTCAAGATAACATGATAACACCTAGCACCTTTCTTAATTGATAACAGTGTCCTGACAACAGGGTAATCATCCAGTTGGGCAAAAGATGTGGGTCTTTTTTCCCACTTATCCTGGTATTTCGTTACAGCTTGGATCAACCGTTGATAATGAAGGCAGTTGATATTAAGTTCAAAGGTGTATTGAGTGAGTGAGTGAATTTAGTTTTACGCCACACTCAGCAATATTCCAACTATATGGCGGCGGTCTGTAAATAATCGAGTCTGGACCAGACAATCCAGTAATCAACATCGTGAGCATCGATCTGCGCAATTGGGAACCGATGACATGTGTCAACCAAATCAGCGAGACTGACAACCCGATCCCGTTAGTCGCCTCTTACGACAAGCATGGGTTACTGAAGATCAATATTCTAACTCGGATCTTCACGGGTACAAAGGTGTGTTGGAATTGCTCAAGTGATAGGTAGTCTCGTACATTGCTGACGCCTCTATCAAACCGTGTAGAATGAAAAAATAACCTCTTTACAAATAGCGATGTCTTTGCTGTAAAATACAGGTTCTGTTATAAAGTCATAAACTAATTCAAGCTGTATTTTCTTTGAGAGCTTAGCAAAGGCAATGACAGCGTCGAACTAAACCATTATTGAGTTTTAATGTTTTAGCTGGAAAAGCATTGCCAAATATGGCTCGATTTTGACAGTGAGGAAAATAAGTAAAAAAAGAATATTTTCCATTTAGATTCATTTGTGATATCCAACAGTTCTCTTTACCAAGATAGCTTCAGTGAATTTACATAGGAAACGTCGTCTACCTTTACAGATATGCACATTTAATCTTATCTGATTTACAATTCCATAACATTTTATACAACTCCTTTGGGAAACGACCGGATGGTAGTGTCAGAATACGTCATTCAATTTTGAGTAACGTCTTGGTAATAGGAATCCTTCTACCGTCGGCAACCTTGACGGCACTGGAACAATAGAGAACCGACAACAATGGCGGCACCGGCACCAAACTACGACAGTATGCTGGAATATTGCTAAAAGCGGCGTAAAACCATACTCACTCACTCACTCACTACGACAGTAATGCAGTGACGTTTCAACAATCGTGACGTCAGTGGAAACATGACATTTTAAACCTAAGACATATTAATGGGTTTTGTGAGAGCTATGCAAGCTTAGAAACCAAAGCAGTTTTAACAAATGACGATAAAATACCTGTGAACCAATTGTATCAACGTTCTTTGTTGAGTGAGTGAGTGAGTTGGGTATAACGCCCTTTTCATGTAGGTCCCTGGCGTTTACAAATTTGGATCCAACGGGCAAGAATATAGCGGTGACAGACCAAGAAAAATAAACATGTTCTAACCCATGGTCATAGGTTTCTGGGGTACCTCAGATATGTAATCCCTCACAGTGAACTGCGGTGCCTTAACCCTTTGCAGAAAGTCATATAGGAAACTGCCATAACCAGTAACCTTTAAGAAACACACCCTTTCTTTATTGAGCAGGACCTTGCTCGCCTGAACAGACAGCTTGACAAGAAATATTCTTAAGCTTTAACGATGATTAAAACTTCGCAATCAATAATACCAATTTATTATTCTTCTAACATGACACTATTTCTTGCATATCTCTCCAAAACTCGAAGCATATTCCTGATTTTTTGCAAACTTGTTCTTTCAATTTCCTGATTGCTCTGTTTCATTTCCCGTGGATCCGCAATGTTGTGCTACTCATCTCCTGTGTGTGCAGGATGTGATGTGTGTCGATGCACCAGGATCCGATGTGGAAAGGAATCCTCTCAAATCCAATGATATTAAAGACGACAATGACAGAGAACAAACAGTCTCGGTTGTCTGCCGAATCAGATTCATGCGTACGAGCCACGTCGCTGCCAATACGTCATAGCGACCGTTTCGGTGAACACCAAAACGTCTAGAAACAACGTTATGTGCAATTCCGGTTTCAAGCATTCCCTTTGCACACAACCACTCATTTTCAAATATGTGTGGCGTAACTTTTAGAAGGTTTGGCCAAGTATTTTTTAAAGAGTTTAATCACTTCAACGTTTCAATCTTCTCGGGCCTCAATCTTCACGGGTGCATGTGTGCTGTGAATGTGTGAGGTATGTTTTCACTCCTGGCGACTTTTTTGCATGCAGTGACCTAGATGCACGTGCAATATCACCGCCATCATGAGCCATGAAAAAAAGGTTTGTACAGTTTCATGTTTGATGGAAATTCCAGGACAATTCCATTTCAATGTGATAGTATTTTAGGTGCAGAGGATTTTGTCGCCAGAATTTATTAAGCTGACTCTATGGCATAATTGAGGTGCTGTTCTTTATGACCTTGAACCCAGAAATTCACACATTCACTCGTGTTTTACTTGAGGATCAAAGGCACTATTCCCATGTATATATATATATATATATATATATATATGCAATAATTAATTTAAGTACGTACACTCACCTGCAGCAATAGTCCAGCATGGTGACTCAAGAAACAGTTTTCGCATGGAAATGGAAACGAACCTAGGCCTGCAGCCCGACTGAACTAACACTTGGGCCAATAGGCGCTCGACATGGTCAGAGCCATATCACAAAAGCTGGCCATCCAATCACCATTAACAACCAGCCGAGATAAGTCCATGGAATCCTCAGGAGACATAACAATGAAGACAATACACAATCAACAACCTCTGTGATTCAGTGTCATTTATTCCATGCCAGATTCTTGTAAACAAAAAGAACAACGGACGGAGAGTAGATTGAGTGAAAGGGTGAGTATTGTGTTACCCTGCTTTTAGCAATGCTTCAGCAATATCATTGGGAAACTAGAAATGAGATTCACACATTGTGCCCAGTTCAAGAATTGAACCGGGTCTTTGACATGACTAGTGAATGCAATCCACCACCCAGTCAGTAGAAGGCACAACTTAAAACACAACATTTACAAAACATGAATTCTTACTTCTAAACATTATACATACAGCAAAGAGAAACATTACACTGTAGACCCCTAAAGAACATGAAAGCACTATTGCTGTTTATGTCACACAGCATTCAGTTTTGAGTACATGTCTCAGAAGTATGCCAAATGCCACCAAATTCTGAAATATGGTCATTCCAACATACATCCATTTGTACGTCTGTGATTGTTTTTATTTCCAGGAAGAATCAAACACAAGCAGGCATCTTGGCAAAAAGAACCTGTAAATTACAAAATAAGTTGGTTTTACAATAGATAATATCAAATAGGTTGCACTGTTAAAAAAGCATGTAAAAATAATGGAAATATAAACAGAGTATGTGAGGCTAGATGCGATTTTGACTCCCTGATTAAGTTTTCTATTTTTTTGCTAAACTGACTAGTGCCACAGAAATATAATCATAAATTCTGTTTATTTAATAACAGCAAATTACTTTTAACCAGTTTCACTAAATCTTCACACAGTTTTTGAAACAAAAACTCTATTGATATGCTGCATTATGAACATTACAGAAACAAAACATAATGCAGTATCGATACTTGTAAGTCACGCCAGAAAAAAAGCAATTCAATATTGATACTGGTAGGTGACAACGGGTGTAACAGAAAACAGTATCAATACTTCTAGGTCACATGAGACATAACACAATGCAGTACAGATACACGTAGGTCACACGCCTGTGCATTCGTGTGTGTGTGTGTGTGTGTGTGTGTGTGTGTGAGAGAGTGAGAGAGAGAGAGAGAGAGAGAGAGCCCAATATACATTTATATGGGACTGATAAGTGCATATGCACATTGAAACTTCATATTTATGTCAGTGTGACAACATAAAAGCTGTCACACACAATATATTCATATAATTCTAATCAATTTCCATATTGACCCAATGACCGAATTGCAATGCCTGTGACAATGACGATCAGCAAACAAACCATTGACAATACGCCTCACTGGTAAAGGGAAGTAACTCTAAATTCCTACTTCACTGACAACTAGATCCATTACCAAACAAAGGATTTTCTAGCCAATTCTACATCTCGGTTTATATACAACACACTCACATGAACTGTTTAGGAAAGGAAAGTATTATATTAAATTCACATCTGTCATTTAGTTCACAGTAAGCTCCAGAGAGATGCAATCTGGGAGGCAAGGTCGCTCACCCTTTCACCAACACCTAGTATAAGCATTATCTGATAGAAATCCATTGAAAACTGTTTATTATATACTTGGAATCGTACAATGGACTGTGCTTGTAGTGGAGATTTATCAGTATTGAAAGGATTTTGTTATTTAATTCGCATTTCTCATATGGGTGATATATAGTGTTAATTGTCCAACAAATATTTTAACAGTTGAAAAACATCCACAACTTGTAAACATCTGCTTGGTTTGGTTGCTTCTCTTGTACAGAAGCTGTTTAGAAAAAAATGAACAGGCTAAAACAAACTATAAACTATCTGTCCTTTATGAATAAATGACATTCAAAGCTGCGAATTATGGCAGACTTTCAGCGGTTACACACAATCTGATAATCTATACTAGTTATCTGTAAAGTTTTGAGAGGGGTAATCTTTTAAATACTGATTTCAGAGAGAAAATGAAACAAAATCCACAATAACTGTCAATGAGGCGTCCTATTGTTCAAATGATGTAATGACTTTATGAAATATGAAATATATATTTTCTTCTTACATTATCCTCAACAATGAAGAGACCGCCTCCGTGGTGTAGTGGTTAGAGCGTCCGCCCGGGAGAGCGGAAGGTCGCGGGTTCGATCCCCGACCGCGTCATACCAAAAGACGTTAAAATATGGTACTTGTTGGTCCCTGCCTGGCGCTCGGCATTAATGGGTACAAACAAGGACTGGTCGGCTCGGAGTCAGTATAATGTGTCTGAGTGTGGTATTCATGCTTCACTGCGGCATGGTATCTCAGTGGGCTAGCACTATAAAACCAGCTTAAGTCTGGGCTAGAACAAGCAGCCGCACATACACATACGCATGCATGTCGTCATATGAGCGAAATATTCTCAAGGACGAAGTTAAACCCAATTTCACCTCACCTCACCTCAACAATGAAGAACTATTATGTAGGGATGGCTAAAAATATTGACAATGAGGAATGTCATCAATAGGAAACCTATTATCAATAATCGATTGATATTGAGGTAACAATTACCAATATCTGTGATCTGTATAGACAGCCAGCCCTACTGTTATCACATACATTTTCACTTGACTAATCAATACTGAGAAAATGTACAGATAAGGAAAGTTATAACACAGTATCAGGAATGTTATAACACAATATCATTCGATATATAATTGTGGGTAAAATTAGAAAAATATGAGATGCTACAAATAGAAAAAAATATGAGATGCTACAAATAGTCCTGTTTTATGTAGGAAATGTAAAGTCAAAGAGGATGAATGCTGATGGAGATAGAGAAACCAGTTTGAAAATTATATACTGAGGGCAACAAGTAAGGGAACACATGACAGTACAAGTGTTTGTTATTCTTTTCCATGTTCCTAAATGCTGGCTTTGTGTGGCATTGAGGGTAAAAATCTGAGAACTGATAAAGGAACATTGTAATGAAGTGTTGTTCCCTTATTTCATTCTGTATTTAGACATTAAGAAATGCTGTAATTTTCGGTGCCACAGCTTACAAAGGAATGATAACCTGAACAGTAGTTTCTGGAAGAACTGTCCGAGGGGCTGTTCCAAAAATGCTACAGGTAATCGCAATAATGTGCCATGCAATGTCATGTCATGTCACATGTCACCTCATCACATGTCATGTCACCTTATATGTCATGTCACATGTCACCTCAGGTCAGGTCACCAAACGTCATGTCACCTCATGACATGTCGTGTCACCAAATGTCATGCCATGTGACATGTCATGTCGAATCACATGTCGTGTCACCTCATGCCATGTCACCAAATGTCATGTCATGTCCCCTCATGTCATGTCGTGTCACCTCATGTCATGTTACCAAATGCCATGTCACATGTCATCTCATGTCACCAAATGTCATGTCACGTCACCAAATGTTATATCATGTTACCAAATGTCATGACATGTCAAATGTCACTTCATGTCATGTCATGTCACATCACATCATATCACATCACGTTATGTCACATCACATCACACCATGTCACATCAAAACAGTCACTATTACACAACAAAGGGAGAAATCTCACAGCATGAATACAGCAACACATTGTGTGAGTCAGCAACACGTGTGAGTCAGCAACACATTGTGTGAGTCAGCAACACGTGTGAGTCAGCAACACCAGGTAGTTGTCACACATATAACGTCCTCCCTGGTATAAACACTCCAGATCAATATACATATATCACAGCTGCCACATCGGCAATATACTTACACCAGCAACGTAAAAATAAACAGTGAATTAATATCAGCTATTATGACCAGTCACCCTGAGAGGAAAAATACAAGGGTTTCAAACCCTCGACATACATAAGTAGATATACAGGTTGATGTAGGGGAGAATACATGTCACTTGACTGAACAGTGCATAGTCCCCAACATAGCTGAGGACTTTGGTCCATAGGTTCATCTTGTATTATCAAGAAGTATCAAATCCCTGAAGAAGTAATAAATCTCTTTCAAAGAAGTATCAAATCTCTTTATAAATCTTTATATCTCCTTTAATGAGATATCAAATTACTTTTTAAGAAGTATCATATGTTTTTAAAAAGTATCAAATCTCGTCCAAAAGAAGTATCAAATCTCTGACAAATCCAACACATTGGCATGGTGTAATAATAACACCTTGTACTAATCAGTATCAACCAAAAACACTGCTGCATTAACTGTAAAAACAAAATGCCCTGTCATATCACAGAGGCAGGTCCAAGGAATCTTAAATGTGTCTTACTGCAAAGCTTCAAGACTGTATCAAGAATAATATGTGTGAGAAGACACAGACTTAAAATCAGTTACATACGTGCAGCCCCAATGACTCACTTCAAGTCCCAGACATCACAAATATCGCCTTGTGTCAAATGAGACGTAATAAGATAACCTTTTACTATTAGTCTAAACTTGATACTTGCAGACATATAAAGTGTACACTGAATGGCTAAATTTAATCCCACTCTGTTGATAATCCTATCTATGCCTTGGGACATTGTTTCATAAAAATAGTTATAATTATCATTAGGACTCATGGAATGTCTGTGGAATCGTAGGAACACTTCTTGAAAATAAGTAGGTGACAGTGACCCACTTTCCCCCCAAACCAAACTTTTGAGTAATATCGAAATATGTGAACTGTTTTACGATGAAAAATATTGCAGCTATATCACAGCATGTGAGGGCGAAAGTGATGCTGGTCTTGGATCAAAATGGTGAAATCCACACGCAAAGGTATGGATTCTTATTGCCGAACATAGATCACATGATATCGCAGGTTTGCCTTTTCCACTTTGAAATGATTTCTGATTGGCTGATCAGATCACATGACATTGCAAGCTTGCGAGGTCTGTCTCTTCAGAGTTTTCTTCACAGGTATGGGATCAGGTTTGGCAATTTCTGCCACCTGGTCTTCCTCTTCATCTTCATCATCACTGTCATCATCATCATCGTCATCGTCATCATCATTATGTTGAGATTTTTTGCCTGAATAAAAATATAGCAAGGTCAGTCACATTGGACAATTAAGTATATACAAGCTTTGTATAAGGTGTTATATAGTAACTTTTTTTTTCTTTTTTTTTTATTCATCTTTTTTTTAGGTACAAAAACATGACATCAAATCAAAACCAAATATAAAGTTTGTATACAGAGTTTGGAGGTATCTTACATTGACAAGCATATCCTAACAGATGAGTGAGTGAGTTTAGTTTTACGCCGCACTCAGCAATATCCCAGCTATATGGCGGCGGTCTGTAAATGATCGAGTCTGGGCCAGACAATCCAGTGATCAACAGCATGAGCATCGATCTGCGCAATTGGGAACCGATAACATGTGTGAACCAAGTCAGCGAAACTGACCACCCGATCCCATTAGTCGCCTCTTACGACAAGCATAGTCGCCTTTTATGGCAAGCACATGGGTTGCTGTCCTAACAAATGACATTGTAGGAATAAGGATCATTTGTACATTAGTACCAATCAAACAGTTGATGGCAATCAGACCAGAATCCAACAAATTTGGTAAAGTTACAAGAAGGGATGGCCTGTGTTCTCTCGATATTGTACATTTTACTTATTTCCTTCCAGATATGTAGTAACTTCATAATGAACTGACTTTATACTTTTGGAAATCAGCTATAGGAAATGTCATATTAGAATAAATTAGTTCAATGATTACATTTACAGATTATATCTATATTGTCATTGGTAGAGGGTCACATGACCTGCTTGAAAGCAGGTTACTGCCATGAGACCCATTATATGTTTCAGCCAATGGAGTCAAAGGAGAGAAATACTATCAGCCAATCAGTAAGAGGGTAAGACAAAACTTGTGAATCTCTAGCTGTTTCCTGTGATATCTGGTGATTCAATCATTGAAGTGGAACACTTTCATGGATAGACAACTTCTTTGTTGCAGTAGTGATTCAATCATTGTTGAATTTGTTGCTTATTTTAATTGAAATATAGTTGTTTAAGATATGATGTACTAAGATATACAACCAACAATAATAACGGAACTGATGAAATCACAGTGAATGTGTAATCGCTTTAAATGTCCACAAATTCAATTTCGGCCGTGAAGTTTAATATCTGGTGTGTCCACCATGTTGGGCGACACGTACACGAGACTTTGATGGAATGCTGTTGATTAACCTCCGGATGGTTGTCTGTGGTTTTGCCCGCCATTTCCGCCCGAATTACTACGCTACCCCAAGCTGGGCCAGGCTGACGGGTGCGGGGTCCCTGGCGTACACCCTCCGGCCAAGAACGTCCCACAGATGTTCAATTGGTTACATGTCTGGGGACTGTCCAGTGAGGGCCAGTCCAATGTCTGTACCCTCTCATCGGAGATAAGCGGTGACGACTTGGGCACGATGTGGTCTGGCGTTATCATCTTGGAATTCAAACCTCCTGCCAGTAATTCTAGCCAGTGGAGCCACAACAGGACGCAAAATTTCGTCAACATATCGCTGACCAGTCAACTGTCCATTAACGATGACCAAATCGTCTGTCATGTGTAATACCGCATCACACCATGACACAACTGCCCCCATACTGACCATGGTCAAAAATTGCCATTCTGGCATACCGCTCACCACTCGCACGGTGGGCGAGCTTGCTAAGGCTAGTGATCCAGCGAGGTTGAGGTGTCGGGATCGAGCCCACCTGTGACCGGGTGTAAAAACCTTGGTGTCAACTTTGTGTGCAGACTCTTTCAGTGTTGTCACAACCCCTAGTGTACAGTACACAACCCCGTGCATTTAAAAGAACCCACAAATCCGTTGGTATATCCGTTGGAATACTTGCAAACACCTAGTTGCGGGTACAGCAGTGTGCAGTGAACATGGACAAAATACTGTGACTCTGTGTCCCATGGGAACCTCGTTAGGATGAGAAAGTCACAATAACTCAGTGCGCCTAGTGGCTGCAAGAGTTGTATACTCCCCAGGGAGTTGAGATTGATAATACAATGTGCCGTTGAGATTGACATCCAAAGATCGAGGGGAAAATACCAGCGCCTTGAGCATGCACTAGTTGCCTGGATATGTGCGCTATATAAATATCCTATAATAATAATAATAATAATAACAACGTTTTCTGCAATCTGTGAATTGGAGGCAAAACCTTGACTCATCCAAGAACATGGTGTAACGCCAATGGCGCAACGCCCGTACCTGATGCTGCCTAGCCCACACCAATCTTTGGTGCCTATGGTGAGCTGTGATGGTGCCACCCTTCACTGGCCTACCTTGCTTTCAGACGGGCTTGATACTCGCTTCTTAACGGTTGATACTGTAATTCGTCGTCCAGTTATTGTAAGGAATTCCCTATTGATAGCAGGTGCTGATTTGAACCTATGGTAAGGGCCGTTAATGTAAAGAGACGATACTGTCTCGGTGCCGTTGATTTCGGTCTACCACGCCCAGGTCTCATTGCACCCCGTCCATTTGACGGTACTTGTCCCACAGGCGTGAAATTACACTTTTTGATTTACCCAACATTCGGGCAACTTGGCAAAGAGGTGTTCCCCCCTCTATCATACCCACAATTCTCCATTTTTTCTGTTCATTGAGATACTGCATTTTTCAGCGTGTGTTCAGCTCAATTGCAATAGTGATTGTGAGTTCTCCAATAGGTGGTAACAGTTTAGCTTCTGTGTGCACGTGCATCACGTGTTGTTCATGCATCATGTGGAATTTCATTGTGATTGGATGTTGCATTCAGCTGCAATGCCATGGTATTGCACACGTACACCCCAACGTTGGCTGCATTCTAATTCTTAGTTCCCTTATTTTTTGTCGGTAGTATATTACTGCTGGCTCAGGTCAATATCAGTTTCTTTGCTCCACAAAACATGATCACTAAATGCACTTATGTATGATCAATAATTAATTAATGTTTTTTATGCTTAAACTGATCAATTAAATTCATAAATATCTGAGAAGTGGTGCTATGAATATTCAGGTTTAACACAATAGGGAATACCGGTATACAAAACAGATGCTTTACAACTCTATGAAAAACACATCTGATGACTATATTTTGAAAAACATTTAACAATAATCACTGAACATTGATAAATTATGTGTGCGTCCTTCCCTTGCCACTCATATCATTACAGTGTAAAACGATGTTCTATAAAAATATTTAGTTCTACCATCAGCTCCCTCCCCTGGTTTCATCTCTTCCTCAACATCGTCTTCCTTCGACTTCTTCTCCAGCTGTTCTTTGTATCGAAGAGCCGTGGAGCTGTAGGACATCTGCTCATGTTCACAGCACAGCCACAGCGTCTTCCCGTTCGGTATAGGGCGTTCGGCATGTGACACCTAGATCAAACAAGGTATAGTGAGTATAGGGTCTTCCCATTGGCCATGTGACACCTAGATCAAACAATGTATAGTGAGTATAGGGTCTTCCCATTGGCCATGTGACACCTAGATCAAACAATGTATAGTGAGTATAGGGTCTTCCCATTGGCCATGTGACACCTATGATCAAACAATGTACAGTGAGTATAGGGTCTTCCCATTGGCCATGTGACACCTAGATCAAACAATGTATAGTGAGTATAGGGTCTTCCCATTGGCCATGTGACACCTAGATCAAAAAGTATAGTAGTAGGGTCTTGACACCCCATTGGCCATGTGACACCAGGATCAAACAACGTAGGGTCTTCCAGTGAGTATAGGGTCTTCCCATTGGCCATGTGACACCTAGATCAAACAATGTATAGTGAGTACAGGGTCTTCCCATTGGCCATGTGACACCAGGATCAAACAACGTATAGTGAGTATAGGGTCTTCCCATTGGCCATGTGACACCTAGGATCAAACAACGTATAGTGAGTATAGGGTCTTCCCATTGGCCATGTGACACCTAGATCAAACAATGTATAGTGAGTATAGGGTATAGGGTCTTCCCATTGGCCATGTGACACCTAGATCAAAAACAATTGGCCGTATAGTGAGTAGTATAGGGTCTTCCCATTGGATCAAACAAGGTATAGTGAGTATAGGGTCTTCCCATTGGTGTGACACCTAGATCAAACAAGGGTATAGTGAGTACAGGGTCTTCCCATTGGCCATGTGACACCTAGATCAAACAATGTATAGTGAGTACAGGGTCTTCCCATTGGCCATGTGACACCTAGATCAAACAATGTATAGTGAGTATAGGGTCTTCCCATTGGCCATGTGACACCTAGATCAAACAACGTATAGGGTCTTCCCAGTGAGTACAGCGTCTTCCCATTGGCCATGTGACACCTAGATCAAACAACGTATAGTGAGTATAGGGTCTTCCCATTGGCCATGTGACACCTAGATCAAACAATGTATAGTGAGTATAGGGTCTTCCCATTGGCCATGTGACACCTAGATCAAACAATGTATAGTGAGTACAGCGTCTTCCCATTGGCCATGTGACACCTAGATCAAACAATGTATAGTGAGTATAGGGTCTTCCCATTGGCCATGTGACACCTAGATCAAACAATGTATAGTGAGTATAGGGTCTTCCCATTGGCCATGTGACACCTTGATCAAACAATGTATAGTGAGTATAGGGTCTTCCCATTGGCCATGTGACACCTAGATCATAGGGTTCCTCCCATTGTATGTGGATCAAACAATGTGACACCTAGTGACAGGGTCTTTCCATTGGCCATGTGACACCTAGATCAAACAATGTATAGTGAGTACAGCGTCTTCCCATTGGCCATGTGACACCTAGATCAAACAAGGTATAGTGAGTATAGGGTCTTCCCATTGGCCATGTGACACCTAGATCAAACAATGTATAGTGAGTATAGGGTCTTCCCATTGGCCATGTGACACCTAGATCAAACAACGTATAGTGAGTATAGGGTCTTCCCATTGGCCATGTGACACCTAGATCAAACAATGTATAGTGAGTATAGGGTCTTCCCATTGGCCATGTGACACCTAGATCAAACAATGTATAGTGAGTATAGGGTCTTCCCATTGGCCATGTGACACCTAGATCAAACAATGTATAGTGAGTACAGGGTCTTCCCATTGGCCATGTGACACCTAGATCAAACAATGTATAGTGAGTATAGGGTCTTCCCATTGGCCATGTGACACCTAGATCAAACAACGAATAGTGAGTACACGGTCTTCCCATTGGCCATGTGACACATGGATGATATCACAAATTTACTTATTGGGAATTAACATGTTTTATTACACAGGGTCCAATTATTCATGCGACACATGGATGATATAAAACACACTTTCAATTAATAGAACACATTATCATATATCTAGAAAATATTACACCATACATAGTAGATTTCACCATAGTAAATTCCCATGCTCATAATAAAAGCACACGTTGGGTTGACCGATTCTGCCAGGTAGTTTTGGTAACATCTGGATTCTCTGTGCATTTAAAAACATCAATACTCTACAGCCAAAGCTGGTATATGTACAGTGTGAGGTTGCTTATCGAGGTAACAACGTAGCAGTCTACACATAAATATGTACATGGACATATGGAGGCTTGTAATGCAAAAACTGGCATCAAGATATATATTTTGACATTGCTAAGACTCGTAAGTGGCAATATATACCTTGATGCCAGTTTCTTGTGTTAAGCACCTGTATCTGCACCCAGCAATCCAGTGATTGACGTCATCAGCATCAATCTGTGCAATGCAATACGATGACATGTATCAACCAAGTCAGTGACCCTGACCACCCAGTCCTGTTAGTCGCCTCTTATGAAAGCAATGGGTTGCTGAAGGACATTCTAACCCAGACCAATTCTTCATGGGATTAAAACCAAATGACTCCCTAAAACTGATGGTACCTGAATGGTCCATTTTTATTAGTTTTGTTTGAGTGGCATTTTAGAAGTTGCTGGTATAGAGATGACACAACTTTATGGATGATCAACTTCTTTATTTTAACAATGGCGACGTTTCGGTATAGATTCTTATACCGATTTCAAGCATATGGGGGAATGAAGTGGTACACCAGTTTATATACAAGATACGATAAAGAGATAACAATAACAAGAGTGGGGAACAAAGCATCAAAGAAAGTTACATGATGAGCTACAATAGCATGATGATGAGCTAAGATAACATAAATGAGATGAGTGGGATTACCATGAGCCAAGATACATAAATGAGATGAGTGGGATTACCATAACTTACATTCACTAATTCTCATGGTAATCCCACTCATCTCATTTTGTTATCCTCAGCTCATCATCATGTCATTGTAGCTCATAAGGTATAAGAAAACGGTATAAGAAGCTATACCAAAACATCGCTATTGTTAAAATAAAGAAGTTGATCATCCATAAAGTTGTGTCATCCCCATTTTTATTAGCACGGCATGGTCTGTGAGACATGGTCTGTGAGACATGGTTACAACATGAAACCCTTGGTAGAACTATTTAAGCATGGCACAGAGCCCACTGACCTTGACAGTCCACACTTGGCGCCGTCCTTGTCTTGTTCCATCACAGTCTGCAGAAGACTCTTGTACTCCTCCTGGAAGACGCTGTCCGTCCTGGCACACCACTGGAACATGAGGGTGGTGAGGTGTGGTGAAATTGGGTTTAAGGTCGTACTTGAGAATATTTCGCTCATATGACGACGTGCATGCGTGTGTATGTGCGGCTGCTTGTACTAGCCCAGACTGAAGCTGGCTTTATAGTGCTGGCCCACTGAGATACCATGCCGCAGTGAAGCATGAATACCCCACTCAGACACATTATACTGAATCCGAGCCGACCAGTCTTTGTTGTACCCATTAATGCCGAGAGCCAGGCAGGGACCAACAAGTACCATATTTTAATGTCTTTTGGTATGACACGGTCGGGGATCGAACCCACGACCTTCCGCTCAGATCCGGGCGGACGCTCTAACCACTACACCACGGAGGCAGTCAACATGAGGGTGGAGAGAAGGATGTTGAAAGAAGCAGCCAGCTACATTCCATCACACAGGAAGTGGGCCCAAATGTATTTATCTGCCCAAAAGATGACATGTGGTGTGGGTGGTTCAAGCTTAGGGTCCAACAAACACTAAGCTCAGAACGTTATTTGTGCAAAGATGTCATGGTCTTATGTTCCAAGCCCATGCTTGCTGTGTCTGTGTTTCTGGTGACATGATGGTAATGTCTGTAACCTGTATCACTTTAGGATTTCCTCTCTCATGCAGTGATAGAAATGAGATAATGATTGCAGTGGTTCTCCGCTCACTCACACACAGGCATAAATCACTTACAAAATTACTTACAAAGTCACGAACTCATACAATCACACATTTACTCACTCACTCATTTGTCCACCCACCTGTTCACACACACACACACAGAGCAGATCTCATCCAGCAGTTGTCGACAGCTTCATGTCAAATCTGGAGCATTGCAGGATGGACTCACTCACCCACCCACCATACACCTCACCCACCCACCAGACAGCTGACCCACTCACTAAACAGCTCACCCACCACCAGGCAGCTCATCCACCCACCAGACAGCTGACCCACTCACTAAACAGCTCACCCACCCACCAGACAGCACACCCACCCACCAGACAGCTCACACCCCCACCAGACACCTCACCCACCAGACAGCTGACCCACTCACTAAACAGCTCACCAACCACCAGACAGCTCACCCACCCACCAGACACCTCACCCACCAGACAGCTCACCCACCCACTAGACAGCTCACCCACCCACCAGACAGCTCACGCCCCCACGAGACAGCTAACCCCGCCCGACCCACCAGACAGCTCACCCACCCAGAACCCACTCACCTCATCCAGCTTCATCCTCAACCTCTTCCCCTCTGCAGTTGTCAACAGCTTAATGTCCATACTGGAGTGTTTCAGGATAGAAATACTCACTCACTCACTCACTCACCCACCCACCAGACACCTCACACACCCATCAGACACCTCACACACACACACCAGACACCTCACACACACCAGACACCTCACACACACCAGACATCTCATCCTCCCATCGGACACCTCACACACACCAGACACCACACACCCAACTGACACCTCACACACACACTCACCCAGACACCTCATCCTCCCATCAGAGACCTCACACACCCAACACACCCAACAGACACCTCTCACTCACACACCAGACACCTCACACACACATAACAGACAACTCACACACACACACCAGACACCTCACACACACACACCAGACACATCGCCCACACACCTGCCAGACACCTCACACACCTGCCAGACACCTCACACACCAGACACCTCATGCACACACACCAGACACCTCACACACACACACACACACCACACACACCTCATCCACTCACCAGGCAGCTCACCCACCCACCAGACACCTCACACACCCACAAGACACCTCACCCACCCAGAACCCACTCACCTCATCCAGCTTCATCCTCAGTCTCTCCCCCTCAGCAGTTGTCAACAGCTTCATGTCCATACTGGAGTGTTTCAGGATAGACTCACTCACTCACTCACCAGACACCTCACCCACTCACCAGACACCTCACCCACTCACCAGACACCTCACCCACCCACCAGACAGCCCACCCACCCAGAACCCACTCACCTCATCCTGCTTCATCCTCAACCTCTCCCCCTCAGCAGTTGTCAACAGCTTCATGTCCATACTGGAGTGTTTCAGGATAGACTCACTCACTCACTCACCAGACACCTCACCCACTCACCAGACACCTCACCAACTCACCAGACACCTCACCCACCCACCAGACACCTCACCCACCCAGAACCCACTCACCTCATCCTGCTTCATCCTCAACCTCTCCCCCTCAGCAGTTGTCAACAGCTTCATGTCCATACTGGAGTGTTTCAGGATAGACTCACTCACTCACTCACCAGACACCTCAACCACTCACCAGACACCTCACTCACCCAGAACCCACTCACCTCATCCAGCTTCATCCTCAACCTCTCCCCCTCAGCAGTTGTCAACAGCTTCATGTCCATACTGGAGTGTTTCAGGATAGACTGGAGGCGAGCCAGGTACGGCGCAACAGTCTTCAGGTAATCATCATCAGGTACATCAAGGCTGGGGAACGGGATGCTGTCGGGCACGGGATGCCACCCCTGGAACAACACGAGCCATGTGGGGATTTAATTGGTTTGTTGTTTAATGCTGCACTCAGCAATATTCCAGGTATATGATGGTGGTATGTCAATAATGGAGTCTGGACCAGATAATCCAGTGACTGACATCAAGGTCAATTATCTCCACAATTGCGAAACAATGACATCCAAGTCAGCGAGCATGACCACCCAGTCCCAGTTGCCGTATCTTACATGCATATTGTACTGCATGAACATATATTTAGCTAACACACTGTCATGAAATATGTAAAATATTGTAGGATATTTCAGTCAAAGCTAACGTGAAATAAGGACAAATTATCCTGAAAGCGTAATTCACAACTTTCACAAGTATTTGTTTGTTGACCTTTGTGTTGTGCAACTCCCAACCCAAATATTCCAACAATATGATGTCAGTCAGCAAATAAGAGAGCTTTGACCAGACAATCCAATGACTGGGACACAATGACCTGCCTAAACAAAATGAGCATGACTGAGTTAATGTCTGACTTCACAATCCCTTAAGTCACTTCCAACGACAAGCCTTGTGTGACAAGCATAGTCGCCTTATGTGACAAGCATGGTCGCCTTGAGTGACAAGCATGGTCCCTTGTGTGACAAGCATGGTCGCCTTGTGTGACAAGCATGGTCGCCTTGTGTGACAAGCATGGTCGCCTTGTGTGACAAGCATGGTCCCTTGTGTGACAAGCATGGTCGCCTTGTGTGACAAGCATGGTCGCCTTGTGTGACAAGCATGGTCGCCTTGTGTGACAAGCATGGTCCCTTGTGTGACAGGCACGGTCGCCTTGTGTGACAAGCATGGTCGCCTTGTGTGACGAGCACGGTCGCCTTGTGTGACAAGCATGGGTTGATGAAGACCAATTCTAACCCATAATTTCACTGATTCTTTCCAATTTAAAGATGGTCCAGAGTGAGTGAGTGAGTGAGTGAGTTTTACGCCACTTTGATCAATATTCAAGCAAAATCATGCCGGGGTACACTAGATCTGGGGAACTGAACCCAAGCCTTAGCGTGACAAGCGAACGCTTCAACAACTAGGCTACCCCACTGGGCCCCAAAGATGGTCCTGAGGTCCCTGTTACCTATCAGAAAAGTGAACAGGAGGCATGAAATTTCAAGATTAATTTCAAGAACCATGATAACTCTACCTGTTCATGTTCACACAGCAATCTGAAGCAGTATTTGGATGCAGCCAGTTTAGCCTCTGCCTGCTTGAGAACCTCTTGATTTTTCTGGAAACAAAGAAGTCAAATGAACAATAGTGAGAGGTTTCCTTAAATAACTTTTACCAAAGTAACTAAATGCCACTAACCGATAGACACCGATTCACCAATCTGACGATACGACCTTATCCACGATTTTAAAATCGCGGACCAAATTGTAGGATACATATTTTTCGCGCCTTTATCATAGCATTACCTTACCGGCAACGTACGCGCTCGCTGATTGGTCCATCTAAATAGTCTAGCCAATCACAAAAGCTGTTAGTTTCCAACCTATTTTTTAAGAAAAGCTAGCTACATCTCTTTATCGGAGCGGTCTGGTATAATTTTACTATCAAGACTTAGACGGAGATGGTAATAGCATAAAAATTTGAATCAATAAAGTTTTACAATAGGAATCGATACACGCAGGCATGTATCGCGTGTTTTATCGTCAGTAAAATGTATCGATGCATCGATACATTCGTGTATCGCGACACCCCTACTAACCAATGACACCATTCTTGTTGGAAACCTTGATGATGTAAAAATATGGACCAATTGTATGTGTTATGAATTAACTTGTATAATACCGATTCTCCAAAACTTCACCATGTGACTGCATCTTAAAGCCTAACTTGAGAGTTTGTCGTTTACATCGTACTGTGAGGAAAGTGACAAGTCATATACATCTTACTCACACCCATCATACCACAAATAGAGATTGTCATGTGTCAAACTGATTATATAAAACAAGTGTCAGAATTCTTGTATTTTCAAGAAATAAAGATAAAGAGATGAATTCCTAATGGTGTTACCGGTATATATATATCAGTACAGCAGACAGTACAAGTGTCACCATTAGATTGTTTCTCATTATTTCTTAATCCTTAAGGGACCGTTCATAATTTATGGCTTGGGGGGATGATGTGCGGTTGTGGGTGCGTGTGTGTCACCCATTTTGTTCTGGGGAGATCATCAATTTTGTAAATAGACATAGTTTTTAAAATTATGCTTAAAAATGGGGGGGGGGGCATTGATATGATATGCAGGAGGTTCACTTACTTTGTACATACATTTTAGGGGGTCACTCACATTGTACATGCTTCTCCATAAAATTCATGTAATTCTTCGATAGTTCAATGCATCGTTGCAGCACGAATAACAAGACACTACAATACCTTCTCAATCTCCTTGTAGATCTTGTTGATTGTCTCCTCTTGTACCTCCTCATTCATCTCCTTCGTCTCCTCCAACAGCTTCCTATACCCCTCCTCATCCCTGTCAGAATTCCCATCCAGTGCCTGTCTCTCCTCCTCCGTCAGTTGGGGGGGGTAGGGTTGATGTCCACCACTGCGAGATGGGGGTAACCTTCACCTTCCATAGTGTCTGCGTACGTCATCAGTTGACGCAGGAACTTCCTCTCTGCCAACTCCAGGACTTCCTGTAATGAATATGTAGCGTCCATAAAATTTATACAAACCTGGAGAGGTTATGAATTCTTTTAAGAAAAGTCCTCCTTGGGGTACGACAGCATGAAAAGTGAGGTACGAGTTACGCAGCCAGAGTTACCGGCTCTTGGCTGTAGGGGGCCCTGTGAGGGGCCCTTTAGGGGTGGTCTCACTAAACATAACGAGTTTTTTGTTTGGTAAAATATTTTATTGAAATATTATTACAACTGTCGTAGGTTTTTTAAAATGGACATTTTAATGCTTATATGTACCCCAAGGAGGACTTCTGAAAAACAATTCCAAGTCCTGCGCTGGGATTTGAATCATGGACCTTCTTATCTAAAGTCGGACACCTAAAGAGGTTAACCCCATCAACAAGCTGACAAGGCCCTGCTACAAACATAAACCCCAATTTTTCAAAAGACTAGTAATTTCAAAAAATGAGTACCAGTATTTCATTGCAAAAGTGAATGGTGGGGTAGACTAGTGGTTAAAGCGTCCGCTCTTTATGCCGAACACCCGGGTTCGATTCCCCACATGGGTACAATGTGTGAAGCTGATTTCTGGTGTCCCCCACCGTGATGTTGCTGGAATATTGCTAAAAGCGGCATAAAACCATACTCACTCACTCACTCATTTAAGAGGAACTTTTATATGTCATAAGGAGAAGCCTTATCCAGAACACATTTTTGGTTTCTTTGAAAAAAGGTGACAAACAAAAGGTGTTTCATGCTTAAGCCTTTGTGTATCACACTGAAGACCCATGTTCGATTCCCCACATGGATAGTGTGTGAAGCCCATTTCTGGTGTCCCTCGTTGTGATATTCCTTGAATATTGCTAAAGACAGCAAAAAATAATATCACTCACTGTCTGTAAACAATATAAGGATCCTCTGAGAAACCATACCACTATCGACCAAAAGCCCTTCTGGCTCGTGACTTTTCAAAATTAATTCATACACTGACTGACAGACTGACTGACTGAGTTTGGTTTTATGCCGCTTTTAGCAATATTCCAGCAACATCACGGCGGGGGACACCAGAAATGGGCTTCACACAGTGTACCCATGTGGGGATTCGAACCCGGGTCTTCGGCGTGACAAGCCAACGCTTTAACCATTAGGCTACCCCACCGCCCCAATTCATACACTGTTTCATGGCAGTTCTTTAATAGAAGACTTGGCCAAACAAACCAGGGGCTGATAGCAAGAGCAGATGGCATTTATCAGTCACACCAGACATTGTTACCAACCCTACCCACCCCTCCCCCCCGAGATTTGCCATGTACCCTGGATTAAAGGACTTCTTTACCTGGAAGGCAGTCTGTCGCTGGGTGTCTGAGGTCTGGTTCTCTGTGTCTTCCTCCTCCCTGGGGATGAGTTCCTGGACCCTACTCAGCACGTCCAGCAGCCCAGCCTCGTTATCATACTGCAGGTTGACTTTCGGACACTCGTGGCCAACCGCGATCATGCCGACCTGAATCATTGCAATCACTGAGTGAAGTAACTTTTTGTTCGTTTTGATGTCATTTTAAACCAAATCCAAATATTCTGTAATAGTGTAATCAATTCTGGTCTTGAAAATCCAGAGATCAATATCATGAGTAAATGGTCAGAGTACAATTATTCACAAGAGTCAACCACATCTGAGACAACCAGGCCCATTTAGTCGAATCTTGCAACCAGTATAGGTTCCTGGAAACCTATTCTCACCCAGTATCCCACAGTTAAACACGTGTACATTGTGTGCATGTTGCTTGGGATCTCTTCCTACCCTGAAATCCCAACAGGAAGACATGTCTACATTGCTCGGGAAATCTTCTTACTAACAATCCCTGCAGAAAGACCAATAGTCATTACAATGAAACATCAACACTTTAGCAGTTTGAGAACACACAAGGTGCACGCATTGCTCTCATCCGATCATTAATAATTATTTTATTCACTCATTTCAAAAGAAACCAGTTGTGACGACCTACTTGATTTTTCTTTTCCCACATAGCTGTCTTTGTTTATGATTCAATGTTCTGAATTCATTGACCTTGACCATGAACTTGACCATATACATGACCTTGACCTTTGACTTACCTCTGTACTCTCCCATTTGTAACTGGTTCCGACAACAACAAGGATGACAGGAATCTTCAGTGTTGAGATGGCAAAGCGGAATTCCATTTTGCAATTCTTCGACTCTGCGTACTGAAATGATAAATGGTTCATACAAAATGTTCTGAGAAATACAATACTACAGTGGAAATAATCTTATTATCCTGATTTAAATTAGAAGACTTTTGATTGGTTAATAGCCAAAACATATGAAGCCAAACTCTGAAACGAATAGTATGGATGACCTTGACAGTTTGTGACCTTTGACACTGAAATCCACCTCACTTGGAGAATTCAATATATTATCACAAAGCGGAAATAGATTGGACCTAAAGATATAGCCTGAACAGTGGTATTATTTAGAATTGCAAGTCCCTGATAATGTTTTTTTTTAAACCTACAAGAGTTATGTCCCTTAGAATACATATCAATACTGTTCAGTGAAATACATCAACAATTAAGATGAAACACATTGTGTCCCATACCACATCAGAAACAGATGAAAACGATTCCAGAATACACCACTACAATCATCATCATCATCATCATCATCATCATCACCATCACCATCATCATCATCATCATCATTACCTGCTCCGAGACACAAGCAATCATGACCTTGCACTTGCGAAGGCCATCAGCAATGTCCTCAAAGAAACCCTCCTGCAAGGACAACAAACCCTGTGATTCCAACAAATAATGGAAGGCTTGACAATGACGTGTCTACTGTTCCTTTGGACTGTGACAGTTTTAAAAAGTGACTCAGTGAATGAGTTTAGTTTTACGCTTCTTTTAACAATATTCCAGACATATCAAAATATCCACAACCATCCAGCAAATCCTAGCAAGATCACAGTGGACATATAGTTCCTTGCCAATATGAACATATGGTCGAATCTGACACTAGACCCATGCCTGCCCTAGATCAAGACGACTGAAGAATAAAAGTTAGATTCAACTTTGTGTCACAGGTTTATACTGATACGGTCACCTGGTGATCCCTTTGCTTTGCTATTTGACAAGCCTGATTGCTTCAGTAATTCTGAATTAAAGGTGCCTGCACAATGAGGACACCCCGAAATCTGTGATGGGACTCAATCCAAGAAAAGTACTTGAATTTGTACTTTCCTGAGGAAGTGTAATCCCAAATATATCATATCTTTAAACATACTATGTTTACAATACACATTGGGGTTAACTCATCATATAACTGCATTAAACTGAATTAACTATCAAAATTTTGCATGAAGTTTGAAATGTGAATACAGTGAAATTGAAAGAAATACATATCAGTGACTTAAAACATCTGTGGGAACCCTGTCTGCCATTGCCAGGAACTATTCCAAACCTGTCCCATCCTCTCAATGTCCAGCCAGCACTTGATTCCCTTGGCTTCCAGGAACCGCTTCAGTCTGCGAGGGTCACCCCAACCCAGCGCCCGCCCCCGGCTTCGCCTGGGACCCTTGCTCCACGGCCTCCTTCGAGTTGCACCAGCAGTAGCTGATAAAGCACTTGGGGAAGTCCTGTCTCTGAAATACAGTAATATAAGGTCAGCATCTATGTATGATAAGGGGTGGTGTGGTAGCCTAGAGGTTAAAGCGCTTGCTTGTCACGGCAAAGACCTGGGTTTGATTTCGAACATGTCTGAAGCCCATTTCTTGTGTCCCCCCATAGTGATAGTGCTGGAATGTTGCGGCGTAAAACTAACACTCACTCATTGTGTGATGAAGCAACAGGCATTGTCTTAGAATATCACAACCAATCTATCATCATAAATAATTCCGCCAAACTAAATCACAACTACTTTACCAGTTAATATTTTCCTCAAAGCTTCCAGCCTCATTCCTCATTACTGTTTTCTCCGAGCACTACATAGTAAAAACACCTTCTAAAGAATCTGAACCATCTCAGCATTTTTAGCATCATGCATTTTCAATAAGGCTCAAAACAATTGGCAGGAAATGAATCCAAAGTATTTACTTCAAGGAACTGAGATAAAGTACCCAGATACTTGAGGATGTATATTCCTTTGATAAGACATGAGTGAGTTTAGTTCTATGCCGCTTTTAGCAATACTCAAACAACATCACAGCAGGGTACACCAGGGCCCCTATTCTCGAAAGGATCCTAGCCCTAGGAACTTTGATCAATGTCAAGGCCAACTTGATAGGGGCAATAACTCCTGTTTACTTCCTAGGTGAATTTTCAGTTTGTGAGATGACACATAATGAGAGTTCAAGCCATGATTTTCATAAAAAAAAAAAAAAATGAAAATATTTTTGCACATATCTTATTGATTTTTTGGGAGACTTTCAAACTCTGAAGTAAAAATGTTATTTCCTTGTCAAATAAATGAAAACTTCAAAACTACTATAATGTGATGAAAATATCGAATATATTAACATAATACATTTTAACAATACTTTTGTTCTGGAAGTATGGTAATTCAAACAAATAGATATTAAAAAATCTTATTAAATATTTTAAATCCATTAAGGTACTAATTCACTCTATTTTTCTGGATACAATATGTGTATTTTAATTATAACTATAATTAATTATAATTTCTTCTAGATCTACTAAGTCCACCAAAAGCTGAATTTCACCTCATTCAAGCTTTTTACTAGTCTAGTCTTACCATTTATCTTGTAAACGAGATTGTAGTTGCCTTTATACATTTGCATGTGTGTTATTTATAGAACGAATGATATTTAGGGGAATCCCCAACTTAATGAATGTGTTTCTATCTCACCTACTGAAGAGCTCGTTATCCTAGCTAGGATCGGAAGCTCAAGTTAACACAGGGATAGGATCATTTCGAGAATGGGTCTTATCCTAACGGTAGGATGTCCTAACTCCTGTCCTAACTAGTTAGGATCTGTCTTAGCTGGGACACTTTCAAGAATAGGCACCCTAAAATGGGCTTTACACATTGTATCCATGTGCAGGGGTGGAAATAACTTTGAAATTGCTAATGTACTCCCGGTACAGTGGCACATGTGAAATCACTTGCCCTGATAATTTTCCCACTATACCGACCGTTTTCTTGTTGGATTTTTTAAATAAACAACATAATTAACATTGGGAAGTCAACTGGACGCCGGTACAGTGTGACAACGAATTTGTTTGCCCAACAGAAAAAAACACTGGACTCGGACGTCGGGCAATGGGTTATTTCCATCCCTGATGTGGGGAATCAAACCCGGGTCTTCGGCGTGACGAGCAAGTGCTTTAACCACTAGGCTATCCCGCTCACCCACCCGAGGCAAAAAACCCAAAGTAATATCAGTAAAATGCATTTTGATTCCATCAGAGATACAGACGTCTCTGACAGATGGGCAACACGTACCTTCTTTAAATGCCCGGCCTTGACCTTGACAGCCTCCTGCAGCTCCTTCATCTTGTTGTCGAAGCGTTTTCGTTTCGTAGATCTTTACATAAACCTACAGGGATGGATTGAAACAGGATACAGTGTATTGCAAGTCCTGATCTGCATGGTGTAATCTTTCAAACATCTACATAACACAAAATTCTCGATTCTAACCAGGCAAGCTAAACGAGAAAATAAAGAACGGGTTACGAATTACAGATTATCTGTCCTAAGAGAATGAATGGACGCCCCTGCCGATTGGTACCTATCTGGTTCCAGTCTGTCGCGGTCAGTTAACCATGAGTGAGGTCAGTGGGATGAACTCGGGATTATATTAATAAAATCGCTTTTTACAACTGTGAAAATACTCTCGGCGAGGGTACAGTGATATTGTTGATGTTCCAGAGCTGTCGAACGATACCAGACACCACACGATTCGCCTCGCATGTTATTCATACGAAGCTTCAAAAACGGAGGTATTTCCCGTTGTTGTGTCATGTTAACGAGCGGATAGCCTGATTACATAAAATTGAAAATATAAAAGAAAAAGGCACGGGCATGTTATGACATGTCACAAATGGAAAAAAAATCGCTACAGTTTTTGCTTCTTTCGTGGTTTATCAGGACATTATAAATGTAAGCTTGCATTTTCATTTAAAAAATAAATTTATTTAAGTTGTAGTTGTATTATTTCAATTTTATCATAAAAATAAACTTCATATTTATCAACATGATACAGGTAATGTCTGTGAATGTCTACATCTCTACAATCCAAGATGGCGGTCAAATGTGAATAACGAACAACGGATATAGCGTACTAAATTTCTTGGTCCCTTGGAGTTCGTTATATCCGTGTTCTACTGTATATGTTTGTGGAAATTAAGACTAATGCCAATTTTATGGTACTAGTAAACTGAGACACCATGCCCAAGTATAACATGGATACCCCACTCTGACAAAGTATCCTGATTCTAAATCAACCAGTCCTTTTTTATCCCCTTAATGATCAGTACATGCCAGGGTAACAACAAGTACCACCTTCAACAGCTTTCTGAAGTCGCTGGGGATGAAACAGACATTCCAACTTCTACACCACAGGGGTGGTTGTTGCTACCGGGATTTCCCGTATTTAAGCCCACTTGAAATTACGCCCATGGGCTTAAAAACGGCCTAAATTAAGATTTCAACTTTGATTGTTTAGAGTGACATCCCTTTGCAAAGCACATGGCAAACGCCAGCATATATTACGTTTGTAGTGCAATTAGAGTTTTTCACGTGTATAGAACGTTTGTAGTCCCAAAAGAAGTCAGGTACTCTATACTCAAATAGACAATCTCAATCCATATGACTCAAACGCAGTCGCAATAAATGATAATATCATTATTAAAGTTCATTCTATTTTACTGTGTCTTAGAATCATTTTCTTCAGTTACAAGCATTTCCTGAATTTAAGACCTGGGCTTAATTATGGGCTTTATATTTGTTAACGAGTGGGGTCATTTTCCGCTATTTAGCCCAGGGCTTAAATACGGGAAATCCCGGTATCAGGTCAATCCTCACTTGTCAGGTCAAATGATAATTGGAGTCACCCAGCACATGAACTACATGGGTTATCTCCCTTGTTGGTCATGATACCTGCATTAAAGATTTATGGCAGTCATTGTGTATTGTGATATGTGCTGGCAGTGACAGAGGTTTGAGAAAACAACAAGTGTTTGCCACTGATGTGGCAATGTCCCCCGCCGCTAAAGAATGGAATATCTATATTTACTACTTTTTATTTTTGGGTCACATACAAGATGCCTGAAATGACTGTTGTCTGCATAATCACCCAATGTAGGCTGTCAACATACTTGAAAACATTGGGTGCAATGTTTTATGAGATATCGCCTTTAAAAAGCGGTCAAAGTATCGTGGTGACCTTGAAGATAAGGTCAAGGTCACCCAAATAAACTGGGGTCTGCGTAATACCTCAATGTAAACTGTCAACAAATTTGAAGACAGTGGGTACAACAGTCCATGAGATATCGTGTTAACAAGAGTTAAAAGTGTGAAAAGTGTCGTGGTGACCTTGAAGATAAGGTCAAGGTCACCTAAAATCAACTGGTGTCTGCGTAATCCCCCCAATGTATGCTGTCACCAAATTTGAAGACATTTGGTACAACAGTCCATGAGGTGCCGTGTTAAGAAGAGTTTGAAAAGTGTTCAAAATGTCGTGGTGACCTTGAAAATGAGGTCAAGGTCACCTAAATAAACTGGCGTCTGCGTAATCCCCCAATGTATGCTGTCAACAAATTTGAAGACACTGGGTACAACAGTCCATGAGGTGCCGTGTTAAGAAGAGTTTGAAAAGTGTTCAAAATGTTGTGGTGACCTTGTAGATAAGGTCAAGGTCACCTAAAATCAACTGGTGTCTCGCGTAATCCCCCCAATGTATGCTGTCACCAAATTTGAAGACATTTGGTACAACAGTCCATGAGGTGCCGTGTTAAGAAGAGTTTGAAAAGTGTTCAAAATGTCGTGGTGACCTTGAAAATGAGGTCAAGGTCACCTAAATACACTGGCGTCTGCGTAATCCCCCAATGTAGGCTGTCACCAAATTTGAAGACACTGGGTACAACAGTGCATGAGATATCACGTTAACAACAGTTTGAAAAGGGGTCAGAGTCGTGGTGATCTTGAAAATAAGGTCAAGGTCACCCAAATCGTCTGGTGTCTTTGTAATCCCCTAATGTAGGCTGTCACCAAATTTCAAGACATTGGGTACATAAGTTCATGAGATATCACGCTAACAAGAGTTTGAAAAGTGGTCAAAGTGTCGTGGTGACCTTGAAAATAAGGTCAAGGTCACCCAAATCGACTGGTGTCTGCATAATCTCCCAATGTAGGCTGTCACCAAATTTGAAGACATTGGGTACAACATTTCATGAGATATTGCGTTAACAAGAATCGGGACATACATACGGACGTACGGACAGACGCCGCTGAATACAGAGTCCCCCGTTCCGCGTTGCGGCGGGGGACAAAAATGTTCTTGGTGTAGTTTCTGTCTGAATTTCTCACACTGTGTTGCTAAACTTACGTGATCTGCAAGTAGAAGGTTAAGGTCAGATTTCTGCCATCCAATCGTGTCTCCGACCAGCGCCAGGAGGAGAGGTTTCTTCAGCGTCTCCTGACAGTACACAATCAGGTTGCGGCACTGCTCGGTTTCGATGAACTCGTCGGACATCCCAACAACCACCACCTGTCAACAACAGGCTGAATAAATCACAGGAAACAGACCTCTGTCACATCCAAAACCATCCCTCCAGACACCTTCAGTGTCAGTGCTACAAGATCTTATTGTTCTTATAGATTTTTTTGTGGGTTTTTTTTATGTAATGGACAGCCTGCAAATACAGTTGATATTCTCAATGTCTTGAGAATGCCCTGAACTTTCAACCTTCACCGAAGAGTGTTGCATCATCAGAAATTTTAAGCATCCTTCTTGTATAAATTGAATTTTGCTTTTGCACTGGTCATAAGTCATGATTCTTAATGCTTGAAAATTCAATGACATGAAACAAAAATGCATAGGTTTCATTTCGTAACCCCAGGGCCAGCATGGCAGGTGATGCAAGGGAGTGCATGTCATGTCGTGTTGTGTTATGTCGTGTTGTGCCGTATTGTGTCGTGTGATGTTGTGACATGTTGTGTCGTATTGTGTAGTGTCATGTCATGTCATGTCATGTTGTGTCGTATAGTGTCATGTCATGTGTTGTGTTGTGTCGTATCCTATCATGTCGTGCCTCATCATATTTTGTCATGTCATGTCATGTCGTGTCATGTCTTCAGTTGTCTTCATGCCCATGGCCTTTCTCTCACTCACTGTTATCAAATTTCTTTTACTCTGTATCCAGTAAAAAACCGGAGGTACACATTACATAAGGAAATAACATGTGACAAAGTTTAAAGAAACAAATAAAAAATGTGTGGCCAAGTTTTTAAAACCCTACCTGTGCTGCCTTCATGGACAGAGTGAGGGTCTCCATGTCCGTGGTCTCTGGGGTGTCGCAGAATGATCTGTAAATGACATACACAGTGTATAACTGAGTGTTCTGGTATTCTTGTTGATGAGTATTAACATATAAAAAGACATGATGGCTGAAGGTTCTGTAAGCTTTCTAAGATCATCTTTCAGTTTGTAAACAGTAATAACTTGTATCTTCAGCATGAAACCTACAGCTAACCAGCTTCAGTTGCTGAGATATTGTAATGTCTTTCGTTTGTGGTCAAGGTCACTGATGACGCCAAAAAGGATTGTCATGCAATGTCATTACTGGGATATCTCCTAGGAGATACTGCTTGAACTCATCCTATCAGTGAGTGAGTGAGTGAGTTCAGTTTTACGCCGCTTTTAGCAATATTCCAGCAATATCACGGCTCGGGACACCAGGAATGGGCTTCACACATTGTACCCCTGGGAAATCGAACCCGGGTCTCCAGTGTGACAAGCGAACGCTTTAACCACTTGGCTACCCAACCGCCCTCTCATCCTATCAGGTACCCTCCATAGCCTACCAGGTACCCATCATCCTATCAGGTACTCTCCATAGCCTACCAGGTACCCATCATCCTATCAGGTTCCCTCCATAGCCTACCCGGTACCCTCCATAGCCTACCAGGTACCCATCATCCTAACGGGTACCCATCATCCTATCAGGTACCCTCCATAGCCTACCAGGTACCCATCATCCTATCAGGTACCCTCCATAGCCTACCAGGTACCCATCATCCTATCAGGTACCCTCCATAGCCTACCAGGTACCCATCATCCTATCAGGTACCCTCCATAGCCTACCAGGTACCCATCATCTTATCAGGTACCCTCCATAGCCTACCAGGTACCCATCATCCTATCAGGTACCCTCCATAGCCTACCAGGTACCCATCATCCTATCAGGTACCCTCCATAGCCTACCAGGTACCCATCATCCTATCAGGTACCCTCCATAGCCTACCAGGTACCCATCATCCTACCAGGTACCCTCCATATCATCCTACCAGGTACTCCATCATCCTACCAGGTACCCTCCATAGCCTACCAGGTACCCATCATCCTATCAGGTACCCTCCATAGCCTACCAGGTACCCATCATCCTACCCAGGTACCCTCCCAGGTACCCATCATCCTAGGTACCCATCATAGCCCCAGGTACCCATCATCCTATCAGGTACCCCATCCATCAGGTACCCATCCTACCAGGTACCCATCATCCTATCAGGTACCCCTCCATCCTACCAGGTACCCATCATCCTATCAGGTACCCATCATCCTACCTACCAGGTATCATCAGGTACCCATCATCCTATCAGGTACCCTCCATCAGCCTACCAGGTACCCATCATCCTATCAGGTACCCTCCATAGCCTACCAGGTACCCCATCTATCAGGTACCCTATCAGGTACCCTCCATCAGTACCCTCCATACCAGGTACCCATCATCCTATCAGATACCCTCCATAGCCTACCAGGTACCCATCATCATCCTATCAGGTACCCTCCATAGCCTACCAGGTACCCATCATCCTATCAGGTACCCTCCATAGCCTACCAGGTACCCATCATCCTATCAGGTACCCTCCATAGCCTACCAGGTACCCATCATCCTATCAGGTACCCTCCATAGCCTACCAGGTACCCATCATCCTATCAGGTACCCATCATCCTACCAGGTACCCATCATCCTATCAGATACCCTCCATAGCCTATCAGGTACCCATCATCCTACCAGGTACCCATCATCCTATCAGGTACCCATCATCCTACCAGGTACCCATCATCCTATCAGGTACCCTCCATAGCCTATCAGGTATCCATCATCCTATCAGATACCCTCCATAGCCTACCACGTACCCATCATCCTATCAGGTACCCTCCATAGCCTACCAGGTACCCATCATCCTATCAGGTACCCTCCATAGCCTACCAGGTACCCATGCAACTCACACTTTGTTCCCGCCCTCACGAAGCCCCTCTATGATGGTTCCAGGATGGACTCTCTTGTGCTCCATGTCCAGAGAGGGGACGTTCTTCCTGGAGTAGCAGAAGAAGATGCTGATGGAGGTGTCCTCCAAGTCCTTCAACTCCCGGACTGTCCGGCCCAGGTGGTCGTCGAAGTCGCTGTTTCGGTCTGGTGGCATAATGGCTGAAACATTCACAGATTAACTGAATCATTATCACAACTTTTTACGTACAATTGACCTCCTTCTTCGAATATTTCAAAGAGCATCATGTGACTTGTTCAATATTTGCTTAATCATGGTTCCAACTTTCAAGGCCTTAGGAAAGCTTTCAAAATGTTTTATGGCTCCAACATGGACATATTTACCGGTAACTTAAAATCAATATCACATCATTCTGATGTACAAGGATAATCTTTCAAAGATTTCAACTCCAGAGCAAAGTTGACTTAATCATATTTACACCATTAAAACTTCTTTGAGTGGCATTTTTAGAAGAGTCAGAAAAGGACAAACTTTATGGATGAACAGTTTCTTTATTCAGGTGATGCGACGTTTCAATACATATCCTTCAGGGGTAGATACAGAGGGGGGTAGTTGAGGTGCTCCCTCCACTCCCTCCCAAAAAATTACCCTTAGGTGCATTTCCCCCTAACCTTCAGACTTCATGATATATGTGCACCCACTTCTCCAAAATACTGGATCCACCATTGTCCTTGTATCGTTGTATCTGCTTGACAACGATGCAAGAATCTGTATCAAAACATTGCAACACCTGAGTGAGTGAGTTTAATTTAATGCCGCACTCAGCAATATTCCAGCTATATGGCGGCGGTCTGTAAATAATCGAATCTGGACCAGACAATCCAGTGATCTGCATCATCTGAATAAATGTTCATAAAGTTAAATGCCCTTATCTACACCGTTAAAGGCTTTAGGAAAGCTTTAAATGTTTACTGGCAGACCAGAGGAGCACAGGTTCAACTTTCATGCATCTGTGACAAGAATCTAGGATTGATGGCATGGTTGATTGCATATCAACTTACAGATGTATTTGATGGTGTCAATTGTTGCTCGTGACATCAGTCACTGGATTATCTGGTCTATTCACAGCTATTTACATGCCTTCGTTATAAAGCTGGATTGATGGTGTGACCATCTTTGATAATCTCCAGGGTATACGTTACGATCACTCTCCACTATACCCTGGATGCATCCACGGCTTGGCCCAATGATTTTATTACCTCCCTTGACTGGCTGTTTATCCGATCAGGTGTCTACGCTGGGAAGTTGAGCGAACCAATCACAACTCACTTTCGCTTCTTAATTTATCTAACCGTTTAAACTTGGCAACACAATTGATGCAGAGAAAGAGGTAGAAGGAGTTCTTTTATATATTTTTTGAAAGTTTCAGATCTGTCAATTTGTCTGTATTATTTCCTCAAATATCTGAGTGGCACTGTGAACAAACCTTCGTGACTGCGACCGCTATCTTTGTTGACACTGGCAAGCTCGGATGTAACGGCGGCTTAGCTGATTGGCTACTGTGAGAATGCGGAGCCAGCAAAGGGAGGTAATAAAATCATCGGGCCAAGCTGTGGATGCATCCAGGGTATAGTGGAGAGTGATCGTAACGTATACCCTGGAGATTATCGAGGATGTGGTGTGACTAGTACACAACAAACTTTACCTTGCAGCTCGGGAATGGACATGATATGGAAGGACTTGTCACACTGCAGGAACGGCGCTTTCATCTCCGCTGCACGCAGCACCTTCGATGCAGGAAACATACATGGATCCACAATGTTCTGCAAGGAAGAAAACATATTGATTTTCTTACCCGTTTTCACATGCTATATAAATCATGACAGAGTTATCTCCCTTTGTACTCCTCACAATGTCACTTCCTGTTTCCTTGAATGGCTTAAATTCTGTTTTGTGTATTGAGATTTTGATGTAATTGTGAGAGGGATGGAATAGGACCAGAAATATCATTCCTCTTGTGCTTAGAACCAAACTAACATTTAGTCCAGGAACAAAGTTCCAATTTCAAACATAAGAGATATGTCAATTGTACCTGCGGAATCTCTGGACTTGAGGTTGGTTCCGCTTTGTCATTTATTCTCATGGATCTAATAGAGAGGCCATCTGATAACAGTTATATATTGTACCTAGTTGTTGAATAAGTGATGTTTTATATTTGATACACATTTTATATCGATCAGTCACTGGCACATTGGACAATTAAGTACACAAGCTTTGTATACGGTGTTATATAACTTCATGGTGAACTGACTTTGTACTTTGGTTTTACGCCACTCTTAGCAATATTTCAGCAATATCATGTCTGGGGACAGCATTCTAACCATGTGAGGAATCGAACAAGGTTTTTGGCATGATGACTGCACTAGGCTACCCCAGCCAATTTATATTTGAGAGAAGAGCTGTTTTGGGAGTTAAATGTTCATCTTACCTCTGACTGGCAATCCATGCAAGGCACAAAGTAGTCATATTGCACGCCGCTGTAAGACTCAGAAATAAGGCACTCAAACACTTCATGGACCAGGAACAGGATGTTCTCTGGCTTGTACCCCTGTACCTTGACCTGTACATCAGTGGCACTGTAACATCAAGGCATTAAATCATTACGGTCATTTGGCTTTATTCCCATGAAGATCAGGGTTAGAATTGGTCTTCAACAACCCATGCTTGTCGTAAGAGGCGACTTACAGGATGGGGTGTTCAGGCTCCCTGACTTGGTTGACACATGTCATCGTATCCCAATTTCATAGATCGATGCTCATGATATCAATCACTGGATTATCTGGTCCAGATGTATTTATGCCATCACATAACTGGAATGCTGCTGAGGGCAGCGTTGAACAAGCAAACAAACAAACAAAATGAGTGAGTGAGTGAGTATGGTTTTACGCCGCTTTTAGTAATATTCCAGTAATATCATGGAGGGGTACACCAGAAATGGGCTTCACACATTGTGCCCATGTGGGGAATCGAACCCGGGTCTTCTGCGTGACGAGCCAACGCTTTTACCACTGGGCTACCCCACCGCCTCACAAACAAAATGGAAACAAATGTTTGACGTTATGACATGACTTAATAAATTGAGAAATTAAACATCAGAGTTTAGGGGTTTTAGCTGAGCTGTCTGTTCTTTAGTTATGTTTTCAAGTTCACATAATGTTTTATCTCGGGGTAATCCGGACTACTCACTAAAATTTTCAAGAATATCTCCCTTGTTAGATAACCGCATTAGCTCTCAGTGAAGTGCATTGTATAAGTTCATTGTACAGCTCCACAACAAACCATTCTGTTACACATTTAATGCACATTAAATGAAACACCGAGAACAAGTGGGGTTGGACTGAGTTAACGCTCATCACGTACTGCACGTGCATTTGTTTCACTGTTCCAACTACTGCGCTTACCCCCCTTGTAATACAAACAGATAATAGCGATTTGAAACTATGAACGTTTGTTAAACAACTTTTATCCTAAGATGAATAAAATTCTGAGATTTAAATGTTCAATTGGCAAGGTAATATTATGAGGATTTGCAATCTTCATTTCACTTTGCTTGGTGTACATTTTTGTTTAAAGTGAAATTCATTGGTACATTTTCACGGCAAACAGACTATAAGTGCAGCATTAACACACACAATTATTGTCCACATTTTGACAGACCTGATCTGCAGTAGCAGGGCGGTGTGCTGGTTCTTGTTGAGCAGTGACCCCTTCTTCCACATCACTGACCCGTCCGTCAACTGATGCAGTCGGACCTGAAACACAACCACAGATTTATCCAGGTCAGAGGCTAAAACAGGATCGGTGGTCAGGCTCAGCTGACTTGGTTGACACATGTCATCGTATCCCTATTTCATAGATCGATGCTCATGATATCAATCACTGGATTATCTGGTCCAGATGTAATTATGCCATCACATAACTGGAATGCTGCTTAGGGCAGTGTTGAACAAGCAAACAAACAAACAAACAAAATGAGTGAGTGAGTGAGTATGGTTTTACGCCGCTTTTAGTAATATTCCAGCAATATCATGGAGGGGTACACCAGAAATGGGCTTCACACATTGTGCCCATGTGGGGAATCGAACCCGGTCTTCTGCGTGATGAGCCAACGCTTTCACCACTGGGCTACCCACCGCCCACAAACAAAATGGAAACAAATGTTTGACGTTATGACATGACTTAATAAATTGAGAAATTAAAGATCAGAGTTTTGGGGTTTTAGCTATGCTGATCCGTCTGTTCTTTAGTACTGTTCTTAGTTCACATAATGTTTCATCTCGGTAATCCGGACAACTCACTAAAATTTTCAAGAATATCTCCCTTGTCAGATTACCTCATTAGCTCTCAGTGAAGTTAGTGAGTGAGTTGTTTAAGTTCATTGTAGCAATATTCCAGCAATACAGGACACCATAAATGGGCTTCACACACATTTACGTGGGGATTCGAACCCGATTCAAATGAAACTTTAACCATTAGGCCAACAAGTGAAGTCGCGTTGTATAAGTTCATTGTACAGCTCCACAACAAACCATTCTGTTACAGATTTAATGCAAATTAAATGAAACACCGAGAACAAATGGGTTGACTGAGTTAACGCCACTGTCGCACATGCATTTGTTTCACTGTTCTTACCCCTTGTAATACAAACCGATAATAGCGATTTGAAACTATGATCATTTGTTAAATAACTTTTATCCAAAGATGAATAAAATTCTGAGATTTAAATGTTCAATTGGCAAGGTAATATTATGAGGATTTGCAATCTTCATTTCACTTTGCTTGGTGTACATTTTTGTTTAAAGTGAAATTCATTGGTACATTTTCACGGCAAACAGACTATAAGTGCAGCATTAACACACACAATTATTGTCCACATTTTGACAGACCTGATCTGCAGTAGCAGGGCGGTGTGCTGGTTCTTGTTGAGCAGTGACCCCTTCTTCCACATCACTGACCCGTCCGTCAACTGATGCAGTCGGACCTGAAACACAACCACAGATTTATCCAGGTCAGTCCCTCTCATACCCATGCTTGTCGTAAGAGGCGAAAACAGGATCGGGTGGTCGGGCTCGCTGACTTGGTTGACACATGTCATCGCATCCCTATTGCATAGATCGATGCTCATACTGTTGATCCCTGGATTGTCTGTTACAGACCGTCGCCATATAACTGGAATACTGCCGAGAGCGGCATTAAACAATCAACCAAACAACCAAACAACCAATCAACCAACCAACCAACCAACCAAGCAAACAATCAACCAACCAACCAACCAACCAAGCAAACAATCAACCAACCAACCAACCAACCAAGCAAACAACCAATCAACCAACCAACCAAGCAAGCAACCAACCAAGCAAACAACCAACCAACCAAGCAAACAATCAACCAACCAATCAAACAATCAACCAACCAACCAAACAACCAACCAAGCAAACAATCAACCAACCAACCAACCAAGCAAACAACCAACCAACCAACCAACCAACCAAGCAAACAACCAATCAAACAACCAACCAACCAACCAACTCTCTGATACCTGCATCAGTATTTACATCACCCCTTTAACTGGATGATGCGAAAATGTCAAAATGATTACATAGAATATCACTGATGAAATTCACTGGTATTCAAGTCCAGGTTCGACAATGAGACATTTTTCTACCCATCAGAGCGTTAATTCATCATCCATCCATGTTTCTCATGAACATCCCTACCTGGGCTCTGTTGAAGAGTCCAGCAGGCAGATAGTCGTAGCTGTACATCATTTTGGTCTCTCGGTACCCTGTCTTCAGCGCCGGCCAGTTGTACTGAAACATCACAGGGACTACATTCAACAACACATTTAACAATCAGACAGGATTGGCCATTATGTATGCTTGACATTATGAATATATCTCAATCTAACTATCTCAGTAAAAATAAATTTAGAAGCTAACAAGGCATGATCTGGGTCCTGCAGAGGAAAAGGAAAGACTGATATTGGTGTCCTCGTCCTTTGGAGGACAAGAGAGAATAATATCTCCATCTATGACCTACCTGTGGTTCTACAGTAGGGAGTAGACAAGGCACGATGTTGGTGTCCTCATCCTTCAGAGGACAAGAGAGAATAATCTCTCTATCTATGACCTACCTGTGGTTCTACAGTAGGGAGTAGACAAACCACGATGTTGGTGTCCTCGTTCTTCAGAGGACAAGAGAGAATAATATCTCCATCTGTGACCTACTTGTGGTTCTACAGTAGGGAGTAGACAAACCACGATGTCCTTACGAGGACAAGAGAGAATAATCTCTCTATCTATGACCTACTTGTGGTTCTGCAGTAGGGAGTAGACAAACCACGATGTTGGTGTCCTCGTTCTTCAGAGGACAAGAGAGAATAATATCTCCATCTGTGACCTACCTGTGGTTCTACAGTAGGGAGTAGACAAACCACGATGTTGGTGTCCTCATCCTTCAGAGGACAAGAGAGAATAATCTCTCTATCTATGACCTACTTGTGGTTCTACAGTAGGGAGTAGACAAACCACGATGTTGGTGTCCTCATCCTTCAGAGGACAAGAGAGAATAATCTCTCTATTTATGACCTACTTGTGGTTCTACAGTAGGGAGTAGGCAAACCACGATGTTGGTGTCCTCATCCTTCAGAGGACAAGAGAGAATAATCTCTCCATCTATGACCTACCTGTGGTTCTACAGTAGGGAGTAGACAAACCACGATGTTGGTGTGCTCATCCTTCAGAGGACAAGAGAGAATAATCTATCCATCTATGACCCACCTGTGGTTCTACAGTAGGGAGTAGACAAGGCACGATGTTGGTGTCCTCGTCCTTCAGAGGACAAGAGAGAACAATCTCTCCATCTATGACCCACCTGTGGTTCTACAGTAGGGAGTAGACAAGGCACGATGTTGGTGTCCTCGTCCTTCAGAGGACAAGAGAGAACAATCTCTCCATCTATGACCTACCTGTGGTTCTACAGTAGGGAGTAGACAAGGCACGATGTTGGTGTCCTCGTCCTTCAGGGGACAAGAGAGAACAATCTCTCCATCTATGACCTACCTGTGGTTCTACAGTAGGGAGTAGACAAGGCACGATGTTGGTGTCCTCGTCCTTCAGGGGACATGTCAGATCAAACTCCTCTGTGAGTCTCAGCAGCCACGGATGAAGCTCCTGTGAGTACTGACTCCAGATCTCTGACATCTGAGTGTGTTTCAGGCGTCCGTTCTGAAAATTCCAGAAGGCAGTGGGTTTTCATACAGAAAAGATCTTAACAACTACCGGTACATTGCCTGGAAATTTATTGCTAACAAATCTATGCTGTTGTCACGCCAGATAAATGCCATTCAAACATATCGATGTTCATTGTATCAACCACTGGTTTTCCTGGCAAATGTCCTTATCTGGCCTCAGGGCGGCGGGGTAGCCTAGTGGTTTAAGCATTTGCTCGTCACGCTGAAGACCCGTCTCGATTCCCCACATGGGTACAATGTGTGAAGCCCATTTCTGGTGTCCCCCACTGTGATATTGCTGGAATATTGCTAAAAGTAGCATATAACTAAACACACTCACTCACGCTTCTAGCCTCACTTGATATGGAGTGCATATGGCTGGCCAGGGCATTTAAAACAAGCATTGTCGCTAAGGTGACATAATCCCCCGCCCCAAATTATCAAATCAAACTTAATGAAAGTTTAAGATGAAGTTAAATGTCATCAAAAACATGACCAGTCAACCTCTCTTGATGTCTTGCTCTTTAGTTGTTCAAACACACGTGTGTTCAAGACTGACTTTGACCTTGACATGAATGTCATAGTGTATGAAATATGCACAAATAGTACTAAAGAAATTGCTTATTGAAAAACATTCAAGGGAAGTTTTGAAAATCCAGTGAACCGTTCTTGAAATATCTTGCTGCCAATTCAGGTTAACATGCTGAAATCTTCAAAGTGTATCTGTGACCTTGAAAATTAAATGAAGGTCACCAAAATTTAACCAAACCTGCAGAGGTTTTCAATTCTTTGAAGAGAGTCGTCCTTGGGGTACATATTATGCATTTTCCGGCTGAAAAATGTCCTGTGACAGTTGTATCAATGTTTTTTGAATAAAAAGATTGAACAATAAATAAACTCTTTTATTTATTATACGGCCCCTACCTCACGGAGTTACCTCCCTTAGCGCATGCGCACCAACTGGGTAGGCTCCTAGACCCGTATCATCATTCCTTCTGCTGAATATATCAGTGAACACAATTGCGGGGAGGTGGGAGGCCTTACTCAAGATCGACTCTCTTCAAAGAATTGAAAACCTCTGCAGGTTTGGTTAATTCTTTTCAGAGAGATCGCCCTTGGGGTACATATTATGCATAAACACAGACTCCCAAAGACCGGAGGCCAGGGAGGAGGGAATTCTGTCCAAGCACACACAAATATAGCGATCGTATCATGGAAAAAATTGAACAGACGCCATAACACTCACCTGTCACTTGTCCCAGTTTTCGCGCGCGAGAGGCATTATGGGAGGGAACTGACAGGGAGGAATTGTGCTCAAAGACGACCTCTCTAGCATAATGAGACATTGCACACGAGTGCGAATGTCAATGAATCCCCACCCACTAAGTGGCTACATGAGAGCACCGTAGGGGAATGCAAAATACCACTCACTAACGATATAGTAACTCCGTGAGAGAATCGAAGGGGGTACAGGTTCTCTGAGTGAGCACACAGTAGCAGACATGTCAATAATGGAATTATTGTACAGTAGCCAAAACAAACCAATAAACCAAGACTCACTCGGTCAGGGTGGCAGGACACTGTCCACTGGAGAGAACAGTACGGCCAAAGCTCGCACGACACGGGAATGCGATCGAGCTGATAATGGCGATAAACGCGTGCTTGGCCGGCTCCAAATAGCGGCGGAGCAGATCTCTTCAATGGGAGTGCCGATGCAAAAGCTTTTGAGGCTGCTACTGCCCTGACCGAGTGAGCCTTCAACCCCTCAGGGGAGGCTTGCCCTTAGCCTGATAAGCGGCACAAATACACGAGACTAGCCAGCGAGACAAAGTCTGCTTGCTCGCTGGCAGACCAGCCTTCCCGCCACTGTAACAACAGAACAGCTGGGTACCCGCACGGATCCCCCGCGTCCGCTTGATATAGACTTTGAGCGCCTTACGGACATCCAACGGGTGAGTGCTCTCAGAGGAGTGGTCCCCGATGTGGAAGGCTGGGTAAGAGTAGGAAGTTCGATAGGAGCTGTCACATGGAAAGCGGATCGACCTTCGGGTCGGTAAGTATCTGGGAGGCTTAATACTGACACGATCCATGTGAAACACAGTCAGCCGGTCGGACGACATAGCATGTAAATCGCCGACCCTACGACCAGATGTTACCGCCACCAGAAAACAGCTTCCAGGTCAACAACTGAATGGAAATAGCCGATAGGTGTGAGAAAGTGGGACCGACAGCCAATCGAGCACACGATCGACAAATCCCAAGGTGGACTGGTTCGCCTGAGAGCAGGTCGAATCCGCTCCGCCAGCAGCGAAAGCGCCAGACGAGAGGGTGCTGCCCCAGAAGAGCACCATCGACAGGGGTGTGAAAAGTGGAAATAGCGTGGAGTAGCCGCGAATGGTCGAAGCCGCCAGGCCTTCTTCCAAACGAGCTTGCAAAAACTCCAATACTCGGACTAAATCCGCAGAAAAGGGATCTGCAATCCCCTATCTGAACACCAGCGCAGCATAGCGGGACCACCTATCCTCGTGACTGAACGCTTTGTCGAATCCCCACCGAAGCCAGAATTGTGTCTGCAACTGCTGCAGGAATTCGCTGCGCCTCGAGGTTAGACCTGACAGAGGCCAAGCCACCCACTGAATCCGTGGATTTGGGTGGGGGCCCGCTCTGAGTGAGAATGTCCGGTCGCAAAGGTAATAGAACAGGAGGCTGAGCCAGAAACCTGAGAATTACCGAAACCAGCTCTGTGACGGCCAAAGCGTGCCAGTAGCACAAGTAGCCGAGCTGGCTGGGTGGACAGCTGTGAAAGGACACGGGAATGAGTGGTAACGGCGGGAACGCCCAGAGCACTTTGCCCATCCAATCCAGCAGGAAGGCGCCGGCAGCCAACGCCTCTGGGTCCGTATCCGAGCAGAACACGGTGTCTGATGCGCCCCGCCGGACGCAAACAGATCCACCTCGAACGACCCGCATAACTGGGAGATTACTGTGAATATCTGCCTGTCGAGCATCCCACTCGCGGGCCAGGATCCGGCGAGAGAGCGATCTGCTCACACGCTCTCCAGCCCCCGGAGATAAACAGGGAGTACCTGACAATCGCACTGGTCGCACCAGAGGAGAAAGTCCCACGCCCCGGAGGAGCTTGGGGACACCGCGGCCTCCCTGCTTCAGGATGTACGACATGGCCGCCTGGTTGTCTAACTGAAGACGGACTACCTGGCCACGGACATGCTCTCTGAAGCGCCAATACCAACCGCACAGCTCTCAGTTCCAACACGCTGATGTGAAGGTGGGCTTCGCTTCGACCAGAGTCCGAAGCCGACAGACTGCCCAGAACACCCCCAGCCCGTGAGGGACGATCGGTCTGAACTGTGAGAGCTGGCGCCGGGATTTCCAAGGGGAACCCCTGGTGAGATTCCCGACATTTGTCCACCACTGAAGGTGAGGTGTCAACCACTCGGGACTGTGAGACTGCGCCCAGATCCTCCGCGGTGAGTCCACAGCAGAGCCAAAGCTTGCTGTATGGGACGATCTCAACCGCCCGCCACACTACAGAGATCGCCGCCGCCATATGGCCCAGTAGACGGAGCCAAGTCCGTGCTGGTGCCTGGGGCTGGGAGAGGAATGAAGATACCATCTCCGAACTCTGGTGACCCGGGTCGGGCGACAAGGAAACGAGATCCTTGTTCGCTTGAATCGCGCCCAAGAAAACCAAGTCCTGGGTGGGTACCAGGTCGGATTTCTTGAGGTTGATGATCCACCCCAGTCGAAAGTTAGAATGTCTATCACTGTGTGAGTAGCATCTTGACTCGCTGGCTGTGTTAGTGCTCCGAGCAACCAGTCGCCTAGGTAAGGGTAACAACGCCCTTCCTTGCGAAAGCGAAGCTAGGGTAGCTGGGACTAACATGAGCTTGGTGAACACCCTTGGGGCAGTCGATATGCCCAAGGGGAGCACCCTGAATTGGTAATACATCCCGGCCGTAAGAGAACCGAAGGTACTGCTTGAACGATGGATGTATGGGTACATGCAGATACGCATCCTTTAGGTCCATTGACGGAGCCAATCGCCGGGCTGAACAGATGAGATCACCGAGCGCAGTGTCTCCATCTTGAAGGATGGTACTCGAAAGCATGCGATTCAACCCCTTGAGGTTGAGAATCGGACGGAACCCGCCGCCTTTTCTTCGGACGAGGAAGTACGCGGAATAAAATCCCGCCTGTTCCTCTCCCGGTGGAATGCGCCGATTGGCGGACTTGTCCAGCAGAGCCTGAACTTCGTCGCGCAATATGTCCGCCTCTGGCTTGACATGACGGCACCGGAGTGCGACGATGCCCGTGAAGTCGGGCGGACCTCGCCCACAGTGGGAGATGGCCTATGCTGACCGTGGCCAGCACCCAAGCTGTTGTTGGTAGCCTTCTCCCATTCCGCAGGAATAGAGAGAGGCGGCCTCCCACTGGGATATGGGTAGGAGCGCTGTGTAGACCCGAAAGTAGCGGAGCTGACTGGGCGCGTGACACACGGCTTGAGCGGCAGCCTGATGGGTTAACGGAGGTCGGGCAGACCTCCCGCGCCGCCAAAAGGCTGGGAGCTAGTCGAGGACTGCTCCTTGCCCCTACCCTTGGCGGACCTGTTCCTCCGCCTACCCCTACCAAGCAGCCGGCCAGCCGGCAGACTCGGTGTAGGCTGCACCCGGCGGAGGAAGGTGGCACGGAGCTGGGGCGCAGACACCCGCTGGTGCTCCAACAAGGCCTTAGAGTCCTTGAAGGAGGTAGCTGCAGCGCAGCCTCCCCGTGATGACCTGCTGGGCCCCTGGAAAGAGGGTCGCCCCAGACGGAAAGGGAGGGCCAGCAAGGTTCGCTGTGTTGCTGCCGAAGTACCTAGACGCCGACAGCCACAGCCTGCGCGATCCCCATGACTGGCGCGACATCACCGCCGACGCAGCAGACCGCAAAGAGTCGCCGCGCAGGTGAGCCTGCACTTCCCAAAGCTGACGGAGCAGCACGACATGCGCGACACGCCGCCAGCATGCCCTCCGCCTCCAGGGCCGCACCTCTGAACCGAGGAGAGGTAGGCCTCATGGACCACCACCCCGCACCTGCTGCATCGCTGCTCCGTAGACCTCCTCAGAGGTCCGGGCACGCTGTCGCAGGGGATGCCAGGGCAAAGGTGGAGTCAGGCGCCTTGCCGAGCAGCCGGAGCTGCTCCGAGGAAGCCGAGCCTCCCCAGGGCGACGGAAGTGAACACACATTCGCCTACAATTGGCACAACGAACAGGGAATCCTCCCCTGCTGGTAGCGCCAAGACGAGATCCGTAAGTCAAACCGCATCGGGCACCAGACAAGAGGGGATCGACCACGCCCGGAGACCAACGGAAGGCAGAATGCGGAGCTGCGCTCGCGAGGGTTGCCTAGGGGCAAACGCCGCCTGGCAAGCGGAACTCAGTCGAGTCCACGCAACCAGCAGGCACCGCTGCCTGGGGTAGGCCCTCGCAATTCTCTGCCGACCTCCCCGCAAGGTCGAAGCAAAACGGAAGCCTCCGCCATGCTCCTCAACCTCCCCTAAGCTCCATTGCCTCGGCGCTACCGAGCCCGAAGTCAGAGGCTGGGTCTCCTCCGTAAGAGGACCCTAACCCCACCCGTGGACTGCCTAGCTAGGAACCACAGGAAGGGAAGAACAGACAGACGGCTCCATCGCCAGCGCCAGCCGGCGCGGCGTGGACCCTCGGGTCTCGAGACGCTGGAGGCAGGCCAGGCAGAACTGGTGCCTCCGCCTCAAGGGGGCGGTGTGCGCAAGGACCGGAATACCAGGAATACTCAACGTCCTCGCGCTTAACTCCGAGAGGGGACTGGGAGCACCTCCTCTCCGAGAGCAGCCGAAGGCCCGGATCCGAAGCCAGAGGCAACGGATCTACAGACGCTCAAGGCTGAGGGATCGAGCCCGAGCCCGGCGATCCACCCCTCGACTCTCCGCCTCGTCCGAGTGGGTGAGGAACTCCTGCCGGAGACCTCCAACCGACTCCCGAACGTAAGGACTTCACGGAGTCCATATGCTGCTGAAACATAGATTCCATTACCGACATGTCAAAACCACTCGGGCGGTAGGAGAGGGGAAGGGCCTCGGATTTTTTTCCTTTTTGACGCTTCGCTTTGTTTTTAGACGGGGGACCCGCGCCAGGTCCCTCCCCGCCACGATCTCACGATAAAACAACGATCGCCCCCGCCTCTTCTGGGCCCGGGGAAAAGGCCAGACAAATAGGGCAGGACTCAGCGCCGCGGGCCCGCCTTCTCAAGACAGGCAACGATAGCTCATGCCTGTCGCCCGCGGAATTTCTCTGTCCACAGACCGAACAGGATGAAAAGGCCTGAAAGCAAACACGCAAGCATGTAGCTAACAGCGCCAGCAGCATATAAACACGTAGAAAACATTGAAAAAAATACGTGAAGGTTACCACGGAAAGTAATAGTTGGTTTTAATACGCAATATTATTTACTTCACATGGCACGCTAAACTTCCCGCCATGGCAGAGCAACACGCATGTAAAACCACGGAAAGTTCGCGATTTTGTATTAATACAAAGTCACAATTATGAAACAACCAACTGTAAAGCTTTACTGTTCCTTGTTTTAGGCAAATAAAGACCATACATACAGGTGGTGTCTCAGACATAGCTTTCTTATTAGCTTTCAGCGCTGTCCGGCTCATGAAGTGCGTTCTATTATAAACACGTCTGTTCACGGCAGTGACAGCAGAAGGAATGATGATACGGGTCTAGGAGCCTACCCAGTTGGTGCGCATGCGCTAAGGGAGGTAACTCCGTGAGGTAGGGGCCGTATAATAAATAAAAGAGTTTATTTATTGTTCAATCTTTTTATTCAAAAAACATTGATACAACTGTCACAGGACATTTTTCAGCCGGAAAATGCATAATATGTACCCCAAGGACGATCTCTGAAAAAAGAATGACTGGGCCCTGTGCCATCCCTGGATAAAGCTTGGTGTCAAATATGAAGAAAATCCAGTGAACGGTTCTTGAGATAGCTTAACATGCAGGTAAAACGTTAAAGTCCCCTTGTGACCTTGAAATGAAGGTCAAGGTCACCAAACCTGACTTGGACCTTTCTTATACTGTGATGAACCTAGGTACCACATATGAACAGAATCAAGTGAACGGTTCTTAAGATATTCCAATTTGTACGGATGGGCGGACGGACAGAGCCTAATACTATATCCCCCGCTTGGCGCTAAACGCGCGGCAGGGGATAACAACAAAAAGTCAGACTGACCTGAACTGGGCCTTCATGCACAGTGACCACGCAGGCCATGACATCCACAATCCACTGTGGCCGGACCACGACGTAGGACTTCAGGAAGGGAGTGTTGAAGAACTGCACTGACCCAAGATCGTGCAGGAACTGGATGGACTGAGTGAGCTGAAAGAGTTGTATAATAGTAGAATAATGTTTGCAGGTTCCAAAACATAGAAACACCCGATTGGCTATGGTTTGGGGAACATCGCTTATGCATTTTTGAAGGAGGGAGGGATGGAGGGAGGAAGAGGGAGAGAATAAGAGAGAGACAGAGACAAAGAAAGAGAGAGACAAAGAGCAAAAGAGACAGAGAGTTGAAAACACTTGAATAATATTCGGGCAATTCACCCAAGGGACACAACTCTGTATAGCAAATTGCGACACATTCACTTATGACAATAAGCACTATCAGCCGTTAAAAAGATAACGCTATACATGAAATGACTTTGGTTCAACTTCCTTACAAAGAAGACATCAAGGGGAGGTAATCAGTGTAAAACCATTTCATACAACAGTATAAGTCTGTCTAAGTGCCTCCTACATACTTCAACTTCGTCAACTATGCCGCACACTTCTCCACTTTTCTGGACATCCTTCCACGGCATCAGATCCTGGTTCCTTGCCCTGCAACAGTGAGTGAGTGAGTGAGTCGGTTCTACACTCCTCTTTCCAGCAATACCATGATACAAGAAATTTGAAATCCAGGCCGAGGGCATGGTGAGTGATGATTTGCAAGAGTGGGTGGCTTCACACTTATTCTGTCCCAAGCGACCAATTAAAAAGTCAGATCTAAATCGCTTCATCAAGATCTTTGAGCCCACATTGAAAGGTAATGCTTTGTGGCTTTCAAATCAGCCAATCAGCCTGGAGCTCGAGGCTTCTAGTGACTAACATTGTTTTTAACAGTATTTCAGTAATATCACAGCATAGGTTTCAGAGATGACTATTGGAAGTGTATGAAATAAGCCCAAAACCCAGCCAGACATCAGGGCTTGTAACTTCAAAATGTTACCATCCCAAAATGGATTTAACCAGACCAGATATGGTGAATTTACTCAGATGTATGGAACATCAACAAAATTTACCAGACCATCAGGTTGGCTCGCTGTAAATTTGGACCGTCCATCAGAAATCTAACCCATCTCGGGTGGTCGGACAGGCCTTATTTCATACACTGCTATTGGACAATTCTCCTCAACAAAATGCAGTGCCTAAGACAACACAGATGCCAATTTCTGCCTGAAAACAGGATCTACAAATAACAGTTGCATGCTCTCACTTTATGAGGACTTTCTCCAGGTTGAGCCAGGCCTCGGGGATCTTCTCCCCCATGTACTTCTGATCCAGGGTGACCTTGATGAGGTCAGACTTCAGCTTCTCGATGCCCTCACCCGTGTACGAGCTGACTGTGTAGAAGCCTGTGATCTGTGGGTAGCGTCGCAGCAAGTCATCTGTCGGCATCCTCGGCTTCTCTACCTGAAGATCATCATTATCATCACCAGTATCATCATAATCATCATCATCATCATCATCATCATCACTATCAACTTTTTCATCATTTGTGTAGGGGGTGGGGGGGCGGTGGGGTAACCTAGTGGTTAAAGCGTTCGCTCCTCACGACGAAGGCCTGGGTTCAATTCCCCACATGGGTACAATTTGTGAAGCACATTTGTGGTGTTCCCCGCCGTGATATTGCTGTAATATTGCTAGAAATGGCGTAAAACCCTACTCAGTCAGTTCAGTTTAGGGGGTGGCATGCAATGGAGGACTTACCTTATCACAGTGTGTGCCAACCACCAGTATAGGAGCTTTAGGGGCGTGGCATGCGATGGAGCTCAGCCAGAAGTCCAGACCAGCATGTTCGTAGCCCAGTCGGATGTTCCACAGGAGGAAGTAAACGGCTCGGTTTGACAGGAAAAACTGAGGAATGGAAAGTAAGACATAACACTTACTGACATAAACTCTTACTTACATAAACTATTACCACCCTAAACTCTTACTTACATAAACTATTACTGGCATAAACTTGATCTTAAACTCAAACCAACATTAACTCATACCAACATAAACTCCACAAACTCAAACCAACATAAACTCCATAAACTCTCACCAACATAAGCACTGACCAACATAATCTCATACCAACATAAACTCAAACCAACATAAACTCAAACCAACATAAACTATTACTAACATCAAACCAACATAAACTCTTACCAACATGAACTCTTACCAACATAAACTCATACCAACATGAACTCTTACCAACATAAACTCATACCAACATAAGCACTGACCAACATAAGCACTGACCAACATAAACTCAAACCAACATAAACTCAAACCAACATAAACTCAAACCAACATAAACTCAAATCAACATAAACTCTTACCAACATGAACTCTTACCAACATAAACTCATACCAACATGAACTCAAACCAACATAAACTCAAACCAACATAAACTTTTACCAACATAAAATCATACCAACATAACTTAAACAGATTTATTTATCTGTCCATTTCATGATAACCAGTATTACTGATGATTGTTGGTATTCTGTAAATAATCTTGACATGACCAGACAATCCAGTGATGAATATTATGAACAACCGATTGTAACTGACATGTACTGACATCTAACACAACTAAGGAGCTACACAGCCTCTGCATCACCTCCTTTCAACCAAAGTAGCTGTTTACATTTCCACCCATTTCCTCGAATTGAATAAACAACAAGGGAGATACATCGTCCATGTTGCCGCCATTACCTGATGCGTGTTGTAGTAGACGGTCTGTCCAGCAAAGTCCCATGTGCTGTAGGAGATGGGCTCCTTGGATCCCTCGACAGGGACGTCCCATCGGGTGATGTCGATACCGTCGGTGATGTTTTCACCGTAGTCGGTGTAGTAGGCATAGCTGCCATCTGTCAGTACTCGAACCAGGCTGGGATAAAAGAAACAAAATTTCACTGAAGAGATCATCTCATGTCCACATCATGTAATCAACCAAACAGGAACCATGTGCACTTTACGCTGAATCAGTGAACGAGTGAGTGAGTGAGTGAGTGGTTTGCACACATCCTCAACTCTGCCACTGAAAACAAGCAAGAGTCAAAATCACAGAAAATCAGGAAAGGCAACCAGATCCTGTCAGGTAAGGGACATAACTCAGATTAGAGTTTATTTAGCTGAGGATTCAGTACCTGGTTTTGCCAGCTCCTCCAAGTCCAACAAACATCAACTTCGTTCGCTTGCAGTCCACCGACCCCATCCTCAGTCGCCGTAGGTATCCCAGGATGGCCTTGAATCCTCTGCCAACAACCTCTTTAGGAGGGGTTTTCAATGCTGGGCAGTTCTTCAAGTGCAATTCTTAAAAAGACATGACAAATACAAAATTACAATTAAAACAATGTCGTAATTAAATGATCATTAATATGGAAACTGTTCATTATTCTAAGGCTAATATTATAAAGGGAAGGGAGCTGACCATCTGACACATTCAAAATATTTTCAAAATTCAAACATGAAGTGTTCTAACTCACCTTTTAGTGGAGTGGCAGTTATTTCTGCAGATACTGATACAAGAGGAAGGTTGTTGCTGAGGTTGATAGACTCTAGTTTAGTGAGGCCTGATATGGAGTCCTCAATGCTGGTCAAGCAGTTGTTGGACACGTCCAGCGTCTCCAGCGTTGTGCACGCCATCAGGAAGTCTGGGAGCTGTCCACTCTCTGAAACACATTCAATATGTGTGGACGAGATAAGGTTAACACTGCTTTGAAGAGAATGCATGTTTATCATGCCCTTCAGCTTAAATTCGTTTAGTTGGTTGGTTTGTTGTTTAACGCCACACTCAGCAATATTCCAGCAATATGACAGCAATCTGTAAATAATCAAGTCTGGACCTGACAATCCAGTGATCAACATCATGAGCATCGACCTACGCAATTGGGATACAATGACATGTGTCAATCAAGTCAGCGAGTCGGACCACTCGATCCTGTCAGTCAGCTTAAAGGGACAGTGGGGTAGCCTAGTGGTTAAAGCGTTCGCTCATCACGCCGAAGATACAAGTTTGATTCCTCACATGGGTACAATATGTGAAGCCCATTTCTGGTGTCCCTTGTTATGATATTGCTGGAATATTGCTAAAAGGGGATGAACTTCACTCACTCACTCACTCACTCACTCACTCAGCTTAATGAGGGCTATTGCTAATTCTGGGAATTTGGAGGTGCCGTAACCAGTTCACATTTCACACGACACATAAGCAAAAGTATTACGAGATCAGACATTTTGATGGACATGATCCAACTCTAAGGCAACCAACCGTCCATAGTAATAGCAGCAATACAGTCTCCACAGCACACACATTGAGAATATTGTTTCATCTTTAAGCTACTTGTTCCTCAAAAGGCTTTCCACATCACAAGTCTGCACCTAAGCATCACTGTTTGAGTCGACACAGTTGAACTAAAACTAATCAGTCCTATCTTAACTAAACAGTTTTGCTTTCAAGGATCTTGTCAAATTTTCAAACGGACTGTTAAAGATGATACATATTAAACAAATAAAGTAATTACATTCGTTCTTAAGTCACAGGGGCCGTGGGGTAGCCTAAAGGTTAAAGCGTTGACTCGTCACGCCGAAGACCCGTGTTCGAATCCCCACATGGGCACAATATGTGAAGCCCATTTCTGGTGTCCCCCGCCGTGATGTTGCTGGAATATTGCTAAAAGCGGCGTAAAACCAAACTCAGTCAGTCAGTCTTAAGTCACACTTACTCTTGTCTTTCGTTTGAGTGTCCTTTCTTTGTCCAAATCGGAGATATGTTTCATTGGACATCATCGTATTGTTGATCTGTATGACCCCATCCCGGGTCAGTGACCCCGTCTTCCCGGGGTCGGCAGACTGGAACAGGTTCTTCCTGTCCTGGTAAACATAAGATGAGTGTGTGAGTGAGTGAAGTGGGTTTAACTCCACTCTCAGGGGTGCATCAGTAATATTGTGGAGCAATCTCTTGATGTCGGTTAAAAGCCCGAAGCAATGCTTGTCGAAGACACTGACCAGTCACGACAGTAGGGGAGGTGAGGTAGCCTAGTGGTTAAAGCGTTCGCTCGTCACACCGAAGACCCAGTTTCGATTCCCCACATGGGTACAATGTGTGAAGCCCATTTTCTGGAGCCCCCCCATCATGAAATTGCTGGAATATTGTTAAAAGTGGCATAAAACCAAACTCGCTCACTCACTCACTACAGATAATTCAGACTGACGTTACCTGATCAGATATTTGGTATGGATGTTAGTCAACGCTTATAGTATTTTACATAATTTTGGCAGAGAAGAGCTAAAATTTTACCTGTTCCGACATTTTCGACAGGACTGTGTTTTCATTGAGAAATGTTTCAAAGGATGTGTAGGTATATGTTGCTTTGGACGACGCCAGCGGTTCAATGATGGGAATTCCGGCCAAACCGAGCACTTTCAGCTGTGACGGTAAAGCAGACGGCAACTTCTCGATGACATTGTAGTTTAAGGAGAGCTTCTCCAAGCCAGGCATTATGGTACATATTGCGTCCAAATTTGGCACTTTGCCCACATTGTCTGCATGTAGTTCCACCAGATTCTTACACAACTGAACCACCACAGGAAGTGTGTACAGAGGATTGTGGGATATGTTCAAGAAGACGAGTTTGTCCTTGACATGAGATAAGTCTCCGGGCAGGGCTGCTAGTTTGTTGTAGCTAACATCGATAGATGTTAATTGATCACATTTTGCAACAGAGGGCAAGGTCATCAGTTGATTTCGCGCCAAGTTGAGGTCAGCAAGGTTGTAGAATCGGGTGAAGATATCTTCAGGCAGCTCCTTGATCTGGTTGTTTCGTAGATCGAGTTTAAATATGAGATGGTGATAGTTGTCAAAAGAGTTCAGGTCAATTTGGGAAACTTCGGACACGGGAGCCATGGCCAGCTCGTGGGGTTTGCATTGTACATGTTCCAGGTTGCCGTGACTGCTCACGATGGCACTGAAGGAGTCCTTCTCTCTGGCAGCCATAAGTATCGAGGTCACACTAAGAGCTTCACTGGACTCCAGAGTCTGAAGAAAATCAAATAATATCAGAAACTGGTGTGAGAAAAACAAGCGATGAGACAGCTGTAAAATGGGTACCCGTGAGGATGTGCTGGCAATGTGAGTGATTAGTTAATATCAGGAACTGGTGTGAGAAATACAAGCGATGAGACAGCTGTAAAATGGGTACCGTGAGGATGCGCTGGCAATGTGAGTGATTAGTTAGTTGCGCCTAACAGGCAGCATGGCTGTATGATCCCCAGGGAGTTGAATATGTATTGGATAGTACGATAGTGTCCTATGACTGGGGATAGTAATGTACGTAGCGCCGTGAGCAGGTAATGTGCCTGGACATGAGCGCCATAAAAGCGGATTATTACTATTACTATTAGTATATTAACAGAGGAATGATGTACACAGGAAGTGCAAATTTTCAATAGCAGTAGCTGAAGAACAGACACAGCAATTCAGAGTTATGATGATGATGAGGAGGAGGAGGAGGAGAGGAGGAGTGGAGGATGAGAGTTGGAGGAAGAGGAGAGGAGCAGAGGATGAGAGGAGGAAGAGGAGAGGAGGAGGAAGAGGAGTGGAAGAGGAGAGAGGAGAGGAAGAGGAGGAGGAAGAGAAGGAGGAGGAGGCCCAACATAAATACATACTGGGCATGCACAAGAGGTTTGAGCAGCAGGACATTTGGGATTACGCTTTCTCCATAATGTACCGATTCTTCTTTAAGTGGAGTAGCGTCGAGATTTCAAACCCACACTCTCAGAGCGGATAGTGGACAGACATAGATGAAGACTTCTTTTGAAAATCTGAAGACATTCTCGTGTGTAGTGATTGAAGCATTGGCTCATTATGGCTTTGGTAAAGGTTTACTTCCTAACATGGGTACAGTCCGTGATACATCGCTGTTGTTGGCCACTATGGTATTGCTGGAATAATGCCCAAGTGGTGTAAATCAAAAGTTACTGATTCATACCATATGATTATCTATAAGTAATGTTGTTTTTCAGATTCTGATACCTACCAAACGGTCTCCAGTAAAAGTAGTTCTTCGCTGCAGCTTTTTGGACTGCTTAAAGATGTGTCTCCCACTGACAAACCACAGCATCTTGAAATACATCCGCATCAGTCGACTGAAGGCGATCTCCATCTTCTCCTGGTCCTGGTCCATCTTCTCTGCTCCGGGGCACAGCATTGTCAGCTTTCCTGGCAGTGTGTGCTGTAACATTGGGAGAGTTTTGTCAGGAGATCTGTATGTATGTGCTCAAACACAGGGTGGGTTTTGTCAGATCTGTATGTATGTGCTCAAACACAGGGTGAGTCTTGTCAGATCTGTATGCATGTGCTTAAACACAAGGTGAGTTTTATCAGATCTGTATGCATGTGCTCAAACACAGGGTGAGTTTTATCAGCGCTGTATGTATGTGCTCAAACACAGGGTGAGTCTTGTCAGGAGATCTGTATGTATGTGCTCAAACACAGGGTGAGTTTTGCCAGATCTGTATGCATTTGCTCAAACACAGAGTGAGTTTTATCAGCTCTGTATGCATGTGCTCAAACCCAAGGTGAGTTTTATCAGCTCTGTATGTATGTGCTCAAACAGGGTGAGTTTTGTTAGATCCGTATGTATGTGCTCAAACACAGAGTGAGTTTTATCAGCTCTGTATGCATGTGTTCAAACACAGGGTGAGTCTTGTCAGGAGATCTGTATGTATGTGCTCAAACACAGGGTGAGTTTTGCCAGATCTGTATGCATGTGCTCAAAAACATGGTGAGTATTGTGAGATCTGTAAGCATGTGCTCAAACACAGGGTGAGTTTTGTTAGATCTGAATGTATTTGCTCAAACACAGAGTGAGTTTTATCAGCTCTGTATGCATGTGCTCAAACACAGGGTGAGTCTTGTCAGGAGATGTGTATGTATGTGCTCAAACACAGGGTGAGTTTTGCCAGATCTGTATGTATGTGCTCAAACACATGGTGAGTATTGTGAGATCTGTATGCATGTGCTCAAGCACAGGGTGAGTTTTATCAGCTCTGTATGTATGTGCTCAAACACAGGGTGAGTTTTGTTAGATCTGTATGTATTTGCTCAAACACAGAGTGAGTTTTATCAGCTCTGTATGCATGTGCTCAAACACAGGGTGAGTCTTGTCATGAGATGTGTATGTATGTGCTCAAACACAGGGTGAGTTTTGCCAGATCTGTATGTATGTGCTCAAACACATGGTGAGTATTGTGAGATCTGTATGCATGTGCTCAAACACAGGGTGAGTTTTATCAGCTCTGTATGTATGTGCTCAAACACAGAGTGAGTTTTATCAGCTCTGTATGCATGTGCTCAAACACATGGTGAGTATTGTGAGATCTGTATGCATGTGCTCAAACACAAGGTGAGTTTTGTGAGATCTGTAAGCATGTGCTCTAACACAGGGTGAGCTTTATCAGCTCTGTATGTATGTGCTCAAACACAAGGTGAGTTCTATCAGCTCTGTATGCATGTGCTCAAACACAAGGTAAGTTTTATCAGCGCTGTATGCATGTGCTCAAACACAGGGTGAGTCTTGTCAGGAGATCTATATGTATGTGCTCAAACACAGGGTGAGTTTTGCCAGATCTGTATGTATGTGCTCAAACACATGGTGAGTATTGTGAGATCTGTATGCATGTGCTCAAACACAGGGTGAGTTTTATCAGCTCTGTATGTATGTGCTCAAACACAGAGTGAGTTTTATCAGCTCTGTATACATGTACTCAAACACATGGTGAGTATTGTGAGATCTGTATGCATGTGCTCAAACACAGGGTGAGTTTTGTTAGATCTGTATGTATTTGCTCAAACACAGAGTGAGTTTTATCAGCTCTGTATGCATGTGCTCAAACACAAGGTGAGTTTTATCACCTCTGTATGTATGTGTTCAAACACAGAGTGAGTTTTATCAGCTCTGTATGCATGTGCTCAAACACAAGGTGAGTTTTATCAGCTCTGTAAGTATGTGCTCAAACACAGAGTGAGTTTTATCAGCTCTGTATGCATGTGCTCAAACACAGGGTGAGTCTTGTCAGGAGATGTGTATGTATGTGCTCAAACACAGGGTGAGTTTTGCCAGATCTGTATGTATGTGCTCAAACACAGGGTGAGTTTTATCAGCTCTGTATGTATGTGCTCAAACACAAGGTGAGTTTTATCAGCTCTGTATGTATGTGCTCAAACACAGAGTGAGTTTTGTTAGATCTGTATGTATTTGCTCAAACACAGAGTGAGTTTTATCTGACTGTATGTATGTGCTCAAACAGAGTGAGTTTTGTTAGATCTGTATGTATTTGCTCAAACACAAGGTGAGTTTTATCAGCTCTGTATGTGTGTGCTCAAACACAGAGTGAGTTTTGTTAGATCTGTATGTATTTGCTCAAACACAAGGTGAGTTTTATCAGCTCTGTATGTATGTGCTCAAACACAGGGTGAGTTTTGTTAGATCTGTATATATTTGCTCAAACACAGAGTGAGTTTTATCAGCTCTGTATGCATGTGCTCAAACACAGGGTGAGTCTTGTCAGGAGATCTGTATGTATGTGCTCAAACACAGAGTGAGTTTTGTTAGATCTGTATGTATTTGCTCAAACACAAGGTGAGTTTTATCAGCTCTGTATGTATGTGCTCAAACACAAGGTGAGTTTTGTTAGATCTCTATATATTTGCTCAAACACAGAGTGAGTTTTATCAGCTCTGTATGCATGTGCTCAAACACAGGGTGAGTCTTGTCAGGAGATCTGTATGTATGTGCTCAAACACAGGGTGAGTTTTGCCAGATCTGTATGCATGTGCTCTAACACAGGGTGAGTTTTATCAGCTCTGTATGTATGTCCTCAAACACAAGGTGAGTTTTATCAGCTCTGTATGCATGTGCTCAAACACAAGGTAAGTTTTATCAGCGCTGTATGTATGTGCTCAAACACAGGGTGAGTCTTGTCAGGAGATCTATATGTATGTGCTCAAACACAGGGTGAGTTTTGTTAGATCTGTATGTATTTGCTCAAACACAGAGTGAGTTTTGTCAGCTCTGTATGCATGTGTTCAAACACAAGGTGAGTTTTATCAGCTCTGTATGCATGTGCTCAAACACAGGGTGAATTTTTTGTCAGATCTGTATGCATGTGCTCTAACACAGGGTGAGTCTTGTCAGGAGATATGTATGTATGTGCTCAAACACAGGGTGAGTCTTGTCAGAAGATCTGTATGTATGTGGTCAAACACAGGTTGAGTCTTGTCAGGAGATCTGTATGTATGTGCTCAAACACAGGTTGAGTTTTGTCAGATCTGTATGTATGGGTTCTAACACAAGGTAGGTTTTGTCAGATCTGTATGCATGGGCTCTAACACAAGGTAAGTTTTATCAGCCCTGTATGTATGTGCTCAAACACAGGGTGAGTCTTGTCAGGAGATCTGTATGCATGTGCTCAAACACAGGGTGAGTTTTGTCAGGAGATCTGTACATATGTGCTCAAACACAGGGTGAGTCTTGTCAGGAGATCTGTATGTATGTGCTCAAACACAGGGTGAGTTTTGTCAGGAGATCTGTATGTATGTGCTCAAACACAGGGTGAGTTTTGTCAGGAGATCTGTATGCATGTGCTCAAACACAGGGTGAGTTTTGTCAGGAGATCTGTATGCATGTGCTCAAACACAGGGTGAGTCTTGTCAGGAGATCTGTATGTATGTGCTCAAACACAGGGTGAGTTTTGTCAGGAGATCTGTATGTATGTGCTGTAAACAAGTGAGTGAGGTGAGGTGAAGTGAAATTGGGTTTAACGTCGTACTTGAGAATATTTCGCTCATATGACGACGTATCATATGACCACAACACCACGGAGGCGAGTGAGTGAGTGAGTGAGTGAGTGAGTGAGTGAGTGAGTGAGTGAGTGAGTGAGTGAGTGAGTGAGTGAGTGAGTGAGTGAGTGAGTGAGTGAGTGAGTGAGTGAGTGAGTGAGTGAGTGAGTGAGTGAGTGAGTGAGTGAGTGAGTGAGTGAGTGAGTGAGTGAGCCCTCCCACCTCCTGCAGCAGCAACGCCAGGTAGGTGAGTATCAGCACCGTCTCCATCTCTGCGTACCCGGCCAGACTTTGGAAGGCAAATCCAGGGAGATCCACCATGTGCACATCAAACTCTGAAACAAGATGATCACAAGTTCCCTTCTGTCCTTTAACTAAATCAGTAATCTGAAATATTTAATCCCTGTCTAAAACAAAGCACCTTGTTATACTAAAAACTAGCAGCAAGGCATGTATTGTTATTGCCAGGGTATTAGCACCAGGGGTGACTATTGAGGGGGAATCAACTATTGCGATAGCGATAGTCTATTGCGACATACTATTGCAATAGTTTCTTTCTCCTTGAATTGTCTCATTCATCCAAATGAATGTATAGTTTATATGAAATAAAAACAAGTTGAAGTGGTTTCAGTCTGATTTGATACCTGACAAGAAATTTGAAACCCAGAACAAGTGAGTGAGTGAGTTTAGTTTTACGCCGTACTCAGCAATATTCCAGCTATATGGCGGCGCCCAGAACAAGTAAACAGTTAACAGGTAACAGGGGCAGATAACTCTAAATCAAAGTGAACGAATCTGGTACTTAGTGTATTTTGTGCTATGCATTTATCAACGGAAGTCAATTACTAAACTATCAATAGTCACACATACTATCGATGCATAAACAGTTTTTCGTTTCAACCATCGATTAATTGCTATCAGAGACTCAACATTTGCAATCCATTGATAGTTTGATGCATCGTGACAACCTTAATTAGCACTATATAAATAGGAAAGAGTTGTGACAAGGTCAACAGTTTGTTCTCCTACGAATTCAACAATGCTCACTGTAATTACCCCTATTAAACTATGCATGAATTTCAAGCCAATATACTCAGCTACAAAATGAGACACTGATGACAAATACCAAAGTTGTGTTTGAGGAGTCTTTAGAACTATCAATATCATGACTTATGGTTTCCAAGTCAAAACCCATGCTCAGAGTTTGCATTCTCTTCTGTTCGTGAGGTGAGGTGAGGTGAAATTGGGTTTAACATCGTTCTTGAGAATATTTCGCTCATATGACGACGTGCATGCGTGTGTATGTGTATGTGCGGCTGCTTGTACTAGCCCAGACTTAAGCTGGTTTTATAGTGCTAGCTCACTAAGATACCATGCCGCAGTGAAGCATGAATACCCCACTCAGACACAGTATACTGACTCCGAGCCGACCAGTCCTTGATGTACCCATTAATGCCGAGCGCCAGGCAGGGACCAACAAGTACCATATTTTAATGTCTTTGGGTATGACGCGGCCGGGGATCGAACCCGCGACCTTCCGCTCTCCGGGAGGACGCTCTAACCACTACACCACGGAGGCTGTCCTCTTCCGTTCGTAGGAAGATATGACATGTAACCTCTGCAGGAAGAGAATGACATTCCTGATCCCTACTCACTTTCCGTACTTCCTACCCACAATGCTTTACAACTTACTGTCAGGATGACACAGGAAGTGGATATTCTGTTCCGTGTGGTTGGCAATGGCCGACATGGATGGATACCGGATGAAGTTGACATCCAGTGATGTGGGCAGGACACAGAATAGACGCTGGTTGCGAGTAAGAAACTCACTAAGATCGTCGCGGAGATCTGGTGAAGGATCTCTCAACATCCTCCTCACGTCCAGCTCAATTACTGAAAGTGAAACCAAAGATATTTTGAAAACAGAATGACAAAGAAATTCCAGGTCTGACTTCACTTTCAAGATCAATGGGATGATAGATTAGTCGTGGTGGGCAAGCTGGCTAAGGCGCCACGCTAGTGATCCAGCGAGGTTGAGGTGTCGGGATCGAGCCCACCTGTGACCGGGTGTAAAAACCTTGGAGTCAACTTTGTGTGCAGACTCTTTCAGTGTTGTCACAACCCCTAGTGTACAGTACACAACCCTGTGCACTTAAAAGAACCCACGAATCCGTTGGTATTTGACAAGATGGTGGCCACATGAATAGGTGCAAACACCTAGTTGCGGGTACAGCAACGTGCAGTGAACATGGACAAAGTACTGTAACTATGTGTCCCAGTCCACCCAGCTGTGAATGGGTACCTCGTTAGGATGAGAAAGCCACAATAACTCGGTGCGCCTAGTGGCTGCAAGAGTTGTATACTCCCCAGGGAGTTGAGATTGATAATGCGATGTGCCGTTGAGATCGACATCCAATGATCAAGGGAAAAATACCAGCGCCTTGAGCATGCACTAGTGTGTGGATATGTGCGCTATATAAATATCCTATAATAATAATAATTATGGCCCCCAGACTGGGTTTGAAAGAGCCAGTTATATAACATAAAGATATGGTAGTGTAGTCTCATCTCATCTTCAGCCATCCATGTCAGGTCACTCAACAAGAGTGAGTGAGTTTAGTTTCATGCCACACATTCCAGCTATATGGCGGCGGTCTGTAAATAATAAAGTCTGGACCAGACAATCCAGTGATGAAAAGTATGAGATCAATCTGCGCAATTGGGAACTGATGACATGTGTCAACAAAGCCAGTGAGCCTGACCACCCCATCCCGTTAGTCGCCTCTTACGACAAGCATGGGTTACTGAAAGTTCATTCTAACCCGGACCTCAACAAGATGTGTTACTTGAAAGGAGTTATTTATCCAGTTATTTATCATATGGCAGCGCACTACACTTGGTAAACAAGGAGGCTTAAATATCAGTGTACAGAAACGTGTACAGCGAGAGACAGTCTTCTTCGATTTAATGATGTACCTGAGCCTCTGTTTTTCATACTCTGGCAGCGAAGATGCTTCGGTCCGCTTGATGATGTCGGGGAGGTGGTTATGTTGAGACATCTCAACGTCTCATCTGGGGGAGTGCCTTCTTTCTGGATCTGAATATATAAATACGAGACCCTAGAGGATAGTATTCCATAATATGACAATACCTCATCCCCTCATCTGGTGATGTAAACCCCAACATTTAACACAAAAAAAGAATAAAATGGTAAAATGATAAAACTGTAAATTATCAACCCAAAGAACAACAAGTCTCTCTGCCAAAACAGATTCCACTGTACTAAAATGCAAATTAGCCATGAAAATTTAGCTAAACCTGTAGAGGTTTCCAATTCTTTGAAGAGAGTCGTCTTTGGGGTACATATATGCATTTTCTGCGGCTGAAAATGTCATGTGACAGTGGTATCAATGGTATTACCTGGTTGGCTGCGCATGCGTAGCAGGGAGGTAACTCCACGTGGTGGGGGCCGTATAATAGATAACAAAGTTTTTTATTTATTGCACAATATTTTTATTAAAACATTGATACAACTGTCACATGACATTTTCAGCCACAGAAAATGCTTATATGTACCCCAAGGACTATCTCTATGAAAAAGAATCATAAGATCTTATGCCCCTGTCCACAATCAGCATCAGTTAAACCTTCCACATCACTGATTCTTTCAACCGACAAAGCAAGCCAAGGCCAGGTTTGAGTGAGTGAGTGTTAATGACAGATAAGAATTCTTTTTCAACTTACATCAGAGAAGAAATCCCAGGGCACTGGATCTGCATCTTCTTCCTGAAGGTACTGCGCCCAGTCAAACTGACGGCCATAGTCTGCAATAGTCACACACAATGTTATCCCATGACAATATCCCGCGACGCTACCCCATGATGCTACCCAAATGATGCTATCCCATGACGCCACCCCAAAATGTTATCCCCCGATGCCACCCCATGACACTATGCCATTATGCCACCCCATGACATTATGCCACCCTACCATGCCACCCCATGACACTATGCCATGACACTATGCCATGATGCCACCCCATGACACTATGCCACCCTACCATGCCACCCCATGACACTATGCCATGATGCCATCCCATGACACTATGCCACCCTACCATGCCACCCCATGACACTATGCCATGATGCCACCCCATGACACTATGCTACCCTACCATGCCACCCCATGACACTATGCCATGATGCCATCCCATGACACTATGCCACCCTACCATGCCACCCCATGACACTATGCCATGCTACCACCCCATGACACTATGATACCCTACCATGCCACCCCATGACACTATGCCATGATGCCACCCCATGACACTATCCCATGATACCCTACCATGCCACCCATGACACTATCCCATGATGCCAATGATGCCACCCCATGACACTATGCCATGATGCCACCCCATGACACTATGCCACCCTACCATGCCACCCCATGACACTATCCCATGATACCCAATGATGCCACCCCATGACACTATCTCATGTTAGTGTACCATGTCACACATGACTGTTGAGTTCACAGTGAGTCATAGTTACTTGTGTTTAACACAACTTTGAACAATATTTTAGTGTATCAGCTGTTCAGCCCAATGTGACAACATTCCAGAAGTGATTTGGTCTAAGACGTTGAATGCTTAAGTAAACCCAGTGAGAAGGTGATTGAGTTGTGGTTATGCTGTCTTTAACAGTATTTCTGTTGTATCATAGCGATTCAGCTTAATGTCAGAGGAAAGTCTCAAGTGAAACCCATGAGTATGGAAATTGGGCTGACGTGATACAATCATAGGTTTCTGGCATGCGTAAGTGGTGTAACTCTGCACTGTTAATTGCAGTGCTTTAGATTACTGGTGGACCCATACTCCTGTGAAAACATGAGCACAGGCATAGTACTGATAAACTCAGAAACACAGGGTATGCAACAGTAGTTTTCTATCTAGTGACCTTGACCTTCAGTGCCTCAGATGACAAGGGACGCCCATGCTCCTGTGAAAACATGAGCATGAGCTGAAACCAATAAACCCAGAAACACAGGGTATGCAGCAGTACATGTGCACTTTTATGCTGGCAGACGTAAACATGACGGAGAAAGTAATAAACAAATATAACCATGTTTACAAAACCTGAATGCAAACCTTGACCTATAAACAAAATCATAAACATATGAACAATTTGTTTAGTAACTGTAATCACAAATTGGGTGTTCTATCCAATGACCTTGACCTTTGATAGGTTCAGACCAAGTGCCCAAAGAATGCCCTCGGACATTTTAAGGTTCTATTAGGACTTACTTTTAGGAGCCTGCAGTTTTGGGGAGTAGTTCTTGTTTGTGCGGCCAACAGCTGCCATGTACCCGAGGGGATGAAGATTCTTCACATCTGGCTCTGTCCAGTAATCATACTTCGATGTCCAGCCATCAAAATGGATTAACCATTTACCATCTTCTGCAATTTCCGCTGTACATCAGCAAAGAAACTATGTATAAGTACATTGGAGAAACAAACACATGAGAGGAATACAAGACATACTGACTGACTGAGTTTGGTTTTACGCTGCTTTTAGCAATATTCCAGCAACACCACGGCGGTACAAGACATACTGACGCTTGGTATGAAACACTAAGAATGGACATAAGGTATAAACATCAAGAATTCACAGAAAAAGTAGACACTAGCATAAGACAAAATATTGCATTCTTATGCATTCACCTGACGAAGGGGCAAGCAATAGCCCAGAAACGTGAAAACAATAAAGAAGAAGTTGACATCCATAATATTTTGTCTTATACTTGAATACCAACTTCTATATGCCTCTCAAGAACCTCAAGTAGACACTAGTAATGAAGACATGGGTGAATAAAAGAAATTAAATAAAAAACCAAAACAACAGATAAAACAATGAACACCTGGACTAGTATACACAATGGGGTTACGGGACCACAAAGGTGCACCAAGCTTATAAGCTCGTTTGTGGTCCCGTACCGCCATTGTGTATACTACTCATGGCATGAATCCTATATAAGAAACACAAGAAATGAAACATGGCATTCAACAGAATAAACAGAAACTGAAACCAATAATTAAATCTGTTCACTTTTAACACACAAGAGAACTTACTGATAGTTGCCACGCACACTAGAGAATTTACCGATAGTTGCCACGCACACTAGAGAACTTACCGATAGTTGCCACGCACACTAGAGAACTTACTGATAGTTGCCACGCACACTAGAGAACTTACCGATAGTTGCCACGCACACTAGAGAACTTACCGATAGTTGCCACGCACACTAGAGAACTTACCGATAGTTGACACGCACACTAGAGAACTTACCGATAGTTGCCACACACACTAAAGAAGTTACTGATAGTTGCCACGCACACTAGAGAACTTACCGATAGTTGACACGCACACTAGAGAAGGGTTCAGTAGATCCAGTGCCTCCAGCCTCATGCCGACCTTCACCTCAAGGTTAGATTGCTGGAAAGTGAAAATTGGTGGTGCATCTGTCTAAGTAAACTTAGGCTCAGTATTATTTGTTACACTGCTACACTTAGTCTAACAAAACCTAGTAGAAGGTCGCATCAGCTAAACTTTTGGACTGACCAATCAGAACACAGCTTACCAAATCGCGAAAGTTAACATTCGCCCATACTGTTTGAACCTTAACTTCAAAAACTCAAACGATTCCGAATGCTATTTTCTGCACGATCGCTTCCGAGTGATAAACGCAATGAGTAAACAGTTGCTGAAAATAGCGTTTTTGTCAATATTCAAGGCTGTCATCTTGCGAAAATATAAGCAAACAGTAACCATGTCATTAGAAACCCCATAAGCGTATATACTGCAGGTCAAATATCTGTGTTTTATGCGGATTTCCGTTTGTTGATAGATCAGTGTCGGCGACCAGGGAGGAGAAAATCCAAAAAACGTTTTGTAAGTTCCGACGAACCCTAACAAGTAGTCGTCTCATTGGTTAAATCCCTTCGTCCATCTCGCACTTGATTGGACGGTCATAGGTCGCTCAAAGGTTAGCTGACGCGACCTTCTACTAGGTTTTGTTAGACTCAGTATAGCAGTGTAACGAATAATACTGGGCCTAAGTTTACTTAGACTGGTGGTGCATTTTCATGCTTAAGAAGCCTAAACTCAATTAACCTATTTCGGCATCATCTTGTAGCTGTTATGAAGGTTTCTTTAAATACCGGAGAAATATGGGTAGCCTAGTGGCTAAAGAGTTCCCTCATCACATCCAAAACCCGAGTTCAATTTCCCACATGGTTCCAATTGTGAAGTGATTTCTGTTGTCCCTCACCATGATATTGCTGGAATTTTACTAAAAGTGTTTTATAACCACACAAAGTCCTTAAATACTAAAAAATCCTTTAATGGAGTTGCAAGTATTCTTGTATGCCAGAAATACTGGTTATAATGGAATGGAATACATGTCTTGGATATGTGAGTCCAAGAAAAAAAGTGGTGATTGAAAACATATCCTTTCCTTTTATACAAAATCTGAGCAAGGGCCCCCCTATTCCCAAAAATGTAAAAGGATACAATGAGTGGCAATATGCACCAATACTGAATGGCATTCCAGCTATACCATGGCAATCAATAAATATTTGAGTCGGACAAACCACATTCTCTTTCCACAGAGGTTACTTGCCATATCTTCTACGAACCTCTGTTCTAATACATGGTGTGAGTGTTTAGTATTCGTGATTGGTTGCAATCAGATTTAGTTGTGCAATCAGCGATGTTGTTTCAAAAGTGATCATTCGCAAGGCCTCGGTAATTTCCGTATGCTTCGGGAAAACTAGAACCTCTTCCCCTGCACGATGCGCAAATGTTCCTTCTAGACCGAACTCAGACATGTAATGGCGGATCAATGGCATGTCCATCACCCTCGTTGACAACGGACAAGCTAGCCATTAAATGTCCTGTGTGTCACATCAACACAAGTCCCCGGCAGAGGAGGAATATTTGCTGCCCCATATTTGCTTGTATTAGTCAAGTTGGATCTAAGTCGATGTAACACGTTGTTCTGATTGGATAGAAAGAAGGGAGATAATTCTTGTTGCGATCTTTTGCAGCTAGGGGATTTTACGAGAACCGGGAAATATGGCCGTATTAGAACAGAGGTTTGTAGGAAGATATGACAAGTAACCTCTGTAGGAAGAGAATACAGGACCAGTGATTGATAACATTATGACATGCATTCAAAGAAGTCTGACCAACCAATCAGATCTGTGACCTTTTCAAAATCCAATACTCAAATTAATTAAGACTAGAAAGTCTGACATGACATATTTTAAAATGGTCGCACTTATTAAGACAACAGTTATTAAAGAGCAGCAAGCTTCCATAAGAAATCTCTGACATATGCATAGTCAATTGTACAATTGTGACGATATCATGAGCATATATTTGTTTCAGCAGTATTACAGCTGTACGATGCTGTTTGTAAACAAATCGAGTCTGGACCAGACAATCCAGTGGTTGTCACCATGCGATACGATGACAGAGCATGTGTTTATGAATCACTATGAAATAGTGATGATACCAGGTGTTCGCGAAAAGATGAGGGTATCCTGCCCCACCGGTGGGAGCCGTCATAAACATATGCTAAGTCTAGTCATTTGTTCACCTGAAATAATTCAGGAACGTATGGTACAAGTCAAATTAGGGAATTGCATCGGACATCATTTTTGTCACTGATGCATCAAATTTCGAAATTTCCTCCATATGTCTACCATGAAACTTTTGACAGCTTTACTGAGGACTGGAATGTTGTAATCTTGATCAAACAATTTCTGGGCTAACCTCATCCCAAACTATCAACGCACAACTTACCATGAAACTGTATCCACTCAAGGTGAAAGAACACGAAGGCTCATCGTGTTCCACACTCAGCTTCAGCGGCATGGCTGGTAGCGATATCCGTTCAACCTTTCCTTGGCCAATCTTATACTTCACAGTCATCTTGTCCTCCTTATCTGCCACCAAGGTGAAGGTCACTGGAATTCCTGCACTTTTGAAAGTACTCATCCATTTGAAGTTATTTTTCTTGCCGTTATCCACTACAGCACCGACACCTCCAGCAAGGTCAAAGGTCAAGGCTTCTTCATCCTTTGGAGAGCTAAAGTGAGAACAAGATTGTTAGGCATTGCATTAATTGAAAATCAACAGACACTATATGTAAATACTGTCAAACATTGTGTCTAACTATACTGTCAAACATTGGGTCAAAATCTACACATGTGCATGTATATACTGTCAAACAGTGTGTCAATCATTTTGTCTAACTCTACTGTCAAACATTGTGTAAAAATCTACACATATGTGCGTGTATATACTGTCAAACATTGTGTCTAACTCTACTGTCAAACATTGTGTCAAAATCTACACATATGTGTGTGTATATACTGTCAAACATTGTGTCTAACTCTACTGTCAAACATTGTGTCAAAATCTACACATATGTGTGTGTATATACTGTCAAACATTGTGTCTAACTCTTAACTGTCAAACATTGTGTCAAAATCTACACATATGTGCGTGTATATACTGTCAAACATTGTGTCAAACATTGTGTCTAACTCTACTGTCAAACATTGTGTCAAAATCTACACATAGTATGTGCGTGTATATACTGTCAAACATTGTGTCAAACTCTACTGTCCAACATTGCGTCAGAGTAAAGGTTCGGACCCAGTGTTTTCCTTCTTCAGTCATCCTTTTGCGTTTTTGTCAAACCTTTGAAAACGCAAAGTATTTGTGTAGGTATCTTCAACACAAATGTGTCACAAGATAAGACTTGTTTACAAACCTCACTCACACATCTCTCTTCACTTCACGCTCCAGTAGGCAGTCATCAATACACTTCACTTGTAACATCATATACTGATAAACTACCACCCGTGATGATCTGGGTTAGAATTGGTCTTCAGTAATTCATGCTTGTCATTAGAGGCGAGTAATGGGATCAAGTGTCAGGCTCGCTGACTTGTTTGACACATGTCATCACATACCAATTGTGTAAGATCGATGCTCATGATATTGATCACCGGATTGTCTATTCCAGACTTGACTAATTACAAAACACAGCAACAAAGCTGGAATATTGCTGAGTGCAGCATTGAACAACAACCAACCAACCAACCAACCAACCAACCAACCGACCGACTAACCAAACAACCAACCGTTTGACCTTCCCGTTTCATTTTTTCCAAAGATTACAGTAAAAACTTCAGAGCAATTTATTATCCTCCACTGTGTGAAAATGCTAGACCAATTTATGTATTAGAGTCAAGTGAAAAAACAAAGACATTGGTGTTACAATGTCCTAATCAAACTTGTGTGGATTGCAAACTCACTCGCTTCTATCATTCAGGTTCTACTTACACAAACTTCAGTTTCACTTTCAAGGTCTCAGACGTCATTAAGGTGAAGGTCACGGTAGGGTTATCGATCAAGGTCAGAGGTGATCTCATTTGTGCTGTTCCATTGGCTTCAAGGACAACAACTGATCCTACCATTTTACCCTTGATAAGCTTCATGTTATTTTCTGTGAGGAAACTTGGACGAAGGCTGTCTTGTGCACTCTAAAATCAATCAATATTACTTATTCCCAGTCGTACACATATCAAAGATATCAAAAGGATGTGTTGAGTGAGTGAGTTTAATTTTAAGCTGCTTTTAGCAAAATTCCAGCAATATCATGGTTCGGGGACACCAGAAATGGGCTTCACACATTGTACCCATGGTGAGAATCAAACTCAGGTCTTCGGCGTGACGAGCGAACGCTTTAACCACTGGGCCACCCCACCGCACCAGGACGTGGTGAGATTGCTGGTCCATCAGAAGTTGAGCACTTTTGTTAACTAAACATCCACTGAGCCTCTCACTCACTCACCCAGAAAACACCCACCAACCCAGTCCATCACTCACTCACTCACTAAATACCCACAAACTCAGTCCCTAACTCACTCACTAACTAAATGCCCACCAACTCAGCCCCTAACTCACTCACTAAATACCCACAACTCAGCCCCTAACTCACTCACTAAATACCCCACAACTCAGCCCCTAACTCACTCACTCACTAAATACCCACAAACTCAGCCCCTAACTCACTCACTCACTAAATACCCACAAACTCAGCCCCTAACTCACTCACTCACTAAATACCAACCAACTCAGCCCCTAACTCACTCACTCACTAAATACCAACCAACTCAGCCCCTAACTCACTCACTCACTCACTAAATACCAACAAACTCAGCCCCTAACTCACTCACTAAATACCAACAACTCAGCCCCTAACTCACTCACTCACTAAATACCCACCAACTCAGCCCCTAACTCACTCACTCACTAAACACCCACCAACTCAGCCCCTAACTCACTCACTCACTAAATACCCATCAACTCCACCCCTAACTCACTCTACTCACTCACTAAATACCAACCAACTCAGCCCTAACTCACTCACTCACTACACTAAATACCCACCAACTCAGCCCCTAACTCACTCACTCACTACTAAATACCAACAAAACTCAGCCCTAACTTCACTCACCACTAAATACCCACCAACTCCCACCCCTAACTCACTCACTACCACTCACTAAATACCAACCAACTCATCTCCTAACTCACTCTCACTCACTCACTACTACTCACTACTAAATACCCACCAACTCAGCCCCTAACTCACTACTCACTCACTAAATACCAACAAACTCAGCCCCTAACTCACTCACTCACTCACTACTAAATACCCACAAACTCAGCCCCTAACTCACTCTACTAAATACCCACAACTCAGCCCCTAACTCACTCACTACTAAATACCCACCAACTCAGCCCCTAACTTACTCACTCACTAAATACCCACCAACTCAGCCCCTAACTCACTCACTCACTAAATACCCACCAATTCAGCCCCTAACTCACTCACTCACTCACTCACTGAATACTCACCAACTCAGCCCCTAACTCACTCACTCACTAAATACCCACCAACTCCACCCCTAACTCACTCACTCACTCACTAAATACCCACCCACTCAGCCCCAACCCACTTACTCACTCACTAAATACCAACAAACTCAGCCCCTAACTCACTCACTCACTCACTAAATACCCACAAACTCAGCCCCTAACTCACTCACTCACTCAATACCCACCAACTCAGCCCCTAACTCACTCACTAAATTCTTACACCAACTCCATCCCTAACTCACTCACTCACCAATACCAACCAACTCAGCTCCCCTAACTCACTCACTTCACTCACTAAATACCCACAAACTCAGCCCCTAACTCACTCACTCACTCACTAAATACCCACCAACTCCATCCCTAACTCACTCACTCACTCACTAAATACCCACCAACTCAGCCCCTAACTCACTCACTCACTCACTAAATACCCACCAACTCAGCCCCTAACTCACTCACTCACTTATACCAACCAACTCAGCCCCTAACTCACTCACTAAATACCCACAACTCAGCCCCTAACTCACTCACTCACTAACTAAATGCCCACCAACTCAGCTCCCTAACTCACTTCACTCACTCACTAAATACCCACAAACTTCAGCTCCCTAACTCTTATTCACTCTACTAAATACCCACCCACTCAGCTCCCTAACTCACTCTCACTCACTAACTAAATGCCCACCAACTCCGCCCCTAACTCACTCACTCACTCACTAAATACCCACCAACTCAGCCCCCAACTCACTCACTCACTAAATACCCACCAACTCAGCCCCTAACTCACTCACTCACTAAACACCCACCAACTCAGCCCCTAACTCACTCACTCACTAAATACCCATCAACTCCACCCCTAACTCACTCACTCACTCACTCACTAAATACCAACCAACTCCGCCCCTAACTCACTCACTCACTCACTAAATACCCACCAACTCAGCCCCTAACTCACTCACTCACTCACTAAATACCAACAAACTCAGCCCCTAACTCACTCACTCACTAAATACCCACCAACTCCACCCCTAACTCACTCACTCACTCACTCACTAAATACCAACCAACTCCTAACTCACTAACTCACTCACTCACTCACTCACTCACTAAATACCCACCAACTCAGCCCCTAACTCACTCACTCACTCACTAAATACCAACAAACTCAGCCCCTAACTCACTCACTCACTCACTCACTAAATACCCACAAACTCAGCCCCTAACTCACTCACTAAATACCCACAACTCAGCCCCTAACTCACTCACTAAATACCCACCAACTCAGCCCCTAACTTACTCACTCACTAAATACCCACCAACTCAGCCCCTAACTCACTCACTCACTAAATACCCACCAATTCAGCCCCTAACTCACTCACTCACTCACTCACTCACTGAATACTCACCAACTCAGCCCCTAACTCACTCACTCACTAAATACCCACCAACTCCACCCCTAACTCACTCACTCACTCACTAAATACCCACCCACTCAGCCCCCAACCCACTTACTCACTCACTAAATACCAACAAACTCAGCCCCTAACTCACTCACTCACTCACTAAATACCCACAAACTCAGCCCCTAACTCACTCACTCACTCAATACCCACCAACTCAGCCCCTAACTCACTCACTAAATTCCCACCAACTCCATCCCTAACTCACTCACTCACTCAATACCAACCAACTCAGCCCCTAACTCACTCACTCACTCACTAAATACCCACAAACTCAGCCCCTAACTCACTCACTCACTCACTAAATACCCACCAACTCCATCCCTAACTCACTCACTCACTCACTAAATACCCACCAACTCAGCCCCTAACTCACTCACTCACTCACTAAATACCCACCAACTCAGCCCCTAACTCACTCACTCACTTATACCAACCAACTCAGCCCCTAACTCACTCACTAAATACCCACAACTCAGCCCCTAACTCACTCACTCACTAACTAAATGCCCACCAACTCCGCCCCTAACTCACTCACTCACTCACTAAATACCCACAAACTCAGCCCCTAACTCATTCACTCACTAAATACCCACCCACTCAGCCCCTAACTCACTCACTCACTAAATACCAACCAACTCAGCCCCTAACTCACTCACTCACTCACTCACTCACTAAATACCCACCAACTCAGCCCCCAACTCACTCACTCACTAAATACCCAACAACTCAGCCCCTAACTCACTCACTCACTCACCAAATACCCACCCACTCAGCCCCTAACTCACTCACTCACTAAATACCAACCAACTCAGCCCCTAACTCACTCACTCACTCACTAAATACCCACCAACTCAGCCCCTAACTCACTCACTCACTAAATACAGAACTCATCCCCTCACCTTGGCCAGTGATGCTGCAGTACTGGTCACCCCACAGTACTCACACAGCACCCTCCCTCCCATGGTCGTTTCTGGGGTGGGGAACTTGTGGCCATACAACACTGTGCTGGACTTGCCTGAAACGATCACATTGTAATCAGCTTTTTCTGTCTTGTTTGTTGCTTCAAGCCACAGTCAGCAACATTCCAGCTATATGACAGGGGTCTGTAAATAATTGGGTCTGGACCAGACAATCCAGTGATCAACAGCATGAACATCGATCAGCACAACTGGGATTCAATGACATGTGAAAACCAAATGAGTGAGTCTGACCACCCGATCCCATTAGTCGCCTCTTACGACAAGCATGGGTTACGGGGAGACCAATTCTAACCCGGGTCTTGCCGGGTTGGTGTCAAGGACACTGTTTGAAGTATTGCTTTGTTTCACAGATTTGTTATCAATACCACTCAACATTAGATAATACACATATTACACACTACTAATACAAGTAAAGAGGTCACAGATTGTATGATAAAGTAATAAAACAATCTCACAGTTAGAGCAGCATAATTCAAACAGTTATCTAGGATCGATTATAAAGGCACAAGTTCACAATACATACAACAAACTGGAATTCATTAGCTGAAGCAGTTATTATCCAATACTAGACCTGGTAAACTCAATACCAAAGATTTTATTGTTTATCTAAAACGGCCAGAGAATACCTACTTGGGTTTTCTTTATCTGCAGAAACATCAGCCTACAAAAGAAAGATAAAAAATAATTTGATTCAGTATCAGCTTTCAGGACAAAATTCTTGCATCACATGTCATGGGTCGCGGGTTCGATCCACGACCGCCTCATACCAAAAGACGTTCAAATGTGGTATTTGTTGGTTCCTGTCTGCCACTCGGCTTTAATGGGTACAAAAAGGACTGGTCATCTCGGAGTCAGTATAATGTGTCTGAGTAGGGTATTCATGCTTAACTGCGGCATGGTATCTCAGTGAGCTAGCGTGATAAAACCAGCTTAAGTCTGGGCTAGTACAAGCAGTAAACATACACATGCATGCACGTCGTCATATGAGCGACCCATTTCACCTCACCTCACCTCACCTCACTAGATGATACTGGTGGAAGGTGAACCACAGAACCTGTAGAGATGGACACTCACCTGGTAGGAGAGATCGTTCTGTGACAGTACGTAGCTGGTCACTAGATGATACTGGTGGAAGGTGAACCACAGAACCTGTAGAGATGGACACTCACCTGGTAGGAGAGATCCTTCTGTGACAGTATGTAGCTGGTCACTAGATGATACTGGTGGAAGGTGAACCACAGAACCTGTAGAGATGGACACTCACCTGGTAGGAGAGATCCTTCTGTGACAGTACGTAGCTGGTCACTAGATGATACTGGTGGAAGGTGAACCACAGAACCTGTAGAGATGGACACTCACCTGGTAGGAGAGATCCTTCTGTGACAGTACGTAGCTGGTCACTAGATGATACTGGTGGAAGGTGAACTACAGAACCTGTAGAGATGGACACTAATCTCGTAGGAGAGATCGCTCTGTGACAGCAACGTGAGCTGGTCACTAGATGATACTGGTGGAAGGTGAACCATAGAACCTGTAGAGATGGACTCTCACCTGGTAGGAGAGATCCTTCTGTGACAGTACGTAGCTGGTCACTAGATGATACTGGTGGAAGGTGAACTACAGAACCTGTAGAGATGGACACTCACCTGGTAGGAGAGATCGTTCTGTGACAGTATGTAGCTAGTCACTAGATGATACTGGTGGAAGGTGAACCACAGAACCTGTAGAGATGGACACTCACCTGGTAGGAAAGATCGTTCTGTGACAGTACGTAGCTGGTCACTAGATGATACTGGTGGAAGGTGAACTACAGAACCTGTAGAGATGGACACTCACCTGGTAGGAGAGATCGTTCTGTGATAGTACGTAGCTGGTCACTAGATGATACTGGTGGAAGGTGAACTACAGAACCTGTAGAGATGGACTCTCACCTGGTAGGAGAGATCGTTCTGTGACAGTACATAGCTGGTCACTAGATGATACTGGTGGAAGGTGAACTACAGAACCTGTAGAGATGGACACTCACCTGGTAGGAGAGATCGTTCTGTGACAGTACGTAGATGGTCACTAGATGATACTGGTGGAAGGTGAACCACAGAACCTGTAGAGATGGACACTCACCTGGTAGGAGAGATCGCTCTGTGACAGCAATGAGCTGGTCACTAGATGATACTGGTGGAAGGTGAACCACAGAACCTGTAGAGATGGACACTCACCTGGTAGGAGAGATCGTTCTGTGACAGTACGTAGCTGGTCACTAGATGATACTGGTGGAAGGTGAACTACAGAACCTGTAGAGATGGACTCTCACCTGGTAGGAGAGATCGTTCTGTGACAGTACATAGCTGGTCACTAGATGATACTGGTGGAAGGTGAACTACAGAACCTGTAGAGATGGACACTCACCTGGTAGGAGAGATCGTTCTGTGACAGTACGTAGATGGTCACTAGATGATACTGGTGGAAGGTGAACCACAGAACCTGTAGAGATGGACACTCACCTGGTAGGAGAGATCGTTCTGTGACAGTACGTAGCTGGTCACTAGATGATACTGGTGGAAGGTGAACTACAGAACCTGTAGAGATGGACACTCACCTGGTAGGAGAGATCGTAGTTCTAGTGACAGCACTTAGCTGGTCATTAGATGATACTGGTGGAAGGTGAACTACAGAACCTGTAGAGATGGACACTCACCTGGTAGGAGAGATCGTTCTGTGACAGTATGTAGCTGGTCATTAGATGATACTGGTGGAAGGTGAACTACAGAACCTGTAGAGATGGACACTCACCTGGTAGGAGAGATCGCTCTGTGATAATAACGTAGCTGGTCACTAGATGATACTGGTGGAAGGTGAACTACAGAACCTGTAGAGATGGACACTCACCTGGTAGGAGAGATCGCTTCTGTGATAGTCACGTAGGAGCTGGTCACTAGATGATACTGGTGGAAGGTGAACTACAGAACCTGTAGAGATGGACACTCACCTGGTAGGAGAGATCGTTCTGTGATAGTACGTAGCTGATCACTAGATGATACTGGTGGAAGGTGAACTACAGAACCTGTAGAGATGGACACTCACCTGGTAGGAGAGATCGTTCTGTGACAGTATGTAGCTGGTCACTAGATGATACTGGTGGAAGGTGAACCACAGAACCTGTAGAGATGGACACTCACCTGGAAGGAGAGATCGCTCTGTGACAGTGACAGCACGTAGCTGGTCACTAGATGATACTGGTGGAAGGTGAACTACAGAACCTGTAGAGATGGACACTCACCTGGTAGGAGAGATCGTTCTGTGACAGTACGTAGCTGGTCACTAGATGATACTGGTGGAAGGTGAACCACAGAACCTGTAGAGATGGACACTCACCTGGTAGGAGAGATCGTTCTGTGACAGTACGTAGCTGGTCACTAGATGATACTGGTGGAAGGTGAACCACAGAACCTGTAGAGATGGACACTCACCTGGTAGGAGAGATCGTTCTGTGACAGTACGTAGCTGGTCACTAGATGATACTGGTGGAAGGTGAACTACAGAACCTGTAGAGATGGACACTCACCTGGTAGGAGAGATCGTTCTGTGACAGTACGTAGCTGGTCACTAGATGATACTGGTGGAAGGTGAACCACAGAACCTGTAGAGATGGACACTCACCTGGTAGGAGAGATCGCTCTGTGACAGTGAACCGTAGCTGGTCACTAGATGATACTGGTGGAAGGTGAACCACAGAACCTGTAGAGATGGACACTCACCTGGTAGGTCACCAGAGATCGTTCTGTGACAGATGGACGTAGCTGGTCACTAGATGATACTGGTGATGAAGGTGAACCACAGAACCTGTAGAGATGGACACTCACCTGGTAGGAGAGATCGTTCTGTGACAGTACGTAGCTGGTCACTAGATGATACTGGTGGAAGGTGAACTACAGAACCTGTAGAGATGGACACTCACCTGGTAGGAGATCGCTCTGTGACAGCACGCAGCTGGTCACTAGATGATACTGGTGGAAGGTGAACACAGAACCTGTAGAGATGGACACTCACCTGGTAGGAGAGATCGCTCTGTGAGAGCACGTAGCTGGTCACTAGATGATACTGGTGGAAGGTGAACCACAGAACCTGTAGAGATGGACACTCACCTGGTAGGAGATGGTTCTGTGACAGTAACGTAGCTGGTCACTAGATGATACTGGTGGAAGGTGAACTACAGAACCTGTAGAGATGGACACTCACCTGGTAGGAGAGATCGTTCTGTGATAGTACGTAGCTGGTCACTAGATGATACTGGTGGAAGGTGAACTACAGAACCTGTAGAGATGGACACTCACCTGGTAGGAGAGATCGTTCTGTGATAGTGGTCATGTAGCTGGTCATTAGATGATACTGGTGGAAGGTGAACCACAGAACCTGTAGAGATGGACACTCACCTGGTAGGAGAGATCGCTCTGTGACAGTCGCTCTGTGACGTAGCTGGTCACTAGATAATACTGGTGGAAGGTGAACCACAGAACCTGTAGAGATGGACACTCACCTGGTAGGAGAGATCGTTCTGTGACAGTATGTAGCTGGTCACTAGATGATACTGGTGGAAGGTGAACTACAGAACCTGTAGAGATGGACACTCACCTGGTAGGAGAGATCGTTCTGTGACAGTACATAGCTAGTCACTAGATGATACTGGTGGAAGGTGAACCACAGAACCTGTAGAGATGGACACTCACCTGGTAGGAGAGATCGTTCTGTGACAGTACGTAGCTGGTCACTAGATGATACTGGTGGAAGGTGAACTACAGAACCTGTAGAGATGGACACTCACCTGGTAGGAGAGATCGTTCTGTGATAGTACGTAGCTAGTCACTAGATGATACTGGTGGAAGGTGAACCACAGAACCTGTAGAGATGGACACTCACCTGGTAGGAGAGATCGTTCTGTGACAGTACGTAGCTGGTCACTAGATGATACTGGTGGAAGGTGAACCACAGAACCTGTAGAGATGCCAATTCATTGTGACCCTTCACACAGGCCACCTGCAGCTGCATGGAGTTTCCATCTGATACACATATACATAACAGTAAACCTGCACCAATTTAATCATTTTATTCATGAGCAAATTAAATAAACCATTTTTAGAACCTTAGTATTTGTGTGCTGATAAATATTTTGAAAATATTTGATCAAGTCTAAAAGTACAGTCGGGCACCGTTGTTTCGAACGCTGATATCTCGATATCTCGGTTGTTTTGATATAACATCTCAGTTCCGGCAAAATCCTTCATAATTTATCATTATTATCATACAGATGTCTCGATATTTCGGATATCTCAATATAATTTCATGGTCCCAACAAGCAAAATTACCCTATCAACTTGATATTTGCAAAAAAACCTCGATATTCACCTACCTATCATGGGCAAGTATCTCTATGAACTGAGGTTGTTTCCACACGTTTACACACGGTGCGGCATGAATCAAAGGGATGCGGTAGTGTAAACTAATTAGGGGTAATTGAGTTGAAGGTGTCACTTGTTTGTTATTTAATTAGGTTTAAGTAAGAAGGAATTAATTAGGAAGTACTCACTGTTACAAATAAACACTACTGATAACGGATTATAGTTTCAAATCAAAACATACCGAGAAGCTTTTTGTCTTCTTTCATAGTGATATGTGATGATATGCCCTCGTCGGATGTCTCGAAGTTTGGATAACTCGATATTTTTTTCTTGGTCCCATGAATATCGAGACAACGGTGCTCGATTGTACATTTTTTAATATTTCCACATGCCAATCAGTATATCAACAAAGGCTCTTAAAACATCCATTTGCTTTTGCATTCAGAAGTGACAGATCAATTATCTAACATCACAATGAATAAAAAAAATATAGAAAATTATCTGCCATCACACTTGGTATTATTCCAGATAAGTGAACAATTAGGAGATAAACATCATGTGTTGGCCAATTTCCGGGTGTTATTGAGTATTTGAAGCAGGGAATTCATTTGGAACCGACGGCGTCAGCAGAGAAAGGGACAGCCAGGTGTGCGAGAAAGGATGGAGACGGCACAGCACAGGCTAATGAATCAATAACTTGGTGGGCACTTGTGCACGTGCTACTCGAACACCTGGCTGTCCTTTCTCTGCACTCCTCCCTCGTAACAAATAGTGAGCTGTGTCAAAATATTAATGATAGTTTCTTAAAGAACTTTTTTGGTGGAGTCCGGAAAATTTTCAAATATAAGAAAGCTGTTGGGTATTAGCAAATGATAAACATGTGTACTATTTATATTTATGTGGCAATTTTGTACAATGATAAAATTTGCAATTCATCGGTCCGTTTCTGACTCAAACGGACTGTACATGGAGGACACCATTATTAACAGTTCTGTACGACTGGACGTATTTTTAAAACTGACCTTTCTTGAGTGTGACTTCCGCGACACCATCCTGCAGGACCACTCCATGACTCCACAGCATCACCGGTGTGTGGAGCTTCAGCACCGACGCCAGCACAAGGTGGAACACAGCTGTAGACAGCTGGTGGGGGAACGTGTACTGACAAGACACTTTCAGACTGTGGGCGTCATGGCGTTTGTCATTGAAATATGTCTGAGGAAAAAGGAAAACTTAACTTTCTTCACAACTGTGCGACCTGTGAAGGTATGAACGTTCAGTAACCCATGCTTCTCGTAAGAGGCGACTAATGGGATCGGGTGGTCAGACTCGCTGGCTTTGTTGACACATGTCATTGGTTCCCAATTGCGCAGATCGATGCTCATGTTGTTGATCACTGGATTGTCTGGTCCAGACTCGATTATTTATAGACCGCTGCCATATACAGTGAAGCCTCGTTAATCTGGACGGTTGCGTTTCTCAGTAAATTTGTCCGGATTGTGAATAGTCCGGACTACTGAATCAAGACCCAAGTTGCTTCCCTAACTATTACAAAAATGACACTAATCTTTGAATGTCCGAATGATTCCTGCATCCATCGGTTGAATATGAGACGTGGTATTTGGTCACATTTCGCAAAGTTAGCGAAGCACACTTGTGACTTGCAGCATTGTCGTAAGGCAAAATCACTTTAAGTCCATGTGACCGCGTCTGTCTAATTAAAACAACAACCCAGTTGGCCAGTTAATTAAGTAAACATCGCCGGGAGGTGTTGTTACGGTTCGTGAACACGACTTACAGTGTCCGGACTGTGAAGCAATTTACTGTTTATTTTACTGATTGGTGACAGCTACTTACCGTCCGGTTCCGGAAACCGAATTTCCGGATTATCGAGGTAAATTATATAGGCATAGATTGGTAACAAGCTGAAATCGTCCGGGAGGTGAGACATCCGGATTATCGGAGTCCGGACTAACGGGGCTTCACTGTAGCTGGAATATTGCTGAGTGTGGCGTAAAATAAAGTCACTCACAACTGCGCATAGCCATCTTCTGTGCAAGTGACTTGCAAACGAGCTGCTAAGGGGAGGTAACCTATGTGACATCGCTCCAGTCGTCTCTTATAACAACCATTAGCAATTTGAGATCTATATACCCAACCTGGGGGATTATTACAAGAAGGAAACACTGACACGTAGCCAGGTATGAGCTATAACATTTGTTTAAAAATCCTGAAAATTATCTCCCCTTACCAGTGGTACTGGCGGCTGAAGGTCAAGGTTACCCAGGCACACGAGACCTTGAGGCATGAAGACCATGCCGAGACTCTTCAATGGTGATGTCAGCGCAGCAATCTGGAATATAAAGTTCCAGTTATGGTACAGCGTCACTGGGCTAATTAATGGGACCAATTAAATCAAATTGAATTACAATCTGAAGTGATGTATTCCATTGAACATTGTCTTGGAGCTGAGAGAAGACAGAATGTAACAGTGTGTATATCTGGGATTAGAATTTGCAAGGGGACACAACTCTTCAAGGTGATTAATTCGTTGGTTTCACATTACTTTTCAACTCAGTGTGCGCATGCGCAGAGCGTGTGAAAATATCCACTGGCGTGCTTCCGGTTTGGTCGTATTTTTATCGATAACGTAAACACTCCAAAGAAAACAAATATCAAAAAATATATAGTTTTATGTCGAATACAATTGATCCCAAATGATTTATGAAACAGAGGCCGGGATTAGTTAAATAAATAGCTAAGTTATGTTATAAAGACATCTCACCACCACCGTCCTTCCCGCACATCCCCTTCTCACAACTAAACAATCACATCTCTGATGGAATTGCAACCAAAATAGGACATCAATTATTGAAAAGCAGAGGCAAATGGAAGTATGTACTCAGCTATGAACAGTTGTCATAACGTAAAACTTTTCATAACAGCTTTTATTTAGCGTGCATTTACACTATCGATAAACTTATGACCAAATCGGAAGCATGCCAGTGGATATTTTACACACGCTCTGTGCATGCGCACAGCGAGTTGAAAAGTAATGTGAAACCAACGAATGGCTGTTATGTCTTTCAGTAAACCATGACTAAACCACACTGAAGGAACAGTAACACTTTCTTGCTCGTTTCCATGATTATTCCACTACCTGAACAATGGTCCTTGTTAGGAAAATATTTCACTTTTAAATTGATGGAAACAATAGATTTAATTTATTAAAAATACTGTGAATTCAAATTATATTTTAAAAGAACATATCACTGTTTATTTTTTTTTCTTTCTCGCAACAAATGTCGAGTAAATACCTTGTTTTCATTGAGTTTCAGCTTCTCTTTCAACATTTTCTGAAATTCTTCATTTGTCCATATAGGTGCGTTGTCCCCGATGCTAACTATTCTTCCGCTGTTTGTGCTGCCACCAGGAGGCGGACCAGCCACAGCAGTGATCACGCGGGCAATCCACTCCATTGATGTGGCATACTGTTTACCTTCCAGTTCTAGAAAACAAACTTTGCCCTGAAACAAATCGTATGATATTTTGCATTGCAAGAACACTGTGTAGATGCCATGTATTTGTACTGAAATATGACAAAATAGAAAAATATATTTTTCAAAATACAAAGACCATATTCGTACTACCAGTAAGTCTAAATATTTGCACTGACTGTTTAATGATTGTAAAATGTCCTTCACTGGATATCACAGATACCAATTATCATTGGTTAACACACATCATTGATTGCTATTAACTGATCTATTTTTAGCCAACAATCCTGTTGGGATTTCACTTCCTTTATTACCTGTCTGATAAGTCAGGGTCATAAATGTCCTCATTGAGATAAGTACATATAGTTTTGGTTTTAGCAGAAGAAAAATGACAATGTATCCCAAATATATACATATAAAATGCCAACACAAGAGAATAATTATCTGTCTGCCAAAAAGATTCTACTGGAGGAAGAATTATCAGTGAAAAATATTTAAAGGATCGTTGAAAATCAGCCATAGCACCAGGTGTTGTGAAATGGTAAACACACAGTTCGGCCCTATGGTGAGCATTGGATTAATTGTAATTAATTGCAATTGAGACAAGTAATGCTGAAGGGGTCATTGTCAGCACGGGCTCGCAGGTACGTTCCTGTATACAGAAATGTTTTTAAACAAAGTCTAAATACAGAAACGCACACAGTACCCAAAACAGCAGATGAGCCCATATTACTAGGGGTGTGTATCGCAGAGAATTTTCATATTGCGATATATTGCGATGCGGAAGCATGTATTGCGATATATATTGCAATGTATTGCAAGGATTATTTTTTTAACAAAAACTACTTATAATCGAGTTAATGCTTGATTATAAAGCAAAAACACAACAAAATCACTATGATTGATTAACCATTTATAAAAACTTTTAATCATGACAAAATAAAAATGTAAGTAACATTTGGCACTTATGAAACAGGGAAAAGAACAATTAAAAAAACGGAAATATCCGAAGATTTCCGAGTGTTACGGAGTTTTCCGAATGCATGTCAAAATACCGGTTTTCGATCAGCGTATCGCAATACGTATCGTTTTCATGTCTGAACCGGTAAATACTGGTAAACCGGTTATATTGTGCAGCCCTACATATTACTCACCATAACTAGTTGTTCCCGTTTGCCTGATTGCAAGTGGTGTTGTGTATCTCGAAGTTATTTATAGACTATTAGTTACTGACTATGATTGTTTCTTTATAACACAATCTAATTGATCTCACACAACAGTATGACATTTCCGACCAAGAAAACGACACAATACAGAATGGACTCAAATGGTACGTGTCTATATTCTGATTTTGGCAAGGGTATGTTTCTGCTTTCAGAAACTATACCTGGGGTACAAATCTGTAGTACCCATGCCGACAACGACCCCTTCAGCACAAGTACTCAAATGACATCCTTTTAATTTATGAAGATGGCACTATTGGTTTAACTAACCAGAATATTGAGGAGCCCTAGAGATGCTGGCACAAGGTGTGGATTGCTCTTGAACAAAGACAATCCTTTCAGCAGTGTCCCTGCTGTAGGCATGTCATGAAGCCCTTCCTTCAGCAAGTCGGCCATCTTGGTAGACAAGAGCTCCTTTATATCAGGAGAGTCTACCAAGTTCTGGTACTCTTCACATCGTGCATCCAGCTCCTCTGCACTGGCCAGTAGACCCTTATTGAACACATTCTTGTCTGCATCCTGAAAAATAGGGTGAGTGAGTGAGGTTTAGTTTTACGCTGCTATTAAATGGGCTTCACACACTGTACCCATGTGGGGAATCGAACCCAGGTCTTTGGCATGATGAGCTGGGCTACCAAGCTGCCCAGAATCTCACTAGCAGCAAGTGAGTGAGTTTAGTTTTACGCCGCACGCAATGTTCCAGCCAAATGGCGGAAGTCTGTAAATAATTGAGTCTGGACCAGACAATCCAGTGATCAACAGCATGAGCATCGATTTACACACTTGGGATATGATGACATGTGTCAACCAAGTCAGTGAGCCTGACCACCCAATCCCGTTAGTCGCCTCTTACGACAGACATGGTTTACTGAAGATCAGTTCTAACCTAGAGGGAGGAAAACCAGATGCAGGTCTAAGATATTTAATCTCATAGATGACCATTGGCCACAGATGTGTTCTTGACAAAGCGAGTGAGTTAAAATTTAACGCCACATCAGCAATATTTCAGCCATATAGAGACGACAAACCTAGAAACGTATCAGGGCAAATATGAACGTTTAACCTGTGATGATAAGTTTCATGCTGCTAGAACTCTCTGTCAAAATGGTAAAAGTAAGCAAATGTGTCATCAAAAGCATATCCATTGTTACCATGACAACCAAAGAGCACAAGTATGGCGCTAGGATAGGATACACAAAGGATTTAATAACCAATCTGGGACTTGAACCCATGGGAAGCAGATCCTGCAAGGTAAGGGGATGTAATTGAAAGTAGCACTTACTGAAAGTCCCGAGGCTGTTTGTTTGACTGTGACCGTGGTGACCTTGAACTCTGTGTTGAGACTGTCCAGCAAGTACATACCCCCGGCAATGGACCTCTGACTCCTGGTAGTCCTCATCCGACTCCAGGCTGTCACATAGAGTGAGTGAGTGAGTGTTTATGTTACAAGAGGCTTTACTAGATGTTTAAGTATGGTTGGTTGCAACAGTTTAGCGAGTGGTTTCTCTCTGCCTAAATATGGGTGGATGCAACTGTTTGATGACCCTGTTTTAGTAAACCTGTGAAGATCCGGGATAGAATTGGTCTTCAGCAACCCACGCTTGTTGTAGGAGGCAACTAACGGAATTGGGTGGTCAGGCTCACTGACTTGGTTAACACATTTCATCATAAGACAATTGCGTAGACCAATGCTCATGCTATTGATCACTGGATTGTCTCATCCAGAATCGATTATTTACAGACCACCGCCACATAGCTGCAATTTTGCTGAGTTTGGCATTAAACAAAACCAACCATCCATACCGACCCTGTTTAAGTACCGTATATGACCGTCTATAAGACGACCCCATGGATAAGACGACCCCCAAACTTGACCCTTAAAATCAGTAATCTTAATCGTAATTAATCATAGAGCAAAAACTGTAATTAAAATTACACAATGCTAGGATATATTTCTTTGGGTTAAATAATAGTATTCTGTATTATATTTTAATGATGACTGCGTCAGAATTCGTCCCGTTATATTATTGTGCATGTTTGAACTTGATCGCCAGGAAACATGTGCACAGCTGATTGCTATTTCCAGCTCAGATACACACAGTAATCTTAATCCCTGCAAATTATACAATGCCCAGCAAAAACAACTTAGAACTTAAAAGGTAAATAATCTTGTCTAGTGATGTTTAATTGCAAATTTGACGTCTCTACTGACTAAGTCGTCTTCTGTTGTTTGTTCACGAGAAGTGATACGATGTTGTTTTCTTACCCCTGGAAAAAAAGTTTGACGAAAGTGTAACCCATGGATAAGACGACACCCTTCTACAGACTGCTTTTTATGGTCCTCAAAATTCGGCTTATAGACGGTCATATACGGTATGTAATATTTATAGCTGCAACTGTCGTAAGTATACATTTTACATCAAAGAAAAGTCTGATTTGGGAGAAACAAGCTCACCTAAGTTTTTTGGGTTTATACGTCTTTGTCCTAGCCTTCAGTTCCCCAACAATGGTGCCAATTGTGGTCATGATCTTGTTCTTCAGAATGTTCCCGGACACGGCCTTGACCTTCTCACTGTCCAGTAATGTCACGATGAAGCCACACTCTCCCTGGACAGATACAATGTTGATTTGCAAGGTCATTCTGCCACAATCTGACCTCTACAGCTCTGATCACCCAGTCATCAAGGCTTCAAATCTTTTTGACTTAATGTAGTATTCTGCATAGCATATTGCTGGATTTCAAAAACGAACATCGACTGCTCTGAATGGAATTATGTAGTGGATAAGTAACGCCATCTTCCTGAACACTAATTACATCCACTCTCTATGAACCATTTCTGTTCCGTTTCCAAAAAACACAAACAAAAACAAGTATTTCTTCATAGAGTATTCTCTTACCCCAACTTTGGAGGCAACTTGGCAGATGACGGCAGCGATTCTGGCAGCTTCATCAGCCAGGTTCTTGTCATCACTCAGGTCGGAGGTGATGACATACAGAGTCCTTGGGGTCACGTACAGGTCCAGAAAGCCCTGAAACAAAACACAGGTGCCACATACAGGGACAGTTGAACTGAAGGGTCAGTCGGTGGACAATTTGCTGACTCACCTGATTTTATTTCTCTTATATTGAACTTGATATTGTATTCTATTGTCATCTACTGTCTTAATAACATAGGATATTAATAAACCATATGCTAATATTTCTTGATATTTCTTGTTTTAATATGAATAAGTATGTATGACACAGTAAGATCCTACTGAAAGTTCACACCTTGAAACACTTTCAATTACTAACAAGGAAACAAACTCTGGAGCTCAATGAATGTTGTGATTAATTATGCAACATTTCATCTCTCCCCAACATCAATACTGGGAGAAAGTAGTAAAGATCATGTGTAAATAGTGAGTGAGTGAGTGAGTATGGTTTTACGCCGCTTTTAGCAATATTCCAGCAATATCACGGCGGGGGACACCAGAAATTCGCTTCACACATTGTACCCATGCGGGGAATCGAACCCGGGTGTTCAGCGTGACAAGCGAACGCTTTAACCATTAGGTTACCCCGCCGGCCCGCATGTGTAAATAACTAAAGGTTACTGAATTCATATTTGTTAGATAATCATGATAATATACACAAGATGTACTGATGATAAGACGTTTAGGAACATCACTTGTAATTTCTCCTGAAATATGTTTAAGGTTTTGTGTTCAAGAGTTCTGTCTTTGTTTGTTTGTTTAACGCCACACTCGGCAATATTCCTGCTATAAGATGTCAATCTGCAAATATTCAAGTCTAGATAGAACCCAATGATTGACATCATGAGCATCAAAGTACACAAATGGGACACAATGACATGAATTACCAAGTCAGTAAGCCTTACCACCCGGTCCCGTCCGTCGACTCTAACGAAAAGCATGGGTGCTGAAGATCAATTCTAACCAAGACCGTCACAGGTTTTCTACAAGTAAAATGGCTGACTTTACCTCCTGGCATTCAACTATCGGGTAGACAGTCGAGCCAATCTTGTAAGCAGTGTCGACAGTAACAGCCTGCGGATTCTGCGGTTCCTTCCGCAGGTTCTGTAGCAGATTCGTCGTGACGGAATTCCGCCGGACAACCACAACCTTCATGGAATCCGTCCGTCTCTGGGGGATGTCTGTGGTGGAAACACGGGCGTTAAAGGGGAACTGTGCTCGGAGACCTGGCGCCCAGTTTCTGCCTAGTTCTACTGGGGAATCCAAGACATTGTCTTGTGAAATTTCAGAAATCATTTAAATCCGAAATATTAATCCGAAATGTTGAAAAATTAGAAGCTAACGCTGATGTTAAAGGTGCTTAGATCAAACTTTCTGAGAAAACCAAATCAATCTGCAACAATTAATCTGCACTGACCTCATCCGAATTGAATTAAATATAATTTCACAGTCTAAATAAAGGAAATCAAGATTTTACCAAGGCTCTGAAACAGAATCTCCAATCTCACCGCAGTTCCATTTCAATTTAAATGTTGTTGCTTGTTTTCATTAAAATTTATATTTTCTGAAACTATGCATTCATCCGACATTCTACATACAGCATCGCACAATATTAAACTACAGCCGTGACTCATCATAATTCAAGCATCACCTCCTAAAATACACCATTGTCTGGTAACCTGTGGCTACTTTTTTTTCACTCAGGCAAAGAAAATGACGTCAAGTTTGTGCAAGAAAGCAACATTGTACTCATGTGGGGAGTCAAACCTGGGCTTTCGGCGTGATGAGCGAACTCTTTAACCACTAGGCTACACCACTGTCCCTGTCAAGCTTGCAATAGATTGCAAGTGTTTTATTCAGTGGGCCCCAGAAAATTCCTACAGGGATGTTAATAGGACCATCAACTTATACAAACCTTTGCTAGCTTTCCCGTCTATTTTGGCCTGAAGGGTAGATTCAGTCGGGGACACCAGAGGGCAGCCCTGCACTGTGTCCTGGATGTATCCGATGTACCGCGGTGGAACTGACCGAATACCGGTGCCAGCTATCTTCAAGAGGGTTATTTTCTTGCAGTTGAGAATAAGGGGTCCGAACACTGCCTCTGTCACCCGTTGGCATCCAGTCATGTCCATCTGGCACGCAAAACATTTGTTTGATGTAATAATCTCTGGTACACGAAACACGTGTGAGTCCTAATAATCTCTGGCACCCACATGGCATGCAAAGTCAATTTCGTTTCACTTGTTTAAATCTCATTCAAGATAGAGATGATTATTTTGATGGAAAAAGTCGTACAGTCAATAACTGATGTTCAAACAACAAGTTGTTAACCCTTTTGAGGTGTAAGACTCAACAACACATAGAACTGTCACTTTCATTTCCCATGTTCTTTTAATTCAAGACAGGTGGACGATAATTTTGACAGAAGCAGCCCATAATTGTCATTCAGACTACACAGCATTTCAGAAACACATACTGATTAACAATTTCCAAACTTTTTTTAGTGCCACTCTGATTGGTCAGTGGACTGACTGACTGAGTTTGGTTTTACGCCGCTTTTAGCAATACTCCAGCAACATCACGGCGGGGAACACCAGAAATGGGCTTCACACATTGTACCCATGTGACGAGACAACGCTTTAACCACTAGGCTACCCCACCGCCCCTTGGTCAGTGGAAGGTCATTTTGACGTGACCAGTCACGAATGTCCTCAGATCCTTGTATGGTTGCGGCAAGAGCTAAGATCTGATTATAACTAGATTGAATAAATTTTTGTTTTGACAACCTTTTACCTTAAGCTACAACATAACCTTACCAATTCTAAATTGTCAAATGATCTTGACATTAGTGCGATTCCTCGATTAGTCACCAGATGGCAGCCCGCCAGTAGGACGCCCTCGATGTTCTTTAATGCACTAGCTGACATGGTGCTGACGAGAACGGCAAGGGTAGCGTCGGTCACAGTCGGGATGCCAGTGAAATCCAGCATTGATGTTTCTTTAATGCTTGCGGCAAGCTCCTGGAGGACAGAGAGGATTTACCAGATTAGGTACCGGTACTAACACACGTAAAAAAAGTTGAGAAAGTGGAATATTGAACTCATCAGAGAACCCGCAGAGCCAAACAACAGACCACATTCATAATTTGAAAGGAATAGTGTGCAAGAAAACAGCAGGCCAGAGTTTGTTGTCATTTTGGGGTGATGAATGATGAGTGGTGACATCACTTACAATCATCATCAAAAACATAGAGCAATGTTGCAGACTTACCGCAATGGTAGAAAAGTTGGATGTCTTGACTCTAGTAACCAGCTTTTTGAACCTGAAAAATAGACATGTTTGGAATTATGTAGTAAACCCGTGAGTGAGTAAGAGAGAGAGAGAGAGAGAGAGAGAGAGAGAGAGAGAGAGAGAGAGAGAGAGAGAGAGAGAGAGAGAGAGAGAGAGAGAGAGAGAGAGAGAGAGAGAGAGAGAGAGTGAGTGAGTGAGTGAGTGAGTGAGTGAGTGAGTGGACTAGGCAGGCAGTAGAGTGAGTGGATTAGGCTGGCAGGCAGGCGAGTGAGTGAGTGAGTGAGTGAGAATGAGAGTGAGTGAGTGAGTGAGTGAGTGAGTGAGTGAGTGAGTGAGTGAGTGAGTGAGTGAGTGAGTGAGTGAGTGAGTGAGTGAGTGAGTGAGTGAGTGGGTGGGTGAGTGTGTGAGAGTGAGTGAGTTAACAAGTGAGTGAACGAGTGGACTAGGCAGGCAGCCGAGTGAGTGAGTGAGTGAGTAACATTATTATCAAGATCATATAACTGATGACTTCTGTCTATGAATACCTTGGCTTCAGAATGTGGGGTTCAGCTTTGGAGGCATATTCTGATGCTAAAATCAGATCATCGGCCTGACGGTACGGTTTAGCTTTTGAAATCCTTGAGGAATTCTCCTGAAATCAAAGACAATAAAGATTATCCATCAGCAAACAGTACCATCAGAGTAAGTACGGATTATTACAGACTTACCCTAACAGACTTGCATGAGGCAATCAAGTGGTTGAAGGTATGAGAAACAGTTTACACCAGCTGGTTACCATGATGCCACCCTGGTTACCATGATGCCACCCTGGTTACAGATCGATAGCAGCCAGTCTTCACCCACATCACATCCCATGTGTAATGGCTACAGTGTCTGCCCAGAGTCAGAAAGCCGCTGGTTGATTCCTGGCCATAACATATGAAGATGTCAAAATGGTACTTTTTGTTACCCTGCCTGGTACATGGCTTTGAGGTTTAAAACAAGGACTTGTCAGCTACAGACAAAATATTGTATCTAGGTGGAGTGTCCGTGTTCAGCTGTGGCCTGGTATCTCGGAGAGCTGGCTCTACAGAACTCCCTGACTTTGATACGCTTCCAAACTGTTGCAGCAACACTTCAGCATTCCACTCAACGTATCTTCACAAATTGTTGTTGCAAAGTCAAACCATGCAAACTTGTGTCAAAAACGATATCTGTGCAAACTATTGTTGCAAAATTCAAGGCTGACTGACTGACTGAGTTTGGTTTTACGCCGCTTTTAGCAATATTCCAGCAACATCACGGCGGGGGACACCAGAAATGGGCTTCACACATTTTACCCATGTGGGGATTCGAACCCGGGTCTTCGGCGTGACAAGCCAACGCTTTAACCATTAGGCTACCCCACAAAATTCAAGAACACAAACAGATTAGCCATTAAGAAATGGCCTCCATTTTGTAAGTGACATGATGGAGAGCATGCTGTTTCCAGAGTCTGGGGTATGACTACACACTCGATCTACTTTGGAAACAATGACATCCTGTTATCTCACCTGAGCTGAGTAAATACTGATATTTCAGAAGGATGACTGATTGTTTGTTTTTTAACGCTGACCTCTGCTATATGGCGGTGGTCTGTAAATATTCGAATCTGGACCAGACAATCCACTGATCAACAGCATCCGCATTGATCTACGCAATTGGGATACAATGACATGTGTCAACCAAGTCAGCGAGCCTGACCATCCAATCCCATCAGCTGCCTTTTACGACAAGCATGGGTTGCTGAAGATCAATTCTAACCTGGATCTTCACGAGTCCAGGGAACCTTGGGAATAAACAGTAAACAAGCCGACCAATCCACAGAGTGGAGTCATGCTACTTAGTTCTATTCTTTTTGCATATTGGAGGAAAAGCAACTCCAGATAAATTCATGAAAAGACGAATATTTTAATTATTTTACCCAGCTCAACTGGGACTGTGTGAGGTTTAACGTTGTACTTCAGATTATTTCACTCATATGACGACATGCATGTGTGTGTTTGTGTGGCTGCTTGACTTAAGCTGGTGTTATAGTGCTAGCTCACTGAGATACCATGCCGCAGTGAAGCATGAATACCCCACTCAGACACATTATACTGACTCCGAGCCGACCAGTCCTTGTTGTACCCATTAATGCCGAGCGCCAGGCAGGGACCAACAAGTACCATATTTTAACAGTTTTTGGTATGACGCAGTCGGGGATCAAACCAACGACCATCTGCTCTCCAGGCGGACGCTATAACCACTACACCACGGCCTGGAACTGTGTATGTTTAGTGGCAAGTGTCCCCATGTTTAACATCAAACTGTCAACACAGACTAAGAGAGAAAGCAAGAAATACTTACGGTCTTACTAGTTAACTGTCGTATTGGGTAACCCTCAGACTGAAATATTAAAGGATGTTTGTGTCATGTAAATATATATACTCTTCAAAAAAAGAAACTTGACATGTTGTTTCGGAGTTTATTACTGAGTGCATATAACTGATTCAAACACGACATCATTGCTCAGTTACAGTCAAATCATCCCTTTACAAATTTCCAAAACATGATTATCCAGAAAGTGTTTGGTAAAACCACAGAGGGCTATTAAAGCCACTTGGTCAGAGGAAAATGTCAGTATCTGGTGTGACCACCATGAACATCAAAAAACAGCTTGGCAGCGGTGACCCATAGAAGAAAGGAGATGCCGAATGCTGTCTTGAGGAATGTTTTGATACTCTTGCTGAAGTGCTGCGTGCAGTCCTTGTAGTGTCTGAGGTGGCGGACTACGCTGGCGCAAGCGTCGATCAAGAGTATCCCATAGATGTTCAATGGGGAACAAATCCGGTGACCAAGAAGGCCACGGTAACAACTGAACATTGTGTTGCTGGAGGAAGACCTGTCAAACTCGTGCAACATGAGGTCGAGCATTGTCATGCTCCAAACATCATGTTGGTGTAGGGAACAATGTGACGTTGAACTGGTCTTCTGGCAAAAAATCTGGCTTTCCATAGCCAATTGCGCACTGTCTGGTCGGAGATTCGGAGCAGTCAAGGGATTTCAATTGTTGTGGATGATGCGGCCATGGTGTTTGAACGAAAATGTCTCAACCGGAAGTAGCGATCCTGGGTGGCGGTGGTAACTCCAGGTCAACCTGACCTGGGTCTGTCATTAACACTCCCAGTATTTTTTTTTATTGGGTCCATAGGTTTGAGATGGTCTGTCTGGACATGCTGAAGTGCCTTGCCACCTCATGCTGCGATGTCCGTCCTTGTAAACGGCCGATGGCGTTGTGTTGTAGAGCTTCTGTCAGTCTGTTCATTCTCTTGTCGACTGTAGTGGCTTAAAGCAATGCATGTGGAGTACTATTGATGTGGCTTTTTAAAGCCTACAGTCATAGGCTTCAGCTAAGGGTGATACACAATTTCATGATGCTCATGCATTTCATGTAAGGTGCGTTTTAGTGATTCACTACAGACATGAGTGTAACGTTACGTTTTTGTTAAACGTTTCTTTTTTCAAACGTTTTGTCATCGGCAACCATTCCCCCACATGATGGGATTTAGCATGGATTGGTTTGCGTCAAATATTTTCCTAAAATTCAAATTTGTCCTATGTCGTTTCTTTTTTTGAAGAGTATATAATAACCATTTGAGTCATTAAAATTATGTTTTTAAAATAAAAACGAATTGACATTCAATTTGATTTTTCTTAAGCACAAATTCGACTTTACCCGTCTAAAAAAGTCTGCATTCCACAATTGAGCAGAAACAGAAATTGACAAGTTTGGATTTCCATTCTGTCACTTATAATAACTTTTCATGCATATTGAGTTTCAAACAACACAAGATTAAATCATGAAATTTGATTTTTTTTCCCCTCATTCTACACAGATATGCTTAACTGGAGTTATCCTGTTTTAGGTAGTGTTGTCGTCTAGTTGAGCCACTTTCTGGTTAAGCCAAAACTCGAACTACCTACCTGTGTCTTTCTCCCTGGATAACTATCCAACTGAAATATTAAATGATGCTTGTGTCATGTTAATCCCATATAATATACATTTGAATCGTGCAAATACGTTATTAAAATAAAAATGAATGCACATACAATTTGATTATACTCAAGCAGAAGTCTGACTTTACCAGTGATCTGGTAAATTATGATTAGTCTGTTGCTTGTCAACAGAACAGCCAAAGGAACATTTGTCACCGCTCGCCCCTTTCCATAACCTCCAAAAAGAATAGTCTCCCTATCGATGAATTTTAGGTGCACAAATATAAGAACCAAATCAGAATGCACACAGGGACTGAGGTTATTTGATAAAAATGATTCTGATTACTTAAATCGGTTATGTCATTATGTAATTGTTAAATAGTCATTAAAAATACGTATCATTTTCACATTACAAAGAACATAGCTAACAGAATTGTGTTGCCTTATTTAAAGATAATAGAGTTGTGAACTGTGAGAGTTCAAATACAAACATGTGTGTTTGTTTACACATATGAACGGCATCAGTTAAAAATAAAACAAACACAAACATAGACTAACATTTAGACCCAGAAAGTTTGCTGCTGAGATTGACATCCATTGATCGATGGGAAAAACAAAGAGCCTTTGAGCAACTGAACTGGATATTGGCGCTATACAAGTATTAAACTGAATAAATGAATGAATCTTACCTAAAACTGTGTCTACAAATTAAACAAGAGTCATCAGCAGATGACAAATCCCCTCCCCCCCCCCTCCCAAATTTGAAAAAACAAATCATCTGACAAGTCCAAATTGTTTTCATGGAAATCATGAAAAATATAAATGCCAATTAACAAAAAGGCACTACTTTGGGTACTGTTTGATATGTCTACCTAGTTTTGTTGAAAGAATTTGAATTATTCATGAGTGCTCCAGTAACGAAGCCCACCCCTCCCTTTTGAGAGTCCAAATCGTTTCCATGGAAACCAAGAAGAATAAAAATGCCAAAATTCTGCAAATTGCAAAAGGCACCATTTTGGGATTTGTCCCTTTTATCTACTGAGTTTTGTTGGAAGATATTGAAAAGTTTTAAAGTTGGAAACTAAGCCCACCCGTCCCTTTTGGGACTAAATCCAAATTGTTTCCATGGAAACCGAGAAAAAAATACATACCAAAAATCTATAAATAACAAAAGGCACCACTTTATGTTCTGTTTCATATATCTACCATTTTCTGTTGAAAATATTGAACAGTTTTTGAATTATGCTCCAAAAACAAAATAATTACGGATGGACTGACAGACAGGACGGATGGACGGACGGACGGACGGACAGACGGACGGACGGATGGATGTGACATCGACTATATCCCCAAGCATTATATGCAGGTGGATAAAATGGAAATCCTAAACTGAGCCAAGCAAATCTTAATTTCAGAGCTTACATGCCAGATCAATATCAAGACTTGAGTTCATATTCTCTAGGATCTGGGTTACACACTCAAGTGTTCAGGTAAACGGTCCCACTCTGGATGGTTACAGCCCCCATGAAGCCATCCGGATTAACTAGATGTCACACACCAACTAGTCAAGACCGAGCTACCTACCTTTGACAGTGTTGCTATGTTACCCGCTACCTGAAATATTAAATGTTTGTGTCATGTTACTTATATTTACTAAGCATTTGAGTCAAACGTATATGCTTTTAAGATGAAAATGAATGGACATTCAATATAATTATACTTAAGCCAGAAATATATATTGTTCTTCATCAGAACAGGCAACAGGAAGTGTTACTCCGGAAGGGGAGATAACCCTAAAAAGGCACAATTCCACGTCTAGCAGTAACAGAAATAGTCACGTTTTGAGTCATTCTAGATAATCTCCAGGGTATACGTTCTAATAAATCTCCACTTGTACCCTGGATGCATCTACAGCTCGGCCCCTAGTACTAGTGGAGATTTATCGGAACGTCTACCCTGGAGATTATCGTGGATGCGTTTTGAGTCAAACTGATTTTGTGTGTCACTTACAAGAAAAAACAAACAAAAAGTAATTTCAATTTACCAGTACTTAAAATTCTCTAAGATGCTTCCCAATAAAAATCATCATCACCCAGCCATAGATAATGAACCAAAGCCAAAAGTACCTACCTCTGTCTGTGCAAAATCCAACTCCTGGAATATCAAAATGGTGCGTGTGCTGTGTTAGTCTGATATGATAAGCATTTGAGTCGCACAAATATGTAACGAAAAGTGAGAAGAATGACATTCAGTTTGATTAAATATAAATGAAGCAGAAGTCTGACTTTACCATAATGACATACAACTTTATAGGTGACAACTTCTTGTTTATTGCAATATATTGGTGTCGGTTCTTCCACTTTTAGGTGCAGTGGGGTAGCCTAGTAGTTCAAGTGTTTGCTCATCTCGCTGAAGGCCCAGGTTTGATTCCCCACATGAGTACATTGTGTAAAACACATTTCTGGTGTCACCCAAAATATTTTTTAATGCAAGTAAATCCTCCAAAATTATTTGTGTTCGATTATGAGAAAAGATGATTAAATTATTAATATACAGTGTTACTTTATCAAACTGCATGGTCATTTAGTCACTGTGCCAAATCTTCGGGGGTTTTCTTTCAATTAATCGGAACATCACTAGTTAATTCAAACTTGTCCTTATAGTACTGGAACCATATTTAGAACCTACAAAAGGCAGTGAGCAGTGTGTGAAAACAATACCTGCTCACCAGCCTGCCTACCGCCTGCCCACCTGCTCAATAGCCCATCCTGCAGTATCACCAGCCCACAAGCCCACCTGCCCGACCTCCTGCCCACCAGGCAATCTGCCCACCTGCCCACCAACCCACAGCTTTTCCATGCCCACCAGGCCACAAGCCCGACCTCCTGCCCACCAGGCCACCAGCCCGACCTCCTGCCCACCAGGCCACAAGCCCGACCTCCTGCCCACCAGCCCGACCTCCTGCCCACCAGGCCACAAGCCTGACCTCCTGCCCACCAGCCAACAAGCCCGACCTCCTGCTCACCAGGCCACAAGCCCGACCTCCTGCCCACCAGGCCACAAGCCTGACCTCCTGCCCACCAGCCAACAAGCCCGACCTCCTGCCCACCAGCCCACAAGCCCGACCTCCTGCCCACCAGGCCACAAGCCTGATCTCCTGCCCACCAGCCCACAAGCCCGACCTCCTGCCCACCAGGCCACAAGCCTGACCTCCTGCCCACCAGCCAACAAGCCCGACCTCCTGCTCACCAGGCCACAAGCCTGACCTCCTGCCCACCAGCCAACAAGCCCGACCTCCTGCCCACCAGCCAACAAGCCCGACCTCCTGCCCACCAGGCCACAAGCCCGACCTCCTGCTCACCTGCCCACAGGCCCTCCAGAGTACAAGCCCACCGGCCCATCTACCCACCAGCCCACCAACCCGCCCACCAAACCACCTGCCTTCTGCAAGTAAAGTTCTGCCCCTAGTTTGACTGACTACAAAGGCAAAGTAATTTTATTCACCTGTCACAGTCGTAGTTCCATATTAAGTTCGATGATTAAAAGAGGAACGTACAGATATGACGAAGACTTACCTGAACCTCTGCACCAAAGTCAACGGCGTTTTGCTCTGACAGATAGTCGCCCTGGAAAAGAGCAAATTTAAAAATAGAATTACTGCAGTAAAAGCTGGTCGCCTGTAGAGTGATCAAACCAGTTTGTTTGACCAGTTGATCAACCAAATAGATTAGACTGCTTGATAAACTAAGTGATTCAACCAGTTCATCAAACAAGTTGTGTTATCGATAAAATCGTACATCAACTTTTGTGATAAAATAAAGTGTTATTTCCTCACGCAATTCACAAAGTTAAATTAGGTCTTTATTAATGGGCTGCTTCCGAATTATGTTCAGGAAAACTATTTTGCCAATAATCCATGCATAACCATGTCGCCACTCACCAGTGATGTGAACGATTCATTTCTTTCAGACTTTATTGGGCATCTTTACTCAAAGTTACTTCTCCGTTGTTTATCAATAATCCATTTCTATGATCTCTATCAATAGCCAGTCCTACTCAAAAGTTAGAATATGAATATTACAAGAGTACCTTGAGGTTGTCCACATTCTCTCTGGCTTCCACCAGGGAATTAATCGGTGGGATAATCCTGATCGTCTCCAGTCTGTTGACATCTGACGACACTTTCTTCTTCTTCGTAGGTGCCCTCTTCTTCATGACTGCTGTTGTTTTTTTAACTGTCTGACTTCAGTATCAATCAGCTCGGCTTCTTGCTGGTAGGTAGGCTTCTTGCTAGTTCATTCTTGTGAACAAAACCAATCTGTGAACAAAACAAATATGCATTCTTTGGATTGGAAAGAGACAAACAATGTTGAAAAGACAAACCAAAATTACATGAAGTCTTGTTTGATAATAAATGATGAACAAGAATGACATCTGTGTGTTTGTTTGTTTGTTTGTTTGTTATTGCTGGAATATTGCTGGAATAGTGCTAAAGCCAAAGCATAGTATTCAAAACCAAATCAAAGATCCATCATTGCATTGCCAAGTTGTTGGCCAAAGACAAACATAAGAAGATCAGGTCTACGCTCGTTGTTAATCCTAAAGTCTCTTAAATCAATAGACAAATATTATTTGAGGAGAGGATAATACTTGTGCTTCAGGTGTCATGACCTGGAGGTTTGTATCACAGCAAGAAACTGCCATCAACAAACCCATATTTTACATCTGGAAAGCAATCAGACATGTCCTCATATCATGTGACTTGCCCTGTTTGTAAGAGTGAGTGAGTTTAGTTTTACGCCCGCTTTTAGCACTATTCCAGCAATATCATGGCAGGGGACACCAAAAATGGGCTTCACACATTGTACCCATGTGGGGAATCGAACCCGAGTCTTCTGCATGACGAGCGAACACTTTGACCACTAGGCTACCCCGCCGCCCCTAAAAAGACAGATCTGCGGTGGACAGGTACCACATACATCGCATTTTATTTTGATAACTTTTCTTTTTTAATCAATCATGGTCAAAGTTCCTTCAATATTGTATTATCTACGTTGTTGTTTTAATATGTTTCTAAGCAACAGATAAATGCAGCACACAGGCAAAGATATATATCAAATTCTTCATTACACATTCTGGTGACTTTAAATCTGTAACAAAACAAGAATTGAGTGTCATCTAAGGCGCTGATAAGTGTCAGCATATTGTGGTGGCTCTGAAAGCTGGTTCCATATTGATAAACACCAAACGATAAAAATGTGTTTGTACTTCCATCAACCCCTCCTCCCCACCCCAAAATACACACATATACACACACTCACACACACATATATTTATTAACATATTAGCATGTATACGTTAACATCACGTTCCTTTGAGCTGCAACTCAAACATATCTGATTTAGTAACGTACGTCATGGTTGGGTAAATCATTTAATGAATTTTTAACGTTGAAGCTACTAGCTACAAAATGGACATTGTTGATTTTGGGGACATCTATAATACTACATAAGGTGTATTACACGATTAATAAAAAGAATGCCGGGACTACTGCACTTTACCGGGCGCACTTTTGATAGATTAATTAGCCGAATGTCGCACGGGCAGCCTCGATTGTGTTGTACTGTATTCAGAAGATAAAAACAGTTCCGCATGAATCGGCTGTTGCCGATGTGCATTGATTCACATCAAAAGTATTCTTTATTAAATATGTCATGTACACCATCGTGTTTTGATTGCAATATTCTAGTCTGACGCACCTGTCAACGCATTTCACACACTCAAATATTATAACATACCGCTTACCTGGATTTTGCACCTGTAGACACCTGTACCCTGCTTACAGCTGTTTACTGTGTTGGTAGGAAGTGACGTAATTTTAAGCTGGTTCTCGCACTGCGCCGCGCTTTGAATCAATGTATGATTTAGAGACAAGCGCCCAGCCATTATAAACATCTCGGCATGTATCCACTGAGGGTACAATGGCCGTTTGATGCGAGACATCAGCCGAACGGCAAACAAGTCTGTAGCTGTGCTCACCATAAGAAATTTACAAGAGAGTAACTGTCCCAAAATGTTTAAAACACCCATGTCAAAAACAAGACAACTTATTTCATTTTGTTCCCTCTTTTACAACTTAATAATTATACTGTTTTTTTCGTCATTTTCCGAAAAAACGCTGGGACGTTTCTCTACCACTGAAACCAAAGTCAGCCTATTGTTCCAATGACGTTATGAGGCACTGTGATATCATGAACAACGAATTTTTCACAATAATGAAGCACAATGAGATCATATTACGTCAACTGACCAGTGAACATGGGGTGTCCCAATGAAGAGTACCGCCTCTTCGGTGAGTGAGTGAGTTTAGTTTTACACCGCACTCAGCAATATTTCAGCAATGTGGCGGCGGTCTGTAAATAATCGAGTCTGGACCAGACAATCCAGTCATCAACAGCATGAGCATCGATCAACGCAACTGGGATAAGATGACATGTGTCAACCCAGTCAGCGAGCCTGACCACCTGATCCTGTTAGTAGCCTGTTTCGACAAGCATGAGTTGCTGAAGACCAATTCTAACCCGGATCTTCACGGGTGTTGCCTCTTCAGCCTGATGATATGGATAATATGAAGTTATTCATGACTTACATAATATTATAAGCCTTAAATATATCGCATATATTCAATCACTGCAGGTTTTGGAAGCATGTAATGCACGTTTTGGAGTTGGTCAAGATGGTTGAAGTGATAGCGATTTCAATGAGAACTTTCGATTCATGAGTTAGGCTAGCATAGTATTTATTGTTTTTTCTTTAGGTATTATAGGTATTGTTTTAGGTGTTTCTGTAGTATTTATTTATTTATTTATTTATTTATTTATTTATTTATTTATTTATTTATTTATTTATTTATTTATTTATTTATTTATTTATTTATTTATTTATTTATTTATTTATTTATTTATTTATTTATTATCTCCGATGCTGTTAACAACTTTCGGTTAGGATATTTTTTACAAAAGATATCATTATCAACACAAGAAGAGAAGAAACCATCTGACCGTTAAGTGAAACATATCAATCTCTTTTGCTTCGCATTAGCAAAAAGGTAGTTCATGAGATAACGCGAAAAATACATGGTCAATAATAATTTATTTTCGATAATTTTGTTTGATTTTCCAGTTTGCAACAGTTCCATATTGCATGCAAAAATCAACGAAGCACTCGTAAAATATGAACTATTACCTCGACGAACCACAGCTGCGGCTATATGACTATTGGTGGACTAACAACTAGCCTCTGAAATAAACATATTTTACAGAAAAAAACGGTTCCTAAATAGTAATCATAAAATGTAGTGAAAAGAAGTCCAGAGACTTCAGAAACTATGGTAATCTAGACTTGCCACGACTTGCATGGGCTTTCTTGGATATATTTGATGCATGGTTTGTAGGACAGACGAGTCTGGTAGCCTCGATTATAATAGGGTCGCAAACAGAATGAAGAGACGGTATTCTGGATATCGAGACATATCGCAACAGAATGAAGAGACGGTATTCTGGATATCTAGACATACCGCAACAGAATGGAGAGACGGGATTCTGGATATCGAGACATATCGCAACAGAATGAAGAGACGGTATTCTGGATATCGAGACATATCGCAACAGAATGGAGAGACGGTATTCTGGATATCGAGACATATCGCAACAGAATGGAGATACGGTATTCTGGATATCGAGACATATCACAACAGAATGAAGAGACGGTATTCTGGATATCGAGACATATCGCCACAGAATGGAAAGACGGTATTCTGGATATCGAGACATATCGCAACAGAATGGGGAGACGGTATTCTGGATATCGAGACATACTGCAACATAATGGAGAAAGATTAATATACAGGACAAAATAAGTTAGGGATATTGGTATTTTTATGATTGATATTTTATCAGTGTGACAATGAATAAATAGATCATTATTCATAACTTCACAATTTACATATATCCCTAACTATTTCTGTCCAGTATATTTATCACAACTTGACCAAGTGTTTACAGAATAAGTCTTACCATGAAACAAGTTTCACAAAGTTATCGGAAAGAGCAATGCCAGCCTTAGCATCAAAGATACACATCCCACGTTCAAAGCATTCACAGGCCTGGATTCGGACCCAAAATATGACATTATTAGATTGGCCAAGCTATAGACCTGACCTAAATCCAATGGAAAATGTTTGGGGACTTATGAAGGAAAGTGTCAATAAGAAAAATCTGACAAATATTTCTGAAATGAAAGAAGAGGTGGTCCGATATTGGGACAGCATGGACCACGACTTTCTAACTTCTTTGATCAGTAGTATGCCCCGTCGCACTGAAGCCTGCATTGCTGCCTATGGTGACTTGACAAAATACTAACTGTTCACCTGTCTTTGAATCTGGAGTTATGTTCTGCTAATATTCACATTTAATGCGTGAGTAATGAGTGAAAATAATTTTTAAAAATGCAATCTTTAAATTCTCAATAATTTCTGGTTGTACTGTTATAGCACACATATGTAGGCAGCTAGTGCATCATGCTAAAGGGGCTGATATACATAATCAAACTAAAAACATCGTTTTTATAACGATGTAAGCTTTAACTCGGAGGTATATGTCTGTGTAAATATATTTGAGCAGTGAGCTTCAAAATACAATTCCTCAAAATGTTGCATGAACAAACATATGGAGTCGACAGGAGCTTCATCCAAATCTAGATTGTTAATAAACTAACCATCCCTTCCAGGTAACGATATAAGCGCTGTGCAATCGCACGTGTTATTCCTTGCAGAGACCATAAAATGACACATTTTATTGTCTCTGTTTCTATTGATAGAACATACTATCCGTTCTATATTTTAATTGTCCTGTTTAATTTTAATCGCGTGTGATTAGCCTGCTAATGGGGTTGTATATTCTTCTTTTTTAAGAAACCAAATCTCGAGAAACCTTGATCAGACTCTTAGGTTTGAGTGAGTGAGTTTAGTTTTACTCCGCTTTTAGCTATTTTCCAGCAATATCACGGCTGGGGGACACCAGAAATGGGCTTCACACATTGTACCTGGGGATCGAACCCGGGTCTTCGGCATGACGAGTGAACGCTTCATCCACTGGACTACCCCACCGCCTCCTTTGGTTTGATGCATTTCATCCGTTTACAGAATGTTAAAACTAAAACAAAATAATATAATTGTTATTGAAACTTTTTTCTACTTTCAGAATACATTTCCGGAGTTAAAAATACCTCCAAATAATTTTAGCAATAGTTTGATAGAATCCCTGTGAATACACAATGTCGTTTAGTAAGCGATTAAATGCAACATTTTATATTTTGGATTACACTTTCTGAGTGACTCTGTGTGTTGACGATTGAATGCTTGGGTTCGAATACCGGGCGGGACCCAATCCCAAAATCTACTAAAATCTGTACTAGTGAGAAAGTGCAATCCCAAACATAACACATCTTACAGACCGAATCCCGCCTGGTCTCTTAATCTCTGTGCGAGGAGTTTTTCACAACCAGACATCTGATTGAGACAGGTGGAATTCGCTGACTGCGCTCAATCGAAGACTATAGTGTCAGTGGCAATTACATCCAAACGATGCGCACATTCACCATATGACTTGCTCACGCCCGTATCTAGACCAACCGGAAGTTGTGACACCTCCATTTAACAGGTGCGGTAATGTCACGTGACCCAGCCAGGCGTGACGACGCGAAGTGTCACTGCTATCTTTTGTGAGAGATACAAGGATGGCCAGTCCGACAGCATCATCTCTGCAGTGATAGGACGCCAGCGAGCAGGGTGTAATGTTTCTCCGGCGCGTACAAGAGATATCAATGGCGCGTGGATTTCTGACATCTCGCGTCCAGAACAATCAGTAATTTGTGTTTGCGCGGCATGTCAGACAAACGTGTTCAGATCTAAGGACAGGCTGATTGGCCTGTGAGAGCACAGGAATGTTTGTATAGCTCCTGAATATCTCTTGACACTGTTGACATAGAATCAAATGTACTGTTAAGTGATCTTAAATACAGGCTCCGATTTCAAACATTTTCCTCACGAAACTTCCACATCCTTTGTTCTGCGCGTGTTGTGATTCTTGTTGGGATATGCAAAGAATGCAAATATTGTATTTTGATAATTTGTAATCTAATGTAACATATACGTTTAATGTGGTTTGTTTTTTATTTATTATTTCTAGTATCCTTTAACCCCGCATTCAGCAACAGTAGTCTGACGTCGGTCTGTGTAAATAATGAACCAGACAATTCCGTGATTGACATCATGAGCATCGATCTACGCAGTTGGGATACGATGATATGTGTCAGTGAGGTCAGATTTATTCGTGTAATAATGGAAGTAACACGTCATCAACACGTTAACCCAAACATAGTCAACGTTTACACCAATAGTTTAAACCAATCAGAGGTTTTTTCTCCTACGATTTTTATTACTTCGAGAGTTAAACATACGCTCATTCAACCAATGTTCCCCGAATAACAATGGCTTAATTCATGTAGTGTACAAAACTTGGTACCCGGGATCCCCAAGAAGTTGTTACCATGGCTACTGTTGTCAACCAACAATGAAAATAATATTTATAATAAAAAATAATAAATAAAATTGATAATAATAATTTTAAAAATACACATTTTTTTCTTGCCGCTTTTATTATTGTTTTGTTTCGAGCTGTTGTGCTTAAATTCAGGCCTACCAAAGAAAACTTTCCCACTGTGCAGAAAAACGCAGAAAAGCCCACATTAATCGTGGAAATAGCAACATAAACATAATACCTCGCTACTGAAACAGTAAAAACGGCAACTTTAAATCGCTAACACCGCATCATAAAACGAGGAGCCCGCAACTTCGATTTTGCGCATGCGCACATGGAAGAGGAAGTCTCTACCGCATGTTGACATTTTCCACCTTGGACAAAAGTTACATTCCTTTTTAAGTATTTCTGTTGTGTTATTTGGCATTTATCATCAGGATACTTGTGTGCACACCTTTTTAGTTTACTTTCCATTCATATGAAACGATTGACAGCAATTATTTCGACATATTTAATACTTCTTCTACGCGAGGCGATTCACGGTTGCTCGGAAATTGGAAAAAGAAGGATCGGATCGTAATGCGTTCGCTGATGCGCATGTAGAGGTCAAAGTTGCGCGTTTTACTGTTTCAGTAGCGATATAAAAATGTTGCAGTTTCATAGTGGGCTTTTTCGTTTTTCTGCACAGTTTTACTGTTTCAGTAGCGAGGTAATGTGTTTATGGTTTGCTATTTCCAGTGAATTTATTAATGACCTGCAAAGCTATTTCTGCGACTTCTTATATTTTCATATTTTGCACAGTGGGTTTTATAAGTTTTCTTTTTTAACAAATACCTTTACAATGTATACTTATTTAAGTATACTGTGTACTTTTAATGCACTTTGTTGTTAGCAATATATTGCTATTTTACGTAAAAAATATTTCGTTTTACATCGTCTCTCATAACCTTTTTTGGGGTGGCTCACTGTACTTTTAAGTAAATTCTATGTCTATGAGAGGTAAATAAAACATCTGTCTGTCTGTGTGTCTGTGTGAATGTTATTTTATGACGTGTAGCATGTTTTTTCTGGGCACATCGATGAAGATCTTGATTCGTATAGCCTTTGTCTTTGGCAACCCATGTTGTCATAATTGCCGACTGTCACACCCGGTGGATGCATGTCACCGCGTAGGTAGGTGCTCATGATATTGACCGCAGGATTGTCTGGTTCAGACTGGATTATGCAGACAACCTGTGGTATTTGGCCGTGGCCGAAAAGGGGCTCTGTCATAGGATCCTGGCACCTTAAAGGGACATAACCCGTAACAACGAATTGCAGCGTCGCGTGGGTACGACAGTAGACTATCGCTTAGTCTCTGAATATAAATCATTTTGATCGTAACAAATAAACCCATTTAAATTGAAAAGGAGCCCCAGGGAGATCAGAGAACCTGGGGAAATCTAAACTTGCTTATTTAGGGCATTAGCATTGCAGCAAGGGCTAGGCTATAGGGAAAACAATATGGTTCAGGGACTGTGAGACAGTTACTAGCCGGAATTCACACGTAACCACACGCTCGAGACGTTCCAAAAAATGAAAATAGCATTGAAATTAAAGGTGAGGTGAGGTGAAATTGGGTTTAACGTCGTACTTGAGAATATTTCGCTCATATGACGACGTGCATGTGTGTGTATTTGCGGCTGCTTGTACTAGCCCAGACTGAAGTTGGTTTTACAGTGCTAGCCCACTGAGATACCATGCCGCAGTGAAGCATGAATACCCCACTCAGACACATTATACTGACTCCGAGCCGACCAGTCCTTGTTGTACCCATTAATGCCGAGCGCCAGGCAGGGACCAACAAGTACCATATTTTAACGTCTTTTAGTATGACGCGGTCGGGGATCGAACCCGCGACCTTCCGCTCTCAGGGCGGACGCTCTAACCACTACACCACGGAGCCGGTCCGCATTGAAATTAAAAACAACGTATGTTTTATATCATATATTTATTAAGCACTATATTTTGATATCACAGGTGAGATCCTCTGTCAGGATGTGCATGACGATATTTGCTTCACTTGTCACCATGGTCGCCAAACGTCGCCCGTGGTCGGCGACTGAAGGGCTGCGCGAGCATAGGGCTCCATTTTCATTGGTTGAGAGTAGAACCACGTGCTCTGAAGCCACGTACTAACCCTTGAGTCGTCAAAGTTTGTGTTTGACTTTTTATATTCCGCTTTGCACAGTTTTGTGTCGGAGTGAGTGGATTTGTGATAGTGTCCAGTTCTGTGAGTGGTCTGTTTGATAACGTCCGGAGAACCAGCATATCCACTGTCTGAGAAACTGTTGTCTTCCTTCACAGGGGAAGTACACACTGTCCTGTTTATATACGCATGCGCAGCCGGATATGGATACTGCGAACTGCGGGAAGGTGCAGAACTCAGTCTTTTACAGCACTGACTTGTGTTTGACGTCACAGCCTCTGTTGATGACGTCACGGGTACCTGTTGAATGTGTGTCATACGTCGAGAGATGTGTTTTCTCAGCTGACGATGTACATTGTCCGACACTCCCGGCACAGACTGGATGTAGGAGAGGATTTCTTCAGCACATTTGGAGAAGCCATGTTGGAATCTGGCTTGAACTGCTTCTTTCACGTGTTGATGTGTTGTGTTGATCTTCCTGACATTCCTCAGATAATCTACAGTCGTCTCCAGAATCTCAGCCTTCTCCATCTTCTCGAAGTTGGGGTCCTGGGAAAATGACAGAACAAAAATATAAGTTCATGTTGTAGACTGGACAGAGAAGCAATGCATGGAAAAAAGCAATAAGAAACATTAAATGAATTTGGAGAAATAATAAAATACACGGACTGATATGTGTTTCTTTCTTATTTATTTCTGATCATTTAGTCATATTTATTCCATGAGCAAGCCAAGAGAATTTGATAATAACCACTGGAAAAATGAGAATATATGCGGAATGGGTAAGTTGGGTGTTTTACGCCGCTTTTAGCAATATTCCAGCAGTATCACAGCGGGTGACACCGCGAATGGGCTTCACACATATGCGGTATGGTATGTAATGAAGCGGGTCACTTTGTATGAACGCTGTATTATATAACAACTAAACAAACAGGAAATGCGTAATATATTTTAAATAAATAACTTACGTTTTGTTGTTCTGCCCCGCACACAATGCCCTTGATTTCGGACAGACATTGGTTAATTCTCGCCCGTCGCCGTTTTTCAGCCATTAGTTTTCGACCCTGGAGAAAAAAATATGAACTCATTATCATATTGAAATAGAATATCTTTAAGCAAACATAACACAGGATCCAGTGCCGCAAAATTATTGTCATAATTGGGAGATGAGACTTTGTAAACAAAGTGGTATTCATGAATAATTCATTAGCCACGTGCATTTAGAAGGGCGGAGATAATTGTCCGTATATGGGCTGTCTGTTGGATAACGGAAAGCAAAGAACAGTATGTACCTTTCTATATCCAATATATTCCGAGTCTGATTCCGTGTGTCTCTCAAATGATTCCATGACTGAGGTGTGGTCAGCTCTGAGAGACAAGTTAGTGTGATGGAACGCATCCTCCCCGACCCGCCTTTATACCCACCGACATTCCCCTACCCACGCTAATCTATGCACAGTTATGTTTTGACATCTGAATAGCCCGGCGCGATCCGATACACGCAGCCAATCAGCGCACGCCTGGGTAAGTGGTGGCACGCGCCGACTCGCGTTAAACTTCGCCCGGAGACAGGTGTTCTTCTCATGACCCGACAGCGATGATATTCTTCAGGAGCAGAGGCCATCTTGCTTAGCGTGACACGAGGAGTTACGTGGACGAGCAACCGGCCTGTATACAATCTGACCCAATATTCTGTCATTAACCTGTCTAAATATAATAAACTCTTTCATCAAATATTTTTAAGAACTTTCTTTTTAGGACGTGTCACGCGCAGCATAGCGTCACCTGCGAGTTCCGATGTACCGTTATGTGTAGTAACAGAAATATATAAGAAGTGAGTGATTTGATGTGACTTTTGGTCGCGTGCTAAATTTTTAACAAGTGTTTCTAAGTACAATTGATTTTAGTTTAAGGAAATTCAGAATTCTGGGAAATGCTCCTCCACAAATTTCAAACACATATGACCATAATTATTCGGTTCGTTCAGAAGTTTGTGAATGTTGAAATACAAGTGTATTAACGACCTTAGTAATACAACTATAACATAACAAATAATAACATCGTTAATTGAAATGTTATAAAAGATGATTATATTATTGATTTATTCACGTTACGCCACGTTGGATAATTGAGACGTTAGTGTTCGTCCAAAATAAGTCCGAGAGTTTAATATACTGGACAAAATAAGCTAGGGATGTTGGTATTTTTATGATTGATATTTTATCAGTGTGTCAGTGAATAAATAGATCATTATTCATAATTTCAAAATTTACATCTATCCCTAACTATTTTTGTCCAGTATATTTTCGGTTTTAGGTAAACGTTCCTGTAGTTGTGGTAACGTTGGCAATGCTCAAATAAATCTAATTCCACACTAATTAAAACTAAAAACTGCAAATAATTAAAATTTTTAACTCCTAAAACTCAACACGGACGAGGCATTTGAGTTAATCTCGATCATTTTTCAACCTATTAACACTCTAAGATAAGATGTACACAGATCGCGTGTCTGTCTGACGCGAGGATCGATAGTGACGTCATTATCTTTCTTGTCATGGTTAATTAATCTTCTTAATGAGTCGCCAGACCTGTCAGTGCCATGTGCGTGCTAATAGCTGAATAAATCATGTCTAGACTGGTTAAATTGACACATTTCGATATCATTATCTTGGAAATAATGGAATCGAAGTTGGTCGATATGTATCATCTCTGGGAGTCGCAGAAAATCAAAGGCAAAAGAAAATTTTAAAATTCTTGAATATGAATTTCTTGACGGATGTAATATTAAATAATGAGATACTTGTTTAGATGTGGAGTGAGTGAGTTTAGTTTTACCCCGCACCCAGAAATATTCCAGCTATATGGCGGCGGTCTGTAAATAATCGAGTCTGGACCAGACAATCCAGTCATCAACAGCATGAGCATCGATCTGCGCAAGGGGGAACCGATGACATGTGTCAACCAAGTCAGCGAACCTGACCACCCGATCCCGTTAGTAGCCTCTTACGACAAGCATGGGTTACTGAAGATCAATATTCTAACCCGGACCTTCACGGGTATGTTTAGATGTGGGTTTTTCGTCTGTGAAATATACTTTAGGATACCTGCCTTCTTCAATAACCTTACAATCAAAGCATATTATTTCTTATTGATTTAGATCAAACCACACTGTGATGCTATTTCCAAACGAACACTACAGTAACACAAATGGTATGAATATATTGTTATCTTAAATCACACATTATATGTTAATAAACGCGGCGTAAAACTATTCTCATTTAGACATGACATATGTACTCTATGGCTCTAACAAATTATATATGTGTCTTGTCACTCAAACCAATGTTTTATTAATTATAAACAGTATGAAAGGTATCCTTCATGCATGAATAGAAATTTTAAAGTCTTATCTTTGCACTAATTCACAAGTAAAATACAAGTTAAGAACAGCATATTGATAGAATACAGACAAAACATGTATATTTAGTATATTTATACTTCATACAAAATTTAACTAGTTTGACATGTTCACGTATTGAATGTATAACACATCACAATCCTTTCTCCACACTGACTACCCACATCACCTTGTTGGTCGCCGTTGGCACGGACAAGTAATTACAATCAAGTACTCAGTAAGTGCCGTTGACGTTCAGAGCTGTTGCTGACAAACACGTCAGCCAGTCAAGTCATAATGAAACTGTTGAGTGGGGTGTCGGGCTGACAGCTTCACCCCAGGGGATATGACCTGTGTACCCCACCCGGTCAGAGCAGGCGCAAAGAAAATGTTTCGAGTAGTTCTGTCCTCTCCTGTTTGTTCAGCTGGCGAGAAGCTCGACGGTTGTTCAGAGAAATTTTCTGTTGTATCAGACCACATTTTAATGTACATCCTTCAGGAGGAACAGAGGTGAACTTAAAAATAATAAGTTGGACAGTCGTTTTTTACTTTTTTTGACAAACGTTAGAAAACGGTTAAGATTTGTGAAGTGTTAAGATGTACCGTCATACTGCCACTAGTGTCAGGAGTATGTTCATTGCATGATATACTGGACAAAATAAGTTAGGGATATTGGAATTTTTATGATTGATATTTTATCAGTGTGTCAATGAATAAATAGATCATTATTCATAATTTCAAAATTTACATATATCCCTAACTATTTTCGTCCAGTATACGTTAAAAACATACCAAAATTTAGTGGCGGTCTAAAATATACAATTAGGTTTTGTGTTTCGTTCATTTTCATGTAAGGTTTTGGTTGTGAAAGTAGTAGAATCTCACTGAGACCCTAAGGCTACAACCCTACAACCCGTGGTTGTATTTTGTATACAACCACGCCTGTTTTGTTGGATCTTTCATCCATATCAGCCTACTCATCCCATTCTGAACTCCATTCCCAATATTCAAAGGCTCCTTTTTCGTTTCTCCAATTTTTCGTTTTTGGTCAACCACAAGCTCAACTTTATTTTAGGGGCCATATTTTGGTCTGCTGTGAAACAAACAATCTCTTAGAACTGCTTGTGTCTTTTTACAAATCATGTTTTAGGAATAAATTCTTTTATAATTAGTTGTGTGTTTTAATAACTGTTTATGGATTATATTCCATGTCCTGCTCAAAAAAGTAATGGCATGGAAAAATGTCATAAGCGAACATATAAACATGTGATGTGATCTTCCATTAACTTTTGTCACTACCACTCTCAACGTCTGTGCCCAACAAGAATTTAAACACGGAGGAGCTTAATTAAATCATTCCAACTGACCGCTGTCTTTTACGACTGTCTACCCAGTCGATAAGATAAAACTCACTGTAAATTTAATCCGTTACATCTGTATGCTGATATACACTTGTCTAAATTAATCTAAGTTAATCCAATGTTTATGGAAAGTCTGCTATCAGTAACTGTATCACTCTACATTTGATATCCCGTCTCCCCGAGTGAAGTAAGTCCATTAGTGTCAACACCTCACAACACTATCTGTAATAAACACGAGGGTATATCACAGCTCATTATGACGTCACACACAGATCCGTGACGCAACGTCATTGTTCGCTGCCACCCATCCAGTGATGGAGATTGTTTGTAATGGTCAGTCTGGTGGAGAACCCTGCTAGGCTGGACAAAAACAGCTGATAGTGGACAAATTTGATGAAACGAGATTGGGTAATTGACAAGAATATTGCAACTTAAAGTACGTGTTTAGCGGTTTTATTGCCCGTGTTTGTACGCAATGAGTAGCTGAGACCATAGCTACTCGTTACAACCTTGAAGACTATCTGACTCGCCATTTACACATGTACGAACTGATGTAGTTAAACATTAAACGCCAGAGAATAACCAGTCTGGATTATTCCTTTGGACGTTCAAGGCAACATAGCAGTGGACACTACATGGATGAATCACTGAATAAAATCAATGACAAAAATTTGTTTGGGAAAAGGCTAAGGATGTGTAGCATCTTTAAGTTAGCAGCGGTATGTTTTTCAAAGAATGTTTATTACAACAGAAGCGACAAAACCATTTCCATATTCATAAGAAATCCCCGCTAAAAGCAGAGTCGATTGTACAATTGTGACCATATCTTTGTTTCATAAGTATCAGTTGTACGATGTTGTTTGTAAACAAATCGAGTCTGGACCAGACAATCCAGTGATTGTCACCATGCGATACGATGACAGAGCATGTGTTTACGAATCACTATGAAATAGTGATGATACCAGGTGTCCGTGGAAAGGTGAACAACAAAGTACCGTAATGACATGGAGATATGGTCTCTGCTAATGCAATTCAAAAGCCTGGACTGAACCAGACCGTCACACATTTGTAAATGTCATCCCCATAACATTTTGAATATTGAAAGTTACTTTTACCAAGAATCGTAGGATTCTCTTTGAAAACTTCATTAAAACAGCATTCTCGATTGGACCTAAATAGTTGTCAAAAGCCTGGATTTGCTGGAACAACATGAAAAGAATATTCACTATTGGGCAGTTGAACGCATCTCTTGTTTTTTAACAGCCTATTTTTGTCCAAATAAATGTTGAATCATATTTCCCGGAATACGAAACAGATGATTTCAGTGGTCTGATTTACAGCTTAGGTGGGTAAATCTGTGGAAGGGGAATTGGCTGCTTGACCATAATTGATTAATGTCAGATTATCAATAACCTGAAAACTAATTTTAAACGTCTTGGCCGAAATCCACTGTTTTGGTTCTGCCAATCTGCATTTTTGCTCATGTCCATACATAAATATAAAGTATGACATAAAATAATAAAATAAAGTTACACGGTCATGAAATTTATATGAGTTATCAAATAAGAAACAACAACAGGAAATACATTCTTTGAAGTAAAAGACACTCTTTTTATTTCGGAAGGAAAGCGGTCCCCTAAATTAGAAAAATGGTCTAAAGATGCAAATATTATTGTGTCAAACATGATGAGATCCGGGGTACTTCAGGGAAATCCCCTACTACACACCAACAATACCCACAATGCCGTGTAAATCTGTGTCAAGGTAAATCTCTCAATACCCCAGCAAACATTCCTCCACTCTCACTGTCATCAACCCGCTATAAAACCCCGTTGATGATGTTGTGACACGCAGGAACAATGACAGTGACGGATGGCGCACGCGAAGTGTCAAAACGTCACGCGCCATTAAATTGCAACGTTATTGGAGTCGAGGATGTGTACTGTTATTATCAACGCGACCGAAAGCCCGTTTTCGAGGAGATTCCTTCACAATACTTGACAATGGGGGCAAGCAATATTTGAATTCGCTTCAATTGAGTCACGTGGCATGCGGGCACCTGTTGTATGGAGGACTGTGATGAGTGTGGGAAAGTTGAAGGAATACTGCGACAAGGAGACAACCTAACACGTGCACACTTGTTGTTTCACGTTGCTTGCCGGAAAAAGAAACAGTTATAGAAGTGTTTGGCACCTTAATACATTAACAGTCTGAACAAACATCCGGCGATATATCTATTTTTTTTAATGTTCGTAATTTGTTGGGTTTTTTTTCACCTTAGCCATTTTCCTCAAAAATTCATTTAGAAAGAACGAATTCTAAATGAACGTGTGATCAACGTATGTAAAAATATATCTAACGTAAAAACATTACGTAACCTGCTTTTCTTAACCTTTTGAAAAGTTAATGTTCTGTACCGAAATTTTTTTGTGGATGTGAGGTTTTAAAGAGGAACGCAACGAGCTATATGCTGACTATTTCGCCAGGATCATACTAAAGGAGTTGACTGAGTGAGTGAGTGACTTTAGTTTTACGCCGCTTTTAGCAATATTCCAGCAATATCACGGCGGGGGACACCAGAAATGGGCTTAACACATTGCACCCATGTGGGGAATCGAACCCGGGTCTTCGGCGTGACGAGCGAACGCTTTAACCACTAGGCTACCCCACCGCCCCAAAGAAGTTGACTGTTGTGAATTCTCCCCCTTAAGTATATCACTTCTAAATGCCTTTGAAATACATGCTTTTCCACGTTTGGACATTTTTCCTTGCAGTATAGAAACAAAAAGTAACTACGTAAGTTACTTTCACGCTACAATAATTAATATAAGACGCACCATCGACACTTAGATTGCACATGTATTAAGAAATGCAAAATGTAAGAAACAGTGGCTTTGGACCGACACTGTTTTATGGGTATTTTGGGGGCTACAAATAATGTTTGAGACAACCGAGGAGTACAAATCTGATAAACGAAGGAGTGCTGAAATTGAAGGAGTGCTCCAGACAATCCCTATGACACAATCAAGCATTCACATTTCAAGCATTTAACACGATATCTTTGCATTTCGCATCTATGTACCAAAAGTGTACAGCTGAGGTTAGGGTAATGCTTAGTCTCTTAAACTATAACATTTTGAAGTCCGAACCAGTGGAGAAACTGGATTTGCTTTATTTAGATTTATATCATTACATACAGTAGAGGCTGGGAGGAAGGGAAAATGACAAGAATGAGAGAGTGTGACACATTCATTATCAGATACCCGTGAAGATCAGGGTTAGAATTGATCTTCAGTAACTCATGCTTGTCGTAAGAGGCGACTAACGGGATCGGGTGGTCAGGCTCGCTGACTTGGTTGACACATGTTATCGGTTCCCAATTGCGCAGATCGATGCTCATGTTGTTGATCACTGGATTGTCTGGTCCGGACTCGATTATTTACAGACCGCTGCCATATAGCTGGACTATTGCTGTGTGCGGCGTAAAACTAAACCCACTCACTCACTCATTCACTATCAGCGGCGATGTTATTGTAAACTTGAATTGAACAAACTTATTAACAGACGACTGCATATAGATTTTATGTCCACTTCAAACGCTTGTCTAACGATCACAAATATACTTTGTAATCGGATATGTGGCATGGAAACACGCCATGTTTACTCAACTGACACTTGCAGGTTGGATTCAGACTGAGAAAGTCTTGTTATTACTTTCTAAATCAAAACGTCAATACGAATATAATTTTGTTGTCCTACAGATGATAATATACTAATACTGCAATTGAGGTGCTGGTCTGAATTACATATTATCTTTACATGCAGAAGTTTCTAAAGGAAAATATGTATTGAAATTATTACCAAGCCTCTGTATATGTATAGCTTCAAGGTGAGACAAGCAGCTTTGTCTAAGACTTGTGAATAAAGTTGTATGTTTTGTTCTGTTTGTTTCTCGAGTCCGGATAACGTGCTAAGTTTCAACTCGTGATTAGGTTTTACCACCACAACACACAAACACACACACACACGCACGCTCGCACGCACACACACACCAGCGTAAAACGTTGCGCACTTAACAATGACCTGATATCCCCGTATTGTGGGTTCTATTAATATCAGAGTGAGATAAACTTAACAATGGTGACATGGTTTCGTCACATCTGATACCTTTCTTTTAATGCTTATTGGTTTTGCTTATGTTTAGGAGACATTCGTGTTTGAAGCGCCGAGGGCAGTGACATGGTCAAATGTCAACCAAGTGACATTTAGATGAAGAGTTTATGTTATTCTTTCAGTTAAGGAGTTGCATTAAAACCTAGAAGAGATTCGTATGACTGTGCAGACGAAATACGTTAACATGTGTAGCTTTATGTACACCCACGAGCACCTGTTGCGATCACCCAATGAAATGGTTCATGACCTATTTGTGCACAGGTTCAAGCTGACTGATTTCATCAAGGCATTACTATCGCTGCTTTGTTCATATGCCAGGATTTGTTTCAGAAACAGAACTCACAAAACGAACGAAGTTATATCCTAACTCGTAGCACTCATGAAGAGTGGGTTTGGTTTTACACCGCATTCAGCAACATTCCACGTATGGCGGCGGTCTGTAAATAATCGAGTCTGGACCAGACAATCCAGTGATCAACAGCATGAGCATCAACCTATGCAATTGGGATACGATGACATGTGTCAACCAAGTCAGCGAGTCTGACCACCCGACCCCGTTAGTCGCCTACTCATGAAGAACCGAATTGAAATGGCACTGTATCTCGGAATTAAATCTGTTTACCTTCGTGATGTGATTGAGGCATGCAAGGTGATATGTAGTGAGGATGATCTAGTTTGGAGAAATATCCTGAACATCTTCAAGCATAAGACAGACGCTGGTCTTTTCACTTCCACTGAACAGTTTGTTTTAAAAAAGGGATTTATCTATATCCTCTTCGCATATTATACAAATGGAAACTTTTGAATTTTGAGATAAGTTCAAATTCAGAAATAATTTTGTTGGTGTTCCAGATAGATCTTGCACCTTGTTCATCTAGTCTCCAACTGACATTGTGGGCTGCAAGTTTCCAAACTGTAAAATGTTAGGCAGCAGGGGGATTGACTGGCCCACATGAGGTGATGACAGCATAGAGATGGGTCAGGGCTTAACACGAGGAACAATAAATATGCCTGTCACTTATACCGTTATCTGATGGTTGTATGATGTGACTTCTAATTGGTAATGATCCCAGCACGTGCAGCCCCAATGCAGATGTTCTTAGTCTCTGAATCTCTGGTCTCCCTGGGGCTCCTTTTCAATTTAAATGGGCTTGTTTGTTACTATTAAAATTATATATATTCAGAGACTAAGCGTTAGTCTGGTCAAGGATCTGCAATACGCTGTACAAAGCTGCTTTCGTATAAGTACTTGTAGACCAACGCTCAGTCTCTGAATAATTTTGATAGTAGTAATAAACCAATTTCAACTGAAAAGGAACCCAGTGAGATGGGCGATTCAGAACCCGAATCTGAGCATATCTAAGTTTCATTTAGGGCTTTAGCATTGCAGGGAGGGCAAGGCAGTAGGGGAAATAATCTGGTTCAGAGACTTTGAGACAGACTAGCGTGTCTGAAACATAAAATCAAATCGGATACGGGTTCGAATCTGATTTGCCCTGGCGTTTTGGCCCTCAAGAAAGTAGTAAACATCTGAGAGCGTTATCTCTGAGACTGCACGACTGTTTACAAGGCGTAAAATAATACTTTCATCGGAAATGGTTCATGACATATCTTTAGAATTCTATGATTTTATGAAAATAGCACACTACAACTAATATTTTGAGCTTTTATTCTAAGATTCAAGCGTGCGTGTGATTATATGAGGATTAATATTAAAACAAAAGGAATGGGTCTCACACGCTGTTCTCGCTTTGAGTATCGAATCACGTTCTTCGGCGTGACGGGCTAGCTCCTTGCATGCCTGGCTAAAATGGTTTCCATAGAAACAAGGACAACAAAGATGTATTTTTTCATATTTTATTGTAATCCTATTGAGGGATTTATCACAGTTGTTATGGCAGCACTCAGGGGTCAGACGTTTGGTGGATCGATGAAATGAATATATATGTATATCAAACTGAATATAGACACATGTACAAAACAAGTCCATTTATGGAAGAGTTCACCAGGGTCTCCATGGTACCTGTTGTTCCGTCTTGATTTGTTGGGAGTAGGACCACGTGCTCTGAAGCCACGCCCTAACCCTCGAGTCTTTGTTGACCATTTCTGTTGGCACTTTACAGAGTTCTGAATCTGAGAAGCTGGAGGAGGGATAGTGAGCCGTTCCACGGCTGGACTGTTTGGTTATATCAGGAGAACCAGCATATCCACTGTCTGATAAACTGTTGTCTTCCTTCACAGGGGAAGTGTCCACTGTCCTACTCATGTACGCATGGGCAGCCGGATGTGGATATTGGGAATTGTAGGAAGGTACTGCACTCAGTCTCTCATAGCAGTTCCTTGTGTATGACGTCACAGCCTCTGTTGGTGACGTCACGGGTAAGTGCTGAATCTGTGTCATACGTCGAGAGATGTGTTTTCTCAGCTGACGATGTACATTGTCAGACACACCGGGAAGAGACTGGATGTAGGAGAGGATTTCTTCAGCACATTTGGAGAAGCCATGTTGGAATCTGACTTGAACAGCTTCTTTCACGTGTTGATGTGTTGTGTTGATCTTCCTGACATTCCTCAGATAATCTACAGTCGTCTCCAGGATCTCAGCCTTCTCCATTTTGTCAAAGTTGGGGTCCTGGCAACATAAGAAAACAATAAGTAACCAAGGCATACTTTAAGTAAAAATATCAGGAATTAAAACGTATTTTAGAATATTATAACCAATAACACACCCGCACTCATACGCGCACACTGGAGTAAATATGTATACTATCCCAAGAAAGAAACGCATAGGCATTTTGTATTTTTTTAAATCTATTATTTACCAATTGTGTTCAAACAATCGTCAAAATATGTAACGAAAGTGCTGATAACATGATTTTACACAATTGCACAAGTAAAAAATCGACTTTGCCTGAAAATGTTGATTTTGATTTCTTACAAGAATTAAAAAGGCATCGCCACAACGCAACAGAAATCACCTTCCAGTTGAAATTGTGCAGCAAAGAGCATGCACTGTCTAACTATAAAAATCTAGATTACTTTCGGAAATCGGCATCCGTTTTGAAGGAGTTTCAAGGTCAAATTGAATGCACAATAATAATAACAACTGAACTAGCATGTAATCATGTTAACTGTTTATTCTTATACAAGTAAAAAAATATTTTAACTTTTTTATATTTTCAACGGAAGTACTTACGTTTCGTTGTTGATCTCCGCACACGATGTCTTTGATGTCTAACAGACTCTGGTTTATTCTGGCCCGTCGCCGTTTTTCAGCCATTAGTTTTCGACCCTGGATGATAAAGAGATTGATTAATGATAAATAAAACTTAACATTAGTTCGCCCCAAATGTACAATGATTATTAGTTTTCAACGCTGAAGATAAATTACATCAGAAAAACAGTTTGCAAGTGAAGACTTGGGAGAGTGGAAACAACATCAATTTCACATGAATATGAAATTAGCCACGTGCTTCGGTTGTAAACATGCACTTATAATTTACAATTTGTTAACCGTCGATTTGAAGTTTGCTAAGACAGGAGTGAATATTTAAGTCAGTCTTACCTTTCTTCGGCCCATGTATTCGCTATCAGATTCCATATTATGATAATAAGATTCCATGAATGGGATGTGTTCAGTTCTGAGGGACAAGTTAGTGTGATGGAACGCTGCCTGCCCGACCCGCCTTTATACCCCCGACATTCCCCTACCCACGCTAATCTATGCACAGTTATGTTTTGACATCTGAATAGCCCGGTGCGATCCGATACACGCAGCCAATCAGCGCACGCCTTGGTAAGTGGTGGCACGCGCCGACTCGCGTTAAACTTCACCCGGAGACAGATGTTCTTCTCATGACCCGACAGCGATGATATTCTTCAGGAGCAGAGGCCATCTTGCTTAGCGTGACACGAGGAGTTACGACAAAGAGCACCCGGCCTGTCAACAATCTGCCTCATTATCATCTTGTATTTCATTCAATGAAAGTTTATTTCCACCTATTTGAAGCGTGACACGAGCTGTGTCGCATTCCGTCGCCTACCGTTACCTGCACTGAAAATACGTCAAACACTCATGGCCATGTTATATACAAATCATAGTGTTATCTGAATGGCACAACACATACTAATCATTACTCTAATTGAAAGTAATCATTGCTCAACCTTTTTGTCATTTGGAACAGTATGAATTGTTCAAAAACTGGACGAAATAACAATTTGACATCCTTTTGCGAAATATAACTATTGTATAAAAGCTGAGCAACAAGGAAGTTCTTTAATTAATAACTTATTTTGTCATCACGTTTTTAAATTTTCGGAAAGCATCATCGAAGACATTCTTTGAGCATATTTCGATTTGATAGTTACACAATGTAATGACTTCCTACTTGCTGACATGACACTTGATTATAATATTTATTTGTGATGTGTGTGTGTTATGGGGTTTTGGGTTTTGGTTTTGGTTTTCTTTGGGTTTTTTATTGTTGTTGTTTATAGATTATATTTTCACGCTATAAAGTCGACAATAATAAGATTCTAAATTAACTCGCGAAGTGTTTCTTTTGTATTCATATTTAACAAAATAGACATGTCCACCTTTTTTGCCTAAAACATGCCTTGATATTTTCACTTACCAATAGTAACGTTTCATTGTATGAATTATTATAATTGTATAGCAGGTCAAGGTCGGTTTCACGGTTATTCCGAGCTGTTTTACGTGTGATATAAAAGTCGGAAACTACAAGAATGTTTGCTGAAGGACTTTCTTGCCAACACAACCATCAAACTGTCTGATGACCTTATCAGCAACATCCAATTATCATATGACAAAAGAGACTCGTTAGTGTCACAACAAGAACACAATGAGAGTCTTAATAGTCCTCGTTAGTAACACAAGGTTGATGCATAGTAAACGTCCGTCCCTGGCCAACAGGACCGTGTCAAGACACTTACTATACTCCAGACGGCGCCATGCTCATTATTTTTCCATCTAGCATAAGCTGTTTTTAAACATCACAACTAATAACTTATAAAAACACTTACACCCAATTAACACACACACACACCTCTTAAAAACACATTTCCTCCTAATGTCCTAGGAAATTAAAGTTTACATTTGAAAATTGGATTTGGGTGAAAAATGCAAATATTATCAAAACGTCACTAGATGGAAACAGGCCCCCAAAAACTGTAAGATTATGGTTCATTTGTAAGACAAAATTATAATACTTGTATCTGATCGCCCAATAACTATTCCTTGTTTTATGTGGAACTACCGTCACACATATGGGAATAAGGACACACACACACAAATTTTCTTTGGGGTAACCTTTGGGCTTTTAGAAGAAAAAGAAACCTTAATTTTAAAATTCATAAAAAGTTAGCCAATGTTGATCTTGAGCACTTTATTTCCCCCACTAATAGTTTTAACTCCAGGTTTATTGTACAAAGTGTTATGCAGAAATTATTTGATACTTATAGACATGAGTGGAAGGAATCGGTAGGGAATACCTGTGGTCCATCTAAACAGGGGGCAAATAAGCTACGCTTTTATGGTACTTTTAAGGATGTTTATACCCCAGAACTTTACGTAACTCATCCCATGCCCCGCCCATACAGAAGTGCATATGCTAAGTTCAGATCCGGCACTGCACCAATTAATATTGAGCTGGGTAGATACAACAATATTCCACTCAACGACAGAAAATGTTTTTATTGTAAACACTGTGTTGAAGACGAAGTTCATGTTTTAATTAATTGTCCGGTTTATAGGGATGAACGTTTTAGTCTTTTAAATACTTGTGATAGCCTATGTCAGAATTTTAGTAATCTTACTGATATACAAAAAACTGCAATATCTGTTTTATAGCTGCCAAAACCTGCCATGTTGTTTTAAAAAGGAGAAAATCCGTATTATATAACTTTTAATTATTGTTATTCATAATACATGTACATGCAATTTTTAAAGAATTTTAGTCTTTCATAATTCCGTATGGAATGGCCCTATGTAAATATATGTTTAATTAGTTTGTATATATGTATAACAGGGGTGAGACTTTAATAAATAATCTGTCTGTCTGTCTGTCTGTCACACACACACATTACAACAGTACAAAACTGTTCTGATTCATTTTTACTGATTCTACGATTGTTAATGTCTCAGATTAATTAATACACTCACGATCTTGTGAACACCCGGTGTCAACACTATGTTAAAAGGATTCATCAACATATGTACATGATAAAATCGGAATGGTACAATCGATTCATTTTGTGGAGATTGTGTTTGGTTATTGAACTGACTTTGTTGCTTTCATTTGCATGTACACCGAAATAAAATACATATATTAAAATAAAATAAATATGAGACTTGTTATTATGTCAAAGATACATTCCTGTTCCTATTATTGATGTTAAGCAAATGTTTGTTCAACGAAAAACAAGACAAGTGTGATTACCAAACTATATTTCATATTTAGGAAATACCTTTTGAAATAGAACATTGTGTTTTATATTGTTTTGGGTTTTTTATTTAACGTGATCAATTCTAATTTATTATTATATATGTATTGACGGTTTGATTTTATTTCACCTGAATATTTGTTTAGTGGAAGTAAAAGTGAAGATGAGTCATATATTCTGTGTTCGTGTTCAAACAGAAAGAAACCGTAATTGATGAGTGATGATATATACACAAAATTTGTAGGTGTATTTTATCTCGCTCAGGATAATTAAGTATCCCAAAGACGCTGTTTTTGAAGGAAAATAAAGAATATATATCCAGACTAGGTAACTCTAAATTCTAGACCTTTAATGTTTTTCAATTTCTGAATTAAACGAATCCAATCAACAACATTAACATGTAAATACATGCATATGTACATATCAAATCCCATTAAATCGATATGCAGGAAAGGACATATTGGAAAAGCGCCTCGGAATCAGTATTGGCTGAGTGATGGTTTAGATTTTCCAAGTGATTTTGCAAATGGGAAAGTGGACAATACGAGATATTTGTAAACATCAGTTTCATAGGCGACGCATGAAATTGAGGAAATAGCCACTTCAAAACGCGTTCCTTATGACAGGAAAAAAATATTGTACATCAGTAAACATAACAAACACGTCTATCAGCTGGTTAGTCCTCCCACGGGCCTTGTTCCGCCAGGGTGACACCTCAATGGAAATTGCAATTATCTACGATTACAGTATTGTATCGGCCCGCATCCCACCGCATGCCGTCATATTGATTCCGGGTGTATCGCGATGTGACACTTCGCGTCGTCACGCGCTAGTAGCGTCACGTGACATACGGGCACCTGCGGTGATTAGTGTCACAACTTCCGGTTACCCCAGTTCGAGGCGTGCAAGCAGGCGCTCGGTGGACACCCAGCTCAATGAAACCACTATGTCAATATTTACAATATTTGTGGTTCCATTTGTGTGTGAATTATGAAGGAATCATATTGCTTTCATGGACATTTTCGGGTGGATATTATAGCGCCTTTTTTCTGCCAAGTTTCCCATTACCCACAAGCGATTGTGTTTCGGGGGGAAAGAGAGACGAGTTCATATCTTATCATTATTACCTGTATATGGGTATTTATAGAGCGCTATAGTCCATCCCGTTTACATGCATGCTCAAAGCGCATATATCTATTCATAAATAATGGGTTGTATGCATCCATATGTATTATCTTCCAAGAATTTATATTTTATATGTTTACACGTTTTTATTTTATCCTGTATTATCTGAAACTGCGGGAGACATTTAGATCGTATTGTAGCGCCATTAACATTTTATTTTTGTGTGTTTTGTACGAGAACACGTCCCGAGAACGTCCGTGCCCCGAACTTCATGAAACTATTTGAAATATGTTATGTAACACAATAGAATGAAATGGCGAAGCACCTGAGCGATAATGGTTCAAGAACAGTCATTGTGCTCATGAAGATAATCAAACCTGGGATTGAGTATGAAACACTCTACCTATGCATCCCTGTAGACTAGAGAAAGAAACTATTGGAATCTGTACCCATTCGTTATATTTGATTTCGCAGCGACAGGTTCGTGAAATCTAAAAGACCCGGTGCTTTTTATCAACGTTGTTTGAGAAACTGTAACTTGGAATCGAAAGAACCATCATACGTAACAGACGATTGCAGAAATAAATTGCGCTAAACTGCCTGGCAAAATGTATCCACTTCCAGTCTTAGAAAACTTATGCTCAGTATTCGTTTACCAGGATAGCAGTGTAACGAATAATACTGAGCCTAGGTTTACTTAGACTGTATCCACTTTAACACTGAATTTGACAAAACCGAAAATAAATGTTGTTAGACAAAACAAAATCCGTATGAAATACATCTCCATCTGATAACTATTTCTTGTTTGTGTTACTTTCGCCAAACGTGTGTGTGGTCTTTCTTTTGCTCGACAATATTTTGACAAAATGTTTACACATTTGATCCAGCTGAGGTGCTGCAAATATTATACTGTTTTCCGTAGTATGTGTATTTAGTGTGGTATACACCACTTTCGCAACATGTCCAATCAATCTGTTTAAAATTGCATTATGCAACCGAAATACGGCATTAGCGAAACCAAAGTAAGACGACGACAAACTATCGACGACAGTTTTATTCCGGTTATCCACTGAATGGACCAAGTCTGCAATAAACTAAACATGAGACGTTTGTAAATAATTCATTTATTTATATATTTATATTCATCACATTGTGTATTATACCACAGACAATATATATGAATGTTTATATATAGAATAAGCACTGTACGATGCGTGTTTTGAATACTTATACACGTATATAACTGTACACGACAAACAAGTCTATGTTATACATGGAGCCGCTCACCAGGGCCTCCATGGAACCTGTTGTTCCGTCTTGATTTGTTGGGAGTAAGACCACGTGCTCTGGAGCCACGCCCTAACTCTCGAGTCATCAAAGTTTTTATGGATTCTGCTTGACTCGATTTTACAAAGTTCTGAATCTGAGAGATTGGAAGGGTGATAGTGTCCAGTTCTGTGGGTGGACTGTTTGGTTATATCAGGAGAACCAGCATATCCACTGTCTGAGAAACTGTTGTCTTCCTTCACAGGGGAAGTGTCCACTCTCCCGCTCATGTACGCATGTGCAGCCGGATGTGGATACTGGGAATTGTGGGAAGGTTCTGCACTCAGTCTCTCATAGCAGTTCCTTGTGTATGACGTCGTATCTTCTGTTGATGACGTCACGGGCACCTGCTGAATGTGTGTCATACGTCGAGAGATGTGTTTTCTCAGCTGACGATGTACATTGTCCGACACTCCCGGCACAGACTGGATGTAGGAGAGGATTTCTTCAGCACATTTGGAGAAGCCATGTTGGAATCTGGCTTGAACTGCTTCTTTCACGTGTTGATGTGTTGTGTTGATCTTCCTGACATTCCTCAGATAATCTACAGTCGTCTCCAGAATCTCAGCCTTCTCCATCTTGTCATAGTTGGGATCCTGGAAAATTATAAAATAACATGAAATTAAGAGATTGAATTGCTAGGTGTAAATTGAATGCACAATGTGACTAAACTAGCAGGTTTATCATGTTAACTGTTTATTCTTATACAAGTAAAAAAATATTTTAACTTTTTTTATATTTTCAACGGAAGTACTTACGTTTCGTTGTTGAGCTTCACATACGATGTCTTTGATTTCTGTCAGACTCTGGTTGATTCTGGCTCGTCGCCGTTTTTCAGCCATTAGTTTTCGACCCTGAAGAAAAACACATCAGAATGTAACGAAAAATTGAAGGTACACACAATGAAAGTTACAGATGTGAAGGTTACTGTTATGAAGTTGACAAAGCAGTGACTTTATGCTTCAAAAACGACTCTATTCCCATTTTACCATGAATATTCAAACTAGCCACGTGTCTCAGATGTAAACAGGTTCAGGTAATGTACAGGTTGTTAACAGTCTGTATGAAACCTATCACAGAAGACTGCTGCTTACCTTTCTTCGGCCCATATATTCACTCTCTGATTCCAGGTTGCTGAGATATGATTCCATGACTGAGGTATGTTCAGCTGTGAGAGACAAGTTAGTGTGATGGAACGCTGCCTCTCCGACCCGCCTTTATACCCCCCGACATTCCCCTACCCACGCTAATGTATGCACAGTTATGTTTTGACATCTGAATAGCCCGGCGCGATCCGATACACGCAGCCAATCAGCGCACGCCTGGGTAAGTGGTGGCACGCGCCGGCTCGCGTTAAACTTCACCCGGAGACAGATGTTCTTCTCACGAATCGACAGGGATGATCTTCTCCAGGGGCAGAGGCCATCATGTTTGGCGTGACACGAGGAGTTACGTGGCCGAGCACCCGGCCTGTCAACTGTCTAGTGTTTGGTTCAGTCAATTGTTTTAATCCTATTTGGAACGTGGAACGTGCCCATTCTGTCGTGTGCCGCCGTCAGGAATTTAACAGTGGTTACATGCAAATACAAACACAATACTGGCAAAAACTATTATCAGTTTCTACATGTTATACAATCAAATATAACGTTAACGTGTCTTAATCAATTTCGCAGCCATTCTTTTCAGTTCTACGACACATAACAATACATTGAACACGTGTTTTTTGTGATCCGTTTCCACTTTTAATTGTGATTCTTAAATTTCGACATTACATGTACCAGGATCATGTACAGGGCTGTTAACACTGATTAATCCACTGTCGCTGTCGCCACAAGGATCACGTTGCCGAGTATACGGAACAGTCACCTGTTCTTTAGCTAACAAATGGAATGAACTTTAAACTAACATAATTGTACTAAAACAAGGGCAAAGTGCAGGCTATTTAATCAACACTTATATGTGTCGCCTCCCTGGAAGTATTAATCTAAAACGATGTAAATATGTACATTATTGTATCATATATATACACGTAATGTATCATTTTGTTAATGTTTTACGCATTGTCTGTGTTTTCACGTAAATTAGGAATTAGTCGAGTTGTATAATGTATTTGTGTATGGTTTATGAGTCTACTGGAGACACTCGAATTGAATCTTTCTCTTTCAGGCTTTATTATGGGACACACTAGCTAATATATAAAGTCTTCTTTAAAAACGATACATGTTTACAGGAAACATCCTCAGTTTTAAAATATAAAGTTCCTCAGTACGTAATTGATACGAATATCATGATTTTTATGATTAAATGCATTGTGACTTAGTGGTGAATAAATATTATTTCCTCCAGAAAACAAAAGACTGTATACAGTCTCTGTCATGAAATCTGTGAACACGTGATGTTGTTTCGGTTGAAGATATACTCTCTCTGATTCAATTTTGTTTCATGTTAATCATCCTCAGGTCTTCTACCTAAAGTACTAGTATCTGTACTTTACCGAAAAAGTGTAATCCCAAATATAACACGTGTTACATCTTGAGATTATCCACGTGTTGACCTGTTAATCTGCATTAATCCACTGTGGCTGTCGCCATGAAGATGAGGTCGTCAGACACGTTTATATTATTTGTAAATCTGACTAATATCTGAAATCTACTTGACTCAAGACGCGCTTTTAATAAAAGTTTAATCTGTGTATATTGGAACAAACGTCGTTACATTATTGTTTCAGTGGGGAGGGTACCGTCCATCATTAGCATAATTCTGTACATGAGATAAGTAGCCAGACAACTTTATTGTTTGGAAATCGACTGACTAACATATGAAGATGAGAAGGGAGAAACAGTGGTGAGTCAGGGCTGTTACTCACCTCCGTGTCAATTAATATAAGTGTGTGTATTTCTCATTAGGACACATATCACACACAGAAACCTTTCCAGTATTTCACCATTGTGAAATGGTGCGTCATTCTTCACTCAGACGTCGGGCCAGACACGGTTTGGATACCGATTATGTGTCAAATAATGATTCCTATAATCACAGTCTGGTAATTAACCATCTACTCAATATGGTCATCAGTGCCAGGACTTTCACTTAATGTGTCATTATTAGACTGGACGCGTGTCCTCAATGGAAGCATTCCAGTTAAAATGTATTGTTTTTCAGTGAGTAAATATATGTGTGGGGCGCTCAGTAGTCGAATAAGACATATGATGTACTCGATAAATCAAAAACATATTAAAAGCACTTCAGGCGACAAGCATACTGAATTTATCACGACAGTACTTACACACGAGTACAGATGTACACGTGTTTCATGCAATTGTGTGCTTAATCGTAATGTCAGTTTCTTTTTGTAGACACGTGGTGAGACAACAAATATTTTGTCCGTGATGAAGGGAAACAGTTTCCACGCAGTAATATGACTCCAAACTGATTCTTAAACAAAAGCGTTCACAGATATATCCTGCATTTTGTTGTAACCTGTTCAATTGTTATCTTAAAATAATTTATTCTTTACTCTGTGCCTTAAAACGAGTACTTACAAGCTTAAGTATTTAATACTCATATTTAATGTTCATAATACTGTACTGTCGTCGTTTGTGATTGTTATAGGTGCTTGATATGAACTACTATTTTCAGGAACAGACAGTTAGCTGTCAACTATTCACATGTTTCATGCCATCGTATACTTCACCATAATATTTGGTTCTCTTTGTTTTGGAGACACACGGTGAGACACAACAATTTTTTCTGTCCGTGATAAAGGAAAACAGTTTCCACACAAATCGTTTCTTAAACACCAGCTTTCACAGATATATCGCAATCACCGCCTGTATTTTGTTGTAACTTTCTTAATCGTGTTATCCTAAACTATTTTATACTATACTTTGTGCTTTAAAACCAAAATTTACAACCTGCTACTATTCACATTTAATGCTCATTCTATTCTACTTTAATTATTCAATACCAAATTATTGTATTTTGGGCCAGTGACTTTTATATTGAATAAAACTGCCCGTCTGTCCTGTTTATTCATGTTAACATTACCTTGGAATAACCCTAAATAAATAAATATTCACTTGAAATATGTGTGAAGATCCGGGTTTGAATTGACCATAAGCAACCCGGCAATGTCTTTAGAGTCAACTGACATGATTGGGTGGTCAGCCTCGCTGTCTTGGTTGATGCATGTCAAGCTCCTGGTGACAGTCACCGGAGTGTCTATTCCAGACTGTGTTGATCACAAACCAGTCGTACAGCTGGCATATTGCGGGCTGCGGCGTAAAACAATAACCGGCAAACACAGATTATATATAGAGAGAATGAACGGCATGAGTAGTACAGATATGGGTTCATTTTAAAATCAATCAAATTAATAACTTGTATTGATACATATTCGACATTCACGCTTAAGAAAAAAAACTGTTATGGTAACATTTCCTAAAAAATCTATCATCAGTGATAAAATACATATATGTTGTTTTTTTGTATCAAAAATACAATACATTATCTAATATTTCAAAATATTATGAAATACATATTTTTGCGTAGTCACAAATGCACCAATTTTAACATTACAACGTTACAAGTCTTACAGTTCCATTCAGCTTAGTCTCTCGTACAGACCCTGAAGCAAATATATCCAAGAAAGCCCACACAAGTCTAGAAAATGTGGCAAGTCTAGATTTCCTCAGCTTCTGAACATGAAGAAAGTCTCAGGGCTCCTTTTCATTATATATTTTTTTTTTTACTATGAACTTTTTTCAGTAAAATATGTTCATTTCAGAGACTAGTTGTTAGTCTACATTCAGCTCTCCAACTGGCTCATACAGTGTTCAACATAAAGTGTGATTATTCTCAATCAATTTCCCCGTCTCATTGAGTGAAAAAACTCCATTAGTGTCAACACCTCACAACACTGTCTGTTGTAAACACCAGGATATATCACAGATCATTATGACGTCACACAGAGATCTCTGACGTAACGTCATTGTTCACTGTCACCCATCCAGTGATGGAAACTGTTTGTAATGGTCAGTCTGGTGAAGAACCCCTCTGGGCTGGACAAAACAGCTGATTGAGAATAATTGGCTGACAAGGTATCAAAAATTACACATGCTGTGTTTTGTTCCAAGTTAAGCCTGTTTGGACACATTTACAATGTGTGGATACTTTCACACGTGGACGAAACCGGGGTGAAGGTTGACAAGACTTGTTGTGGAATGTCTCAGAAATAGATATAACTGGATATTGTGGATTCTGGATTTACCTAGTTGAGTGAAAAGAACGATTTTTTTATGTTTACCCAACTCTGCATTAGCATCCGACCATGTGCATTTTCCCACTCTTTGTAGAGAAGGTGGCGCCCCCTGTCGGAATAATTAGCGGTTTCTTAATGACCGTCAAATGACACTACCGACAGTGCCTTTCAGCGACTATTAATGGGACAACTGATTATAATTATCACACAATGCGGGTGATTATTTGACACGAAGTGTTATCATAATGTTATCTGTTATCATAATAGTATCTGTTATCATAATATATTTTATCATAATATTATCTTTTATCATAACATTATCTTTTATCATAATATTATCTTGGTGAAAGTGCCACCATACACCTGTTAGGGATAACGGTTCATAGCACCTCGCAGAATTGCCAGGAAAGGGGGGAATAACGGTTCCAAACGATTGACGGATTATTGTACTGTGGTTAACGTTAATACCATGTCATTCAGATAATATACCGATTGAACTTGCAGACAATACAATGATTGTTGTCAAACGATGAAACCGCATCAAACCGTCAAACTGATGACCTGGTTGAACTCACTCGTGCATGGGGGTGAACTTTCGTTAGTGCACGATAATCTTAGGCTCAGTGCTGAATATAACAACCGGAGTTTGCCTGAGGCACGTGCCTTCAGTAATGACCCCTCAAATAATATCACAGCATTAATTTTGGACTATAGGTCACATTCCTTCATTACTCTTCAATGTATCGCGATGTGACACTCCGCGTGGTCACGCTCCAGTACAGTCACGTGACATACGGGCACCTGCTGTGATTAGTGTCACAACATCGACTGTCCCAGTTCAAGACGTGGAAGCACTGGCGGAGGTCGTTCACGTGGATTTTATATACTTTTTGTGTGTTTATTGTTTGTGTCTGTTCAGAAGGAGTTTGGACAGTGGTGTGCTTTAATGGCGATACTGGACATCAAGTCGACACCCAGGTATATAGAGAGTTTAAAACATGGAGTTTTCGCCTGCAACTGAAACCCAGCGGGTCTGTCCAACCTGTCTTACCTACTGATTCAGTAGAAACAGTTAAATTTAGATTTCTTTTGAAATTGAACATGTATTTTACATGGCGACCTTCGGTGGTCAATCGACTGCCTATCACACAAAACTGAATTATGGTACAGACCAGTAAACCCGTGAAGATCAGGGTTAGAATTGGTCTTCAGCACATGTCATCGTATCCCAATTGCGTAGCGATTCTCATGCTGTTGACCACTGGAGTGTCTAGACCAGACTCGATTATTTACATATTGCTGGAATACTGCCGAGTGCGGCGTTAAACAACAACCAAACAGACCAGTAATCCCAGTTCACAATGGATTACAGTCAACTTTTCAACAGTTACTGTGTAAGGTTTAACGGCGATGTGTCGGAGAATTCACTGTCGACCGTATGAGTGATTATTGGTGATGACACTTTAACCATGACAGAAGCGTTAAAGTCAGTTATTTCAGATTAGGTCGAATGCTTCAAGTGTTGTTAGGGATGTCAGTCGATATGATTTGACTTTAGTTCGATGTCGTAGCTATCAAAAGGAAGATTTAAAGGAAGCTTATACTAAGTCTAAGTATAAATATACCTTTCCGATCAAGTGGAAGTTTTACCCCTTCAATAACGACGGAGGGAAAAGAAGAATAAAAAGCTAATGATATATTATGTAATAACTTGCGGTCATCAAATATCGACACTTCAATCCCCAAAACGTGGCAGATCTCAATTCCTGGAAACCTATTCTGATCAAGGTGTACACAAGTACATATATACCAGTACACCTTGATTAGAGTGAGTGAGTTTAGTTTTACGCCGCTTTTAGCAATATTCCAGCAATATCACGGCGGGGGACACCAGAAACGGGCTTCACACATTGTTCCCATATAGGGAATCGAACCTGGGTCTTCAGCCTGACGAGCGGACGCTTTAACCATTAGGCTACCCAACCGCCCCCCTTCATTAGAACAGGTACATTGTTTGTGTAAACAATTACAACAATGGAACGTAGATGTTTATAAATTATATTTCTTTAATCAACAAACAATATATCACAGCCCATATATGAGAAGTGTCCTGAATATAAAGCACTATCATGACGTAATCACATGATACAAAATCACAACCATTGTTCCTAATAAAGTTCAGTCAGAGACCGTATACCGATATATGGTCTCTAGTTCACTGTAGTATTTTACCAGGGTCTCCATGGAACCTGTTGTTCTGTCTGAATCTGCTGTGAGTAGGACCACGTGCTCTGGAGCCACGATCTAACTCTCGAGTCTTTGTCAACCATTTCTGTTGGCACTTTACAGAGCACTGAATCTGAAAAGCTGGATGAGGGATAGTGTCCAGTTCTGTGGGTGGACTGTTTGGTAATATCAGGAGAACCAGCATATCCACTGTCTGAGAAGCTGTTGTCCTCCTTCACAGGAGAAGTGGCCATATATGCATATGCAGTCGGATGTGAATGCTGGGTATTGTGGGAAGGTTCTGCACTCAGTCTCTCATAGCAATTTCTTGTGTTTGACGTCACAGCCTCTGTTGTCAAGGGCACCTGTTGAATATGTGTCATACATCGAGAGATGTGTTTTCTCAGCTGACGATGTACATTGTCCGACACTCCCGGCAGAGACTGGATGTAGGAGAAGATTTCTTCAGCACATTTGGGAGAAGCCATGTTGGAATCTGGCTTGAACTGCTTCTTTCACGTGTTGATGTGTTGTGTTGATCTTCCTGACATTCCTCAGATAATCTACAGTCGTCTCCAGAATCTCAGCCTTCTCCATCTTGTCATAGTTGGGGTCCTGGGAAAATAAGAGATCAATAAGTAACCAAGGCATACAACATGAAATAGAAGAAATTTTTAAAAACTCGTAGAAAACGTGAGCTCCTGTTGTGAACATTGAATTATGATTAGATTAGTTTTAAAAATCAAGAAATTAAAACATTGCATTGCTACGTGTACATTTAAAACATATACTAACAACTAACCATGTAAACTGTGTAATTTTATACAAAATAAAATGAGGTTTTTTTCATATTTTAAGCTGATGTACTTACGTTTCGTTGTCGAGCGCCACATACGATGCCTTTGATTTCTGTCAGACTTTGGTTGATTCTGGCTCGCCGCCGTTTTTCAGCCATTACTTTTCGACCCTGCAGAAAAACATATCAGAATGTAACAACAAATCGAAGGAATCACAATGAAAATTTCAGGTTACTGTTATGAAGTTGACAAAGCAGAGATTTTATGTTCTAAAACCGACTGGGACACAATCTATTCCCATGTTACCATGAATATTCAAATTAGCCACGTGTCTCAGATGTAAACAGGTTCAGGTAGCGTACAGGTTGTTAACAATCTATTTAAAACTTATCATAGAAGACTGATGCTTACCTTTCTTCGGCCCATATATTCACTCTCTGATTCCAGGTTGTAAAAGTGAGATTCCATGACTGAGGTGTGTTCAGCTCTGAGAGACAAGTTGGTGTGATGGAACGCTGCCTCCCCGACCCGCCTTTATACCCCCCGAACTTCCCCTACCCACGCTAATCTATGCACAGTTATGTTTTGACATCTGAATAGCCCGGCGCGATCCGATACACGCAGCCAATCAGCGCACGCCCAGTTGGCGTGGAGGCACGCGCCGGCTCGCGTTAAACTTCACCCGTAGACAGATGTTCATTTTTACTCCGCGTGACACGAGGAGTTACGTGGATGAGCACCCGGACTGTCAACAATCTGCCTGTCAACGATCTTGTATTTCATTGAGCTAAAGTTAATTTTACCTGTTTGAAGCGTGACACGGGCTATGTCGCATTCCGTCGCCTACCGTTACCTTGACCTGTAACCAACTGCAAGAGAATCATTAATGCACGGAGGACAGGTGCTTTTCACTTTGCTGCCGTGCATGGAACCACAATGCATACATGCATCCATCTGTCCGTCCGTAGGTCCTAATATCCACCAACATATCCACACACACGCAAGCGTAGAAATCATTTGAAACACTAAATGAAACAGTGTATTTATCGGTACAACTCCATTTATCAAGAATGTATATTATTTCTTTAAAAACTTCTTATCGTGACATCTTTTTTAAACAAAAATCTGTATAAGATCTCTGCCATGAATCCCGCTAACACCCGGTGTCATTGTCAGCATTAAACGGTTACTGTTTATGCTTCAACGTTGACAACCTTCAGATAATGAAAGTGTTAATCCGTATTAATCCTCTGTAGCTGTCGCCATGAAGATGGGGTCGTCAGACACGTATTCATTATTTGGAAATCTAATTGTAATATTTTACATCGACTTGAAATTTGACATGTACTTTGGGTAAAAGTCCTCTTTTGTGCGCAAAATTATCGTTTCAGTTGGGGAACATGATATCATTCGGGTTATCCTCAAACCACTGTGGCAGGGTTTGGCTATGGCTTTGACGCATCCCGCATTATAGATGAGATAAGTAGAGAGACAATTTTTTGTTTGGAAATCACTGACTTATATGATATATTTACAGCATTAATGTTTCTCTAGATCTGTGTTGTGTCGATGAGATAAACATTTGTCAAATGAAACAGTGGTGAGGCAGGGCTGTTACTCACCTCCATGTCAATTTATGTAAGAGTGTCAGTTACTCACTCCGAGTTATTCATGTACACAGGCCACTACTTTTAATGTTTTACAAATCCCTTATGCCATTCTAAACTCAGACGTCGGGCCAGACATGGTTTGGATAGCGATTATGTGTCAATAATAATACTTATAATTACAGTCTGGTATGGCTATAAGTGTCAGAACACTTGGATAATGTGACTCTTTTCGTGTCCCCTTATTGAAGCAAATACATTGTTTAAATACGGACGTTAAGGTGCTGGGTTCCGCTCCACCCACCACTTATTTTCAAATTCAAAATTCATACAAAAATAAAATATGCAATCCTAACACCCCCTTCAGGTTGCCCAATATTTCGCTCACCTCTCTTTGCATCAAGCACTGAATGGCCTGGACTAACGCTCAGTCTCTGAATGTATATAATTTTAATTGAAACAAATAACCCAATCTGAATTGAAACAGAGCTTGCCTGGCAGCTGGACTTGGGAGATTCAGAATCTGATGAAACCTAGACTTGCTTCATTTAGGGCATTAGCATGGCAGAATGGGTTTCGCGGAATGGAAAATAATACGGCACAGGGACTACTGTAAGACTAAATCGCCTGGCGAGAGCGAGAGCGAAATAATGTCGGAAAGCGCAAGTAAAATCTCCAAATCATCATCATTATCATCATCATTGGTGCTAGGTGTCCTGTTTGCGAACAGAATTTTAACTAGGGATGGAATACTGTTCCAGCATCTAACCTCAACATGAAAGCGATAATAATTGCATGCTTAAGAAAAATTCCATCTGCTTCTGGAGACGATAGTATGGCTTCAATATAAACAAATCTTTGAAGTTAAGAATCAAAATGTAAAACTATAAATACTAATTATGTTTTTTTAGTTAATTACAATATTCTTTCATATTCATAAGTGCATCCGTGTTTCTGATTTCACAATGACAGTTTTGCAAAATACATACTTCACATTTCTGATGACAATGAAGATTTCAAAGAGCTAAAACGGCTCCTACTGAAACTGGTTTCTTCAAGGCAACACCATTCAAGACCCTAATAAACATTTTAAACATTGGACATATGTCAATCAAAGGGTACTGACAGATTTGAAAGCGGTTTTAATTTAGTCTGTAATGAAAAAGAATTGATAAAAAAACTCTTTAATACAATTTGCCCTGGGTATGATAATACACTGCACTCGTTTTCGTTCGATATGATTTTTATGAACTCGAATATTTCCTCACTAGTTTCCTAAAATGGTTTCCCACGAGTGTGGTTGACGTATATCTTTCCGTGTCAACACTCTGTGTGTCATAAACACGAGGGTATATCACAGATCATTATGACGTCACACAGAGATCTGTGACGTAACGTCATTGTTCACTGTCACCCATCCAGTGATGGAGACTGTTTGTAATGGTCAGTCTGGTAAAGAACCCCTCTGGGCTGGACAAAACAGCTGATTGAGAATAATTGGCTGACAAGGTATCAAAAATTACACATGCTGTGTTTATTCCAAGTTAAGCCTGTTTGGACACATTTACAAGATGGGGACCCTCCCACACGTACAGAACAGTTGTGAAAGTTAGTTGTGGCCTTTGACCACATATGTAGGCTGGAATTTACCGTGTGAAAATGGACTCATACTTGAAACTGGGGAAGGTACAGAAAACATTATAAGACGTTTTGCAGATGATAGTCAATACATATAATGATCTGACAATAAAAATGCTATCAAACAGGATTAAATCTCGTAATCCAAAACAGAATTTATAAAGAATGATTATGGAGTCAAGTTAGTTCAATTGTAAAAGCAGTTATGAATTTTTCTCTGACACGACTGGTCATTTAGTTAGCATATCAGCGAAGTACTTTGAAGGGTTACTCTGGTGATAAGCTTTTGTCGAGGAAACCATTAGAACCAGTACACGTCTTTTATGTTGCCAATAAACAACTGTTGTCATAGCAACAAAACAATAATTAAACTATAATTAAAATAATTAAAACAATAATTAAACTTTAAGCAATAATTAAACTATAATTAAAACAATAACTAAACTTTTGTCGAGGAAACCATTAGAACCAGTACACGTCTTTTAGGTTGCCAATAAACTGTTGTCATAGCAACAAAATACAAACAAGAAAATACGTACTCATTTATTTACCCTATATTTACATTATAATTGATGACATTGATTGACATCTCCCTCACTTCCACTACCAGGTTTACACAGTTTGCGAAATAGATATGTCTAAAACATACTGATTTTAGAAAGACTAATTATGTTTACCCTGTCTCTGCACTAACAAGAACATAACCATGGCCCAGCTCATTACTTGCGTTGTGATACCTTTGCGATCTGTCGACTGGAGAACATAAAAAGGAATATACATATACTGGACAAAAATATTTAGGGATATATGTAAATTTTGAAATTATGAATAATGATGTATTTATTCATTGGCACATTTGATAAAATATCAATCATAAAAATACCAATATCCCTAACTTGTTTTGTCCAGTATAGTATACACATATCTCAGTGAGTCATGTTTAAGTAGGTTTAATAATGTATGATCAATATGAATCAATAATGTTATGATTCAGTACGGTTTATCACATTAAATATGATTTAATAAGTTCAGTATCATCAATATGAATCAATATAATTCAAACCGCAAATATGATCCAATAATGTTCAATTTGGTCAATATAATAGAATCAAGTCTAACTGCATGCTGTACCAATTTTTTAGATTCGATGTCTAGGTTTTTATCTTGTTACATTAACCTCACTGAGAAAGTGAATAATTCAAAATGATATGATGATGATGATGCTGATGATGATGATGATGATTTAGTGTTTAACGTTGGCTTCTGGCTGTAGCCAATGTCGCCGACGGGGTATGTGGGAGCTAATGTAATAATTAATATGTTTATAATAAGGAATAAACCACCATACCCACAAAAATGTAAATGAAGTGGCGTTAACGTACCAGAATTTGGAATAGAAACGTTTACAAAATGAGAAACCTAACGCACCTAATAAATACCAAATTGACGGACAAATTGACAGCGTGAACACTAGATACAATTCGAAATGGCTCACTCGCATATTGCCACCTGTCGAATACAGTGTTTCACACGATGTCCAGTCAGTTTGGTGAATAACTTCGTGACACTGACACCGTGTTGAAAACAATCGGTTTTTTTTTGTCACGTGTAATAACTGATTGTCCAGTCAACGCTCCGGACGTTGCAGGAACCATCTGCTGGGCACTGCGACCTTGTGCATCGGAATGCGACCACGTGCAGGTCCCCGCTGCTTGAAGAAAAGGTGGCGCCCCCTATCGGAATAATTAACGGTTTCCTTATGACCCGCAACTGACACTAACGACTTGGCCTTTCAGCAACTACTTATGGGACAACTGATTGTAATTATCAGACAGTGCAGGTGATTATTTGACACCAAACTGTTATCATAATAATGTCACATAAAGATGCAGCTCACAACGAAGCATAGACAGTGGTATTGATGGTTGAGAAAGACTAACTTCTTACAAAAATGTATATTTACAATGGTCTCTTTGAACATTGGATTTAGGGTTAACCCATTTTAATCTGTTTCTTGTGTAGCATGTGTTATACATTTACCTTAACTTTTCTGCTACTTAGATTGCATTTACCCATTTTGTTTACCCTTTTCATAGGACATTGATTCATCTCAAAGATATACATATTTCTTATCCAAACCGTAACTTTTCAATCATATATATTTATTTATCTATGTAGCCCCGACCCGTGAAGATCCGGGTTAGAATATTGATTTTCAGTAACCTATGCATGTCGTAAGAGGCGACTAACGGGATCGGGTGGTCAGGCTCGCTGACTTGGTTGACACGTCATCTGTTCCAAATTGCGCAGATCGATGCTCCTGCTGTTGATCACTGGATTGTCTGGTCCAGATCCGATTATTTACAGACCGCCGCCATATAGCTGGAATATTGCTGAGTGCGGCGTAAAACTCAACTCACTCACGCACTATGTAGCCCCGACCGTAGTATCACCATGACAATCTTTATAACAAAAACTAGCTATTTTAATCAATATGTTTACATTTTGTTGATTTTGTTTATTACCTATTGTTCCATTAAAATATCAAGACAAACATCCTCAATAGAATCTTAACTTGATGCAAGAGTTGGGTTGGATTCCTTGTTTCAATTTATTCACCAGGGTCTGGGGGATAGTAGTTAGTCATACAGACCCTGAAACAAATACATCCAAGAAAACCCATGGAAGTCTAGATTTCCGCAGTTTCAGGAATTGAAGAAAGACTTTGGGCTTTTTCTGTTATATTTCATGATTATTTCATATGAACAGTTTATATTAGCCATTTTCATTTCAGAGGCTATAAGTTAGTCTAGAGACATAGATGAGGGATCAAATACGACAGACCTGATTTATCAGCGAATCAATCACAGTCTGGAGACTGTTTGCTTTCAAAAGCTGTCAATGTAAAGTACTTATATGCAGGCGACATTCGTGGGAAATGCCCAAGGAACCGACCTTCTGTACAAGTTTTAACATCCCAATGATAATTCCCAACATTCCCCCACTCCCCTCCTTAATGTACAGCGATGTGACACTTCGCGTTGTCACGCTCGGGTACGGTCACGTGACATACGGGCACCTGCCGTGATTAGTGTCACAACTTCGACTGTCCCAGTTCGAGGCTTGGAGACGCTGTGTGGAGGTCGTTCATGACTACCCTGTGTGGATTATATATACTTTCATGTGTGTTTTCATTGTTTTTGTACATTCAGATGGAGTTTGGACTGAATTGTGTCTTATTGGAAATACTTAATTGGATTACACCCCACGACCCAGACATGAAAAGCGATGCAATCTTTTATAAAATGTTTCAAACATGGAGAAGTGTGGCAGCAGACATCTGCAAAGCAGCCGGACTGGATTTCATAAACCAATTTGATTTAATTCTTTAATGTTTAATTTCTGGTGAACGAATTAATACAATATTGGGTGCTTTGTCAACGTTCCGTGTCCGCTTCGAAATGGCACATATACACGACCATGTCATATTACATGTAGTTTATTCGCCAACGATACGTTGCCAGTCAACAAAACGATATTTTATTTTTATCGATGGATGGCCATGTTTTGTGGAAGCAAATGGTCAATTGCGTACCTCAATGGATACCGTCATGCCCGACCGTTCATTACACCAAATATATCACTGTTTGATATTGGCTGATATGTTCATGAACGGCGTGAATCTCTGGGTTTATTGCATTGCATCTGTTAAAATGGAGCGTTTCATTACCACAACGATCAATATGCCGACTCATTGAGCATCTTTGATGACGTCACATTGAAGAAGAAATTATAGGATATTTATATACCGCACATATCCACGCAACTAGTACATGCTCAAGACGCTGATTTTTTTCCCCTCGATCACTGGATGTCTATCTCAACGGCACATCGTATTATCAATCTCAACTCCCTGGGGACCATACAAATGAAATACGTCTCAAGTATAGACATTAGTATTTTCATCAGGTGTGTTGTATATGTTGTACAGATACCCCAGTGACCCTTAAAAATATTTCAACGAACAAAATAACTAAATAATGTTTATTTTATCAACAAATGTATGTTATCACAGTCAGTATCATATATGAAATGTCCAATAAACAAAGCACTATTATTACGTATACAAAATCACAACCATTGGTCCTAATAAAGTTCACTGTAGTATTTTACCAGGGTCTCCATGGAACCTGTTGTTCTGTCTGAATCTGCTGTGAGTAGGACCACGTGCTCTGGAGCCACGATCTAACTCTCGAGTTTTTGTCAACCATTTCTGTTGGTACCTTACTGAGCACTGAATCGGAAAAGCTGGATGAGGGATAGTGTCCAGTTCTGTGGGTGGGCTGTTTGGTAATATCAGGAGAACCAGCATATCCACTGTCCGAGAAACTGTTGTCTTCCTTCACAGGAGAAGTGCCCATGTACGCATGTGCAGCCGGATGTGGATACTGGGAAGTGTAGGAAGGTACCGAATGTAATCTATCTTCCATTGGTGACGTCACGGGTACCTGCTGAATATGTGTCATATGTCGAGAGATGTGTTTTCTCAGCTGACGATGTACATTGTCTGACACTCCCGGCAGAGACTGGATGTAGGAGAGGATTTCTTCAGCACATTTGGAGAAGCCATGTTGGAATCTGGCTTGAACTGCTTCTTTCACGTGTTGATGTGTTGTGTTGATCTTCCTGACATTCCTCAGATAATCTACAGTCGTCTCCAGAATCTCAGCCTTCTCCATTTTCTCAAAGTTGGGGTCCTGGGAAAATAAGAGATCAATAAGTAACTAAGGCATACAACATGAAATAGAAGAAATGTTTAAAAACTCGTAGAGTTCCTGTTGTGAACATTGAATTAAAATTAAATGTAATTATTATTTCCTTAAGATTTATACAGCTAAAACGCTAGAATTCCAGTTAGTGAAACATTGGCTAGCTACTTACATTTTGTTGATGTCCCGCACATACGATGCCTTTGATTTCTGACAGACTCTGGTTGATTCTGGCTCGTCGCCGTTTTTCAGCCATTAGTTTTCGACCCTGGAGGAAAAAAACACCAAAAATATAATATCATGTTTTCAGGTTTGCATACAATATTTCGGAGTATTTCGGGCATTGTGTATTCAATATTTCAGAGTATGAAAATGCATGTTATGAAAAAACTCCCGTTGAAAGTTTTGAAAAATGATGTAAATTCAAGGAATATGCAACGAACCGCGTGTTTCAGTTGTAAACAAGCACAGTTCAGCTTCAGCATATGATATTTTTCATAACAGTAAACAAGTGCTTACCTTTCTTCGGCCCATATATTCACTCTCTGATTCCATGTTGTGAAAGTGAGATTCCATGACTGAGGTGTGTTCAGCTCTGAGAGACAAGTTGGTGTGATGGAACGCTGCCTCTCCGACCCGCTTTTTATACCCCCCGACATTCCCCTACCCACGCTAATCTAGGCACAGTTATGTTTTGACATCTGAATAGCCCGGCGCGATCCGATACACGCAGCCAATCAGCGCACGCCTTGGTAAGTGGTGGCACGCGCCGACTCGCGTTAAACTTTACCCGTAGACAGATGTTCTTCTCATGACCCGACAGGGATGATACTCTTCAGGAGCAGAGGCCATCTTGCTTAGCGTGACACGAGGAGTTACGTGGACGAGCATCCGGCCTGTTAGACTAATGCTTAGTCTCTGAATATATATAATTTTGATAGTAACAAACAAGTCCATTTAAATTGAAAAGGATCCCTAGGGAGTCCAGAGATTCCTGAACCTGAGGAAATCTAGACTTGCTTTATTTAGGGCTTGAGCACTGCAGAGAGGCTTGGCAGTAGGGAAAATAATGTAGTTCAGGGACTGTGAGACAGGCTACCGGCCTGTCAACATTCTGTCTAGTGTTTCAGTCAATAAAAGTTTCAATCTATTTTAAATAGGGCGTGCTACGTCGCCTACAGTTACCCGGGTGGGCTGGTGACGATGATATCATTTACAACAGGAGACACTCTTCTACTGCCGTTCTGTTGTACAAATAATGTACCGTTATTGGTATATCCTCTGTATTCGTGTTCATCTAGATTCGATCAAAGCTGTAGATATGTGTTAAAAAATAAATCGCATTATCAATATCATGCCGATGTCCTTAATGGGTTTTTGCTGGACATATTTTGTCTCATGAGATTTGTGTGAAAATATATTGTAAGCACCTCAATACCGAGCTGATATCAAAATACACAACGGTTAATATATCATGCTCTTAACAATGATAAATACATGCATTCCGGCAGGGTGACCGCGGGTGAAATCCTGCTTGGTCATTACACTGAACACAAAACGAACACTTTCACCACTGTGCCAACCTGTAGTTCTTTACTGATATTACTGTTTCAGTAAGTTGAGTTTTAAAATTTGATTTCAAAATAGTACTATTGAGCTACTCGCCTACCTTTGAAGAACAACATCGGTAAAAACGTAAATATGGCAGGTTCTTTAATACATCCAATACATGTGAAGACAGCTAAATTATTTATTCTATTAATATTTTATATATATTTTATAATATTGAGTGTTCCATTTGAAATAGTTTGCCTCATTCCATATTTACCTTTCGGTGTTTTTCGAACTTTATTTTGTAGGCTACGTTTTCTTCAGTAGTTTCTTTATCTCAACGAAATGAAAATTGTTTACTCTGGAGTCACTTAGTCGTTCTTAATCCGTCTCATTAGATAATATAAGAAGAACAAGCGTGGCGCCACTGGAAGCACGGGACTATAATCCTGTCACTTGATCGTTTTCTTATAATAACAGTATATGTACAATAAGTAGGTGATCCTGAAAGACGGTAGCACAGGACAATCGCAACATCTTGTTTAGCAGTTAAAGGAAACAGTGAAGGAAACAAAACCATTATAAATTTTATATAGAGAGAAAGAGAGAAATATTTTATTCTGGTGTCATTATATCTAGTGACATTAATTATCTCCATCATCTTTCACGTTCATGGCGGCGTTTGTTTAATGTACAATGCACTCTCTTTTCCGCGCCCGCCATATAGCTGGAATATTGCTGAGCGCGGCGTATAACTAAACTCATTCACTTGTCCACGCATTCTGATGTACACTCCAGTGTGATCTGTTTGGTTGGCATTTTGGAAATTGATGAATAATAAGAAAGGTACAATACTTTATGGATAACAACTTCTTATTTATATTATAATGCAACTTTTCTGTATAGATCCTTTTAACGTTGGGAAGTAAGAGTGACAAGCAAACGCCGCATCTTCACATGTAGCTTCCTACGTTCACATGTATTATCAACAACTCTCTGTATCTCGGAATCCTCTCCCAGACCCTGGCATTACATGACAAATGCAGACAGACGTCGCCAGTGTAGAGTAGATTGACTCTGCTCAGATAAACAATTGTTCTGGTTTCAATTTGAATTTCACTTTTCAGTTTGCAAATACTTATCGATGAAGGAGATATGTTAGATTGGGTTGCAAGTCAGTCGGTGGCATATTCTGTACGTTTTAGAAGAATATATCCTTGTCCAACTTCCTTAAGTGGCATTTAGACGCTGGTATGATGAAGATGAGCACTTTTTATGTCTGAATATATATAATTTTGATAGTAACAAACAAGCCCATTTATATTGAAAAGGAGCCCTAGGGAGACCAGTGATTCAGAACCTGAGGAAATCTAGACTTGCTTTATTTAGGGCTTTAGCACTGCAGAGAGGGCTTGGCAGTAGGGAAAATAATGTGGTTCAGGGACTGTGAGACAGACTAATAGCATAACATACGGCCATCGTTGACATATGGGACACTGTAAGATCCATGACACATACACATTATATCAGTAATAAAATATGATAACGCATACAGCCATACACACACACACACACACACACTAGATGCGACGTTTCGGTGTAGATCATAGCACCGTTTTCAAGCAAATGTCATCATTTATCAAGGCCCAGCTTCCTCATTCTTCCACATGCTCTGTCTGAACCATCGCAGTCCTAGCAACGCCGGTTCAGACAGGGTGGACTGTATTCTACATCGCTATTGACAATTTTATGTTGCCACTTTCGCACCACACATTATTATGATAACAGTTTGGTGTCAAATAATCACCCGCATTGTCTGATAATTACAATCAGTGGCCTCAAGTAGTTGCTGAAAGGCCAAGTCGTTAGTGTCAGTTGCGGGTCATAAGGAAACCGTTAATTATTCCGATAGGGGGCGCCACCTTTTCTTCAAGCAGCGGGGACCTGCACGTGGTCGCATTCTGATGCACAAGGTCGTAGTTTCTAGCAGATGGTTCCTGCCATGTTGACCGGACAATCAGTTATTACACGTGACCAAAACTGATTGTTTTCAACACGGTGTCAGTGTCACAAAATAATTCTTCAAACTGACTGGACATCGCGTGAAACACTGTATTCGACAGGTGGCAAAAAATATGAGCGAGATATTTCGAATTGTATCTAGTGTTCACGCTGTCAATAAAACCATCAATTTGGTAACTTGTTTGAGTGGCATTTTAGAAGTTGGGACGTGCAATATTGAACAAACTTTATGGATAACACAAAGAAGTTGTTATCCATAAAGTTTTCCAATATTGTCATTTTGGTATTTCTTAAATCTATATTGTTTCTTATATTGACTTATTAACTTTCTGTTAACGTGGCAATACAAGACTGAGACATTGCATCTGTGAAATTAGGATTCAATTTCAGAAAGCGGGCAAAGAGACATGTGCTTCAACGATTTGAATCAAACTTACTGTTTTGCCAACATCCCTAAACCAACCATCCCGAATTACTTTTTCAACGGAGAAGGTTTTGCCTTTGGTCATAAGTATCGAAAATAATTAAATAAGTTTCATAAATTCCTAAAAACGATTGATGCCGTCTGATATACTGAAGATGTAATGTTAACATTCATTTTAAATGTTATACAGCATATGTCATCTTAACATTTCATGAAAAACGGGTCTTTTTTTTCTTTTAAGTTTTTTAATTGACTGAATCCCTTCTCAATGTCCATACACGCATAGGGATATAAATATATAGTTTCCTATGTCCAATTCAAAGTTCGTGATTATTGATACAGATATGAACATCCCGCTGCGTTTCCTAATAATAATTAACTGTACAATATTGTATAATAAATGATTAATATAGTCAAACGTCGAGGTGTTCCAGGGTTCGACACAAACGCCAAATGATGACAAAGTAAGGAATGGACCAAACCTTTACTTCGAGGCAGCCGTTCGACACGTCATAATTTCGACATAACTGTGTGTGTGAATGGAGGAAAGAAATTCACAGGAAAAAGTCACAGAAAAGTCACAGGAAAAAGTCACAGAACAAAGTCACAGGAAAAAAGTCACAATACAAGAAGACAATGGGTTGTAAAATTACCAAAAAACTCTATCTAACTGTTTCTTAATTAAATCGATTTTGCGTTTATTACTTTGATTATGCTTGTTACTATAGTAGTAACTGGGTTGCTTCGCAAATATATCTGTATTTAAATTCAGTACATGTATTGTAAAGCTACGTTGAAGGTCCCGGGTGTAACGGTATTTCTCGCGCCTAACACTACCCCAATCTGTCTGTAAATTTCAATACCAGTGTAAACATTCCTTCAAACTGTAGGCCATCATCGGGTCATAAAACGTCTTGTTGATAATGTCTGACACGACTTATAGACAAGGATGAGTAATGGAGGACGCGAGATGTCAAAATGCCACGCGCCAGTGATGTCTTCCAAACAGTCGGAAACATGATACCCACTCTCATCCCTCTCGCTTCACTATCCACGCGAAGACCGTGGGAATGTTCCAGAGATAGCCTTCAATAGACCCCGCGTGACACTTCGCGTCAGCACGCGCTGTGAGGTCACGTGAACATACGGGCACCTGCTGTGATTAGTGTCAACTTCTCCCGGTAGGGTTCGGGTGTGGTGCGCTTTGTGTCTTTTACGCTCGTTTTGCGGAAAATTACCATCGTAAAATTAACTATGATTGGTTTGAAGGAATGTGTGCCTATTTAGGTCTACGACTTGGATTTGGGTAACATCTGGAGGATTAAGGTGCCTGATTTTATCTGTGATAGCACTGTACACTGTGGAGCCCTCACAGGTTGCGCTCTTTTCACTGTCGTAAAATTAAAGTAATTGCAATCTGTGAAACTCATTTTTTGTTTAACAGGATATAATAAATGTTGTGATATTCAAGGTTAAATATTAATAAGTCATTGTCAGTTAGTTCTGGAGAAATGAGTTATAAGGAAGTGAATAACGGTATCAGCAGGTGAGTTTCAATGACTTGTCCATGTGTTGGTATCCAAGGAGTCTGTCATACAGACCCCGAAACAGATATATCCAAGAAAGCCCATGCAAGTCTGAAAATGAAAACATTCTCTGGGATGTTTTTCATTATATTTTATGATAATGTTTTATAAACAGTTTTTCCCCAGTACAATATGTTCATTTCAGGGACTAGATGTTATAGTCTAGTAGCCTAGTTACGACGACAGATATTGATAATGTCAATCACTGGATTATTATTGATTATATGGTCATCTAACTTAAATATTACTGAGTGGGGCAACCAGACAAGCAAACATGCATGTGATGGCTTCCGTGTACTGCTTGAAAAACACTCGATATGCAGTATTTGTATTTCTGTTCCGTTCATGACAGCACGTTCCAATGAGGGCGTTTACTGTTATACTCTAATTAACTCGCATTTTAACTCACCTGGTCCCGATTTCTCGAAACAAACTTAAGTCTGACTTTTGACTTAAGTTAGAGTTCTACTTAAATTTGAGACAATGCAGGAAAATGCATTTCCCAGAATAAACTGAAATCGATATTAAACTCAAACATAGTAAACAATTTGAGTTTGGAGGATAGATTACTTAGGTTCTTTGGGCTTTTTTTATTTTACAAATGCACTTGAGTTACAAATTCAGCTGTGTCTAATTGTCAAACTCAGTTTGAAATTTGAGTTAAAAGTTTGTTTCGAGAAATCGGAGCCTGGTTTTAGAAAGTGTAACCTGCAAACGCATTGTTTTTAAGAACAGTTTATCACGTATACATAACGACACGTACTCCTTCCTTAATTAGACATGTCCAGTTAGTGTATCCTATGGTAGAAAGGGGTAGTCCAGTGGTTATAGTATTGGTTTATCCCGCTGCAGGTCAGGTTTGAATCGCAACTCCATGTGGTTGGTTGGTTTGTTGTTTAACGCCGCCCTCAGCAATATTCCAGTTATATGACGGCGGTCTAAAATATCGAGTCTGGATCAGACAATCCAGTGATCAACATCATGACGCCCATCCACAACACGTTCGTAGCACTATGCCATTCGTAAGCCTATGGTAAAGTATAGAGACATACTGATTATATATAGGATAGCGTTTGTAAGTTTAATCCAATGTGCAGCAAAAAACTCATAACGGGAACGATGGAATGGAAATAAGAAAAACGCAATGATATACATTGTTTATTTTATAACACAGGTAAAGAGCACTTCACTTCAAATATTATTTATTATATCGAGCCAAAAGTTTAATTTTAAAGTTTTTTTTATAGTTCTGAAGTGAAAGTTTTCAAATGTAGTTTGAACAACATGTGTCGCTAGCTGGGTTCGAAACCAAATCGTATTCCGGGAAACTGAACTGAGCAGGCGGTTAGGATTGGATAATTATTTGTATTATTTCAATAAGTGAAAACCTAGTAGAGAATTCTGCAATGACTTCCCATTTAAAAATGGTGAAACAGTCACATTTCGTCAACCACCAAAGGACCAGTTATGTTATTGCAGGCTGCTGAATAACCTTGCTCCAAGGCTGTATAGTAGGCTATCCTGCCAAGAGGCAAGTCTAGATAAGCGGACCCCAGTGTTTTAGAAATTATTATTTAAACTCCTTTTTTTTACCTTAGAGATTTGTGCAAGTCTAGATGTAGACTAACAACTCGTCTCTGAAATGAACATATTTTACAGAAAAAAAATCGTGGGAAAAAAAATATAATAAAAAGGAGCCCTGAGACTTTCTTCATTTTCAGAAGCTGTGGCAACCTAGACTTGACACATTTTCTAGACTTTCGTGGGATTTCTTGGGTATATTTGCTTCAGGGTCTGTATGACAGACTAGCCTAGATGCTGACCTGACCAGTTTGTTTGATGAAAGAAAACCTAATCAGCAGCGGGTTGGTTGTTCTGGGTGTTTGTGTTTTAAATATGGATAACACAAAGGTCGAGTGAAATTCTAAATAATAATAACAGCCTTCCACCAACCATACAATTTGTGGGTGAGTGAGTGAGTTTAGTTTTACGCCGCACTCAGCAATATTCCAGCTATATGGCGGTGGTCTGTAAATAATCGAGTCTGGACCAGACAATCCAGTGATCAACAGAATGAGCATCGATCTGCGCAATTGGGAAACGATGACATGTGTCAACCAAGTCAGCGAGCCTGACTACCCGATCCCGTTAGTCGCCTCTTACGACAAGCGTAGTCGCCTTTTGTAGCAAGCGTGAGTTGCTGAAGACCTATTCTACCCCGGATCTTCACGGGCCCATACAATTTGTATTCCAACCAACTACGTCTGTCAATTTCGATGCTGTTTTCTTGCATTCTGTGACATCAACCTAGTTGCCTGGTAACCTTTAGTAATATGTAGAACTAACACATGGTTTCATTATGCATGATTTATTACATATATGCAAGTTTCGCACAACAATATCACAGCCGGGGGAAAGCGTCAAATAAATATCACCAAGGCCTCCATGGAGATTGTTGTTCCATCTTGATGTGTTGGGAGTAGGACCACGTGCTCTGGAGCCACGCTTTTACTCTCGAGTCTTTGTTTACCATTTCTGTTGGTACTTTACAGAGTTCTGAATCTGAGAGACTTGATGACGGGTAGTGTACCGAACCTTGGGTGGGCTGTTTGGTAAAATCAGGAGAACCAGCATATCCACTGTCAGAGAAACTGTTGTCTTCCTTCACAGGGGAAGTGCCCATGTACGCATGTGCAGTCGGATACTGATACTGGGAATTGCGGGAAGGTACTGCACTCAGTCTCTCATAACACTGTCTTGTGTTTGACGTCATATCCTCTGTTGATGTCACGGGTACCTGTTGAATATGTGTCATACGTCGAGAGATGTGTTTTCTCAGCTGACGATGTACATTGTCCGACACTCCCGGCAGAGACTGGATGTAGGAGAGGATTTCTTCAGCACATTTGGAGAAGCCATGTTGGAATCTGGCTTGAACAGCTTCTTTCACGTGTCTATGTGTTGTGTTGATCTTCCTGACATTCCTCAGATAATCTACAGTCGTCTCCAGAATCTCAGCCTTCTCCATCTTGTCATAGTTGGGGTCCTGGGGAAATTGGAAGAATATAAATATGAGTTCATGTCATATATTGTGTAAATGAGAAACATACTGTACAGGTGTCAATAAGTCATTATACAAATAATTCATCTAGGACATATTTATAAACAATTTGATTTAAACAAAAAACGATTTTAAATTGAAAAGGAGTCCCAGTCGGATGGGAACTTCAGAACCTGTTGAAATCTAGACTTGCTTAATTTAGGGCATTGGCATTGCAGAGAGGGCTGGGCAGTAGGGAAAATAATGTGGTTCAGAGACTGTGAGACGGACTAATATCTTCGTACACCAAATGAAATGTTGCTTACAATATCAATGACCAGATTGCCACATATATATAACTGGTATTATCAGGTCAGGTGTCGGAGATGCACTATGAACACAGTAAACACCACAAAGAGCTACTTACATTTTGTAGTTGTGGCGCGCACACGATGCCTTTGATTTCTGTCAGACTCTGGTTGATTCTGGCTCGTCGCCGTTTTTCAGCCATTAGTTTCCGACCCTGAAGAAAACCATATGAAATTGAAACAACAAATCTAAGGAACGCACAGTGAAAGTTTGAGGACACTGTGGTAAATGTTATGAGATTTAATATTCTAAATAAACCGTTAGTTTTTTTAACCTGTTTTTGTTTAAAAAGGCATTCTGTTGTAAATATAAACAATGTGAATATAAATTAATGTATCTTTGCCTCAGAAGCGATTGTAAAGGGTTATTTTCGAGAAATACATTTGGATTTGAAACGCATTTAGAAGTTGGACGAACATGACACGTTTTTCTGGATAACAAATTCTTGTTATTCTTTATACATTTCAGAGCTAATTCTTACTTCATCATTCGTGAAAATGTAATTAGTCACGTGGTGATGTAACTAGACAACATCTTCCAATTTAAAGCCCTTGACACATAATATACCTGTTTGAAAATAAATCAGTTACCTTTCTGTGGCCCAGATATTCCGATTCTGTGTGACTATCGAATGAATCCATGACTGAGATATGTTCAGCTCTGAGAGACAAGTTGGTGTGATGGAACGCTGCCTCCCCGACCCGGCCTTTATACTACCGACATTCCCCTACCCACGCTAATCTATGCACAGTTATGTTTTGACATCTGAATAGCCCGGCGCGATCCGATACACGCAGCCAATCAGCGCACGCCTTGGTAAGTGGTGGCACGCGCCGGCTCGCGCTTAATTTCACCCGGAAGCAGATGTGGTTTCCATGACCTCTCGAAAGTCTGACACTTGATGTAATATTCAAGTGCAGCCGGCCTGTCAACGCGCCTTTAATGAGTGTTTGTATATGGCACGTACGATAGCTGAAGCTTTAAAGAAACAATTTTACATACCCATAAATTCTTCTTTAAGAAAAGAATTCATAACCTCATTACTTGACTAATATCTAGAATTCATAAATTTTGTTTTATATTCTTGAGCACAAACATTTCTGGTGTCCCCAGCCGTGACATTGCTGGAATATTGCTAAAAGCGGCGTAAAACTGAACTCACTCACTTGAACACAAAACGCTGATGGCATCATATAGCATGAATCGAATAATGTTTTGAAACAAACAAAAAAAGGATTGCTTTTAGAAGTCATCGGGTGTGATTAATCCCTATTAATCTTCTTAATCTGTCGCGAGACAGATTATCTTGTAATGTTCCAGACTGTAAACAAGCTTACTACCTTCAGTCTGCTAAACCAATTATGATTCAGTTCCTATGCTCATCTAACATACACACGTACATTCATGCAAGTATTTTAACACAGTTTTCTTTTAATGTAAAGAATAGAAACCGGTTTATCGTCTCCATCTAGAACAGATCTGTAAAGACTGGATACTTACAGTTTACTTGAGTGGATTACAATATTTATGGTCTAGCATATGTTATGAAGATAGGCGTTTATTCACAATCTGTCTTCTGTGAGAACGGTTTCGCTGCGTTTTATCTTGACATTTAAACACTAAACCCCTAAATGATTCAAGTTGAGATTTTCCCCAGGTTTCGGATATATTTTACCCGGTAGTTGTTGCGTATGGCTCCATCAACCTCTATGTACATACATGTATTGGTTTGCAACGGAACTTATGAGAACAATGCTGCGATTCAATAGTCTTCCATAATTCAGTTTTAAAAGCTTCTGTACATTTATACATATATGTATAACATATGTTTGTCTGTTATACAGAATTGGTAATATAACTAGAGTCTGCCACATATCCACGCAAACCAAGAAACTCATGTTCAGTTCGGTCACTAAAAGTGAGTGTCATTCTTCAATAGATCGCAATTTTCTAATGCTAACATAATCATAACATATTGAAAGATATCAAGTGCATGCCAATAATGGTTTAGTCGTAGTTCTTATTAGACCATGTCAACGATGAAGTACAAATTAAAACGTTATTATTTCAAACAAAAACAGCCTGTTTACACACTGCTGCATGTAAACACTAGACTATCAACTAGTCTCTGAAATGAACATATTTTACTGAAAAAAAGTTCATCGTAAAAAATATATATATATAATGAAAAGGAGCCCTGAGACTTTCTTAATTTTCAGAAGCTAAGGAAATCTAGACTTTCCACATTTTCTAGACTTGCGTAGCCTTTCTTGGATATATTTGCTTCAGGGTCTGTACGACAGACTAGTACAACACTGACATTGAATGCAAATTTTGGACTGTATCTGACGCTTGGATTAGGCATGTAACATGCTCTGTTGAAGACAAATAAGCATCAAAGATATTGATTTATAATATTTTAAAATGATTGTGAATATTAGAAAATGTAGGTGAAGTAAACAGAGAATTCACGTTCGTAAAAATTCAGAAGTGTAATGTCTTATTTATCTTTCAGTATTGTCATCCACGGCAGTTCAAATAATAAACACGACCCTATTCCTCTACACCAATAAAGCAACAACGTGATCTCACCCCGACATTATTATGATAACAGTTTGGTGCCAAATAATCACCTGCACTGTCTGATAATTACAATCAGTTGTCCCATAAGTAGTTGCTGAAAGGCCAAGTCGTTAGTGTCAGTTGCGGGTCAAAACCGTTAATTATTCCGATAGGGGGCGCCACCCCCCGAGCAAGCAGCATGCACAGACACGTGTGGACGTGATCTACGTATGTACAGATGTGCATTTGACACGGATGTTTTAGTTCAATTTTAGATCAATTTTAGTTGAATCCGTATTGTTTTGTATTGTGAAATGACATTAAATTTCTGTAATAAATGTTATACTGTATTTGGGATTACACTTTCACAGTAAAGTACAGATTCTAGTACTTTTGTTGAGTTGCGTCCCATCCGGGATTCGAACCCACGCCGTCAGAGTCAGGTACCTCGCCAGCACACAAAGTCAGCCGCCTAATCCGCTCAGCCACCTCGACTTTCACTAATATATTTCGCAATAATTTAGCACGTGGGACTAAAAACATAAACTGAAGTGGTACACCTGGTATTGTGGGATTATTTAAATGTAAAAACAAACAAATATCATGTGCTTTTTGTGCAACACATTCACAATGTTTGTGACTTGTAATTAAAAAACACGTTTCAAATTATTTACGTTTTGTTTTTGGGAGCAAAATTACAGGCGTGCACTTTCTTTCCTTCGTCAGTATATGTTCGTTTTCGTTATTCTTTTCTTCTCCTTGTGAAAACATAGAAAATGCAACCCATGTTCCCTATCAAGCCATGGGAAACATGATATATACCGGAATCTATTTCCAACCAGTGTTACACTTCCGAAGGAGTGCCACGATAACATGTTATCAGTTTGAACTTTGACTTCAGATCATGTACACGATCCAGTGGTTAAGTTTTCGCAGATATACTGGTTCCTTTCGACCAAACGCAGATAGTTGATAATGCATACGTACTGTGTATATATAAAATATGACTCCCCTATGAAACGCATGTTGTTATCGGGTCGCGTGCCCTACACTATCGGGTCGACCTTGGGGTCAAGTGAAGATAGTGAAAGGGGACTAAGTCAGAAGCACTAGATGACATCGTCTTCAACTAGATTTGGAGTATATGTGATTCAGTCCAGACGATACCGTTGTGCAAAACATTTTGTGATAAATGGAACTGGAAGAGCTTTACTTTACCTCACATGACTACATTTTACCCAGATCATACCCAACAAAAGTTATTGGTATGTTGATGGAACGTTTTTTCTCTGAACGTCCATTGTGATATAAAACACAATGTTGATCTGGAAATATGTCTTCTCTATGAGCGAAAACATTATAGAATGAATGAATGAAAAACTTTATACAATGAATGAGTGACACCAGAAATGGGCTTCACACATTTTACCCATGTAGGGAAATACAGTGAAGGAAGGAAGGAATTAGCGAAAACCTTATAGAATGAATGAATGAATGAATGAATGAATTTATACCATGAATGAGTGAATGAGTGAGTTTGATTTTACGCCGCTTTTAGAAATATTCCAGCAATATCACGGCGGGGGACACCAGAAATGGGCTTCACACATTTTACCCATGTGGGGAAATACAGTGAATGAATTTAATTTGTCTGTTTTTGTATCCAGTTCTTGTGTATTTTGTTTAAATGATATATGTACTGGTGAGGTATTGATATAAGCAGAGTTCTGCTTGTTTACCGAACCAGATTCTTTAGGGATAAAAATATGTTTAAACCACAATGAATGAAGGAATGAATGGAGGAAGGAACGAATGAGCGAAAACCTTATAGAATGAATGAATGAATGAATGACACAAAATATACAAACAATACTATGATAGGCAAATGACTGACGAATTTAAAGTTCTGTATACTGATCGGGAATCTACCAACATGTTGGACTGCTATAGTTCACAATGAGTAATGAGTGATAATTCAATGTCGCATTTGTATATACCACACGATGGAAACCAACTATCGGACGAACCTGACTGGACTTGTTAAATCCCCCGTGCCCTAATCTACTTTTAATGTCGTTATCAAATAAGGGGATCTTATCTCATTTTAACCAAATTTGTCAACTATCAGTTAGATTGTCCGGACCAGCGAGACTCAACGCCGGAGAGGCCATTTACAGACAATCTTCATCACTGGATGGGTGGGCGTGAACAATGGTATTACGTCATTGTCTCAGTGTGACGTCACAGCAGTGTGTGATATATCCTTGTAGTGTTATAATGACGGTAAGTGTCGTGGGGTGTTGACACTAATGGACTTACTCCGCTCTGTCGGACGGGGAAATCAACTAAAGAGGTCTTCAACACTTCATTAGACAGTTATGGAGACGGGGACATTTGTTGATAGGGACAATTGGGGATGACTTGTAAATAAACGAGGTATCAGGGCCAACAAGTGTTCAATGCTTGTTTTATTTATCTAGCGTCACAGAAGCGTAATATACAGTTGTCTATTGACCCTGTTGTAATTTGACACTGAAATATTTGTTGGGCTGGCATTGTCGTGGTTCCAATACGACACCTCATTAGACTGACATAAAGCTTTCACGTAAACTCAGCAACAGCGTTTGTAACACACAAATAAGAAACCGAATTTTTAAAGGCATATAAAAAATCCTAAGTGTTAATGTCCTTTATTCAAATTGTTTAAAAACGCAGTTTTCAATTCATATTGTCGTTTCAAGGACATATGAATCATATTTATGTTAATGTATTATACAATAATATTACATTGCACGTGCATATATTTTATTAAAAAAAATTATTTAAATTTAAATACAGTATACATAGACTTTGACAGATGGAACATATTCTGAAGTCTTTGCAAGTATTTAATTATGTAGAGTTAGATATAGGTAAATCAGTCCCAAAACTACAATTGACGTGATGTAAACTGTAGGCAAAACGTAAGCATAGAATATTCAACAGTGATTTTTAATAGAAAATAGTTCCTTCTCAAAACTGGAAGAAACTCATTCATACTAATGGTTTCCAGTTTTTTAGTCGATGAAAATGCTTGTCTATGAAACTTAATATTTGACTGACATGGACATCAGAAAGATGACATTCAAACGAAATATCTGTTTTAAACACTTACGCAAGCAACACAAAATATTTAAATACTCACAGATAAAGAATATATTTTTACTAAATTTACCCACATAACACCTGTGTGTTGAGTCAGAAATCAAAAAGACATGCACATGTTAATTGTAAAGTATTTGCCATACATTTATGTTGTTGATTTGTCGACTGAAAGGGGAATGTTTTATGTGGGTTTCTACATCTCTACTGATGACATGATTGCGTTTATCAGTCGATTCTGTCTTGAAGAGATACGTTTTGGACATTCTATCAAGCAATGATAATAGTTTTCAGTTGGTGAACCAAAATGAACTTGATAGCGATCTGGCATCCATTGCCATGATAAACATTACTTCGGGAGACACTGCAGGTGGTGGTTTATTACCGAGGTGTCCATTATGAGCGGTGGGGACTGGTATCAGGTGGGGGGTGTCATTCAAAACACACCTTGTTTTGGGGTTTGTTGTCACAAATGACTAATCGTGTTCAAAGGGTACGGAAATTAAAAAAAGAGGAATTTACCTGCAACAGTATATTCTGCTCATTTCTACTGTATGCCTTGACTTTAGGTTTATCAAACTTTGGGTTATATACTCATGCCAATAATGGTTGTCACCCCATTTTTGTTAATTGGAGAGGGGTGTGGGGTGTGAGGTGTGTGTGTGGGGGGTGGGGGTGGGGAGGGGTGAGAACCATTATTGGCATGAGTATATTGTTGAAAATAGGCATGCATCTTACGGCCATTGTATTTGACTATGATTATCTCGGACACAGTCAAATACATTTTTGTGTTTAAAAACAAGTTCAAATGTTGACATCTTGGCTCAACGCCATTTGAAAATAGCGGCTCCGAATACAAATTAACCCTTTACATATGTACAGTGAGTAAGGGACTTAAAATTTAAAATTTCATTGGCATTTCAGACATATCGTGAATATGAAAGCTATATATTGATAAATATCATTCTTAACGATAATAATACTTGTCAACAAAGGACAGTAAAATAACTAGAATATCACATATTTATATTAAAAACAAACAAGTAACATTTCAGGTTAATGGTGAAGGAGTACGTATATACTCAGAGATGTTGTGATCCTAACAGTAAAGAAGAAGGGGGGTGGACAAAATCCCAACTGGACAAAATGCCATAGCACCAAATTTCTTTGCACTTTAGACAAAATCCCACACCAAACTAACAAACAAAGGACAAAATCCTATTTATTTTAATCATGTTTTTTTTATGACAGAGGCCAGTGAGCTAAGTATATAGTAGAATGTTTTGATGTTTTCACGAATGAGTTAAAAGAGAGTTATCAATAAAACTCTCTTCCTTATATGTGTATCACTTCCAAATGCCATTCAGTTCTATAACATGGCATAAAATGCACACACCTTTGACAAAATATCAGAGATGGCTGGGTCATAAGTAAAAAACGAGCGACAATTTACGAAACCGTATTTTGCATATACAGAAAGTGAGGCAGTTCCCACCTAAGACTAACATTTCATCACAGAAATGATGTATATATATTAACCTAGAATATAATTAGAAGCGACAAAACCCTTTCCACATTCATAAGAAATCTCTGCTAAAAGCAGAGTCGATTGTGACTGTCATGAGCATATACTTGTTTCAGCCTTACAGACGCATGATGTTGTTTGTAAACAAATTGCGTCTGGACCAGACAATCCAGTGGTTGTCACCATGCGATACGATGAAAGAGCATGTGTTTATGAATCACTATGAAATAGTGATGATACCAGGTGTTCGCGAAAAGATGGTTATAATCGGAACAGGGCTAAGGTAATCAAGATTCGTCTCTGATTGGGTCTGAAAATACATGTGGCATTTTGGTGAATTTTACAATACTGTGATGCTGACGTATTCCATATATTGGGTGGTAAACCACAAAGAACGTTCAGTTCCCCTCCAAAAGTGTTTACTCACTGGAATAAAGCCGGCGACGAATACATCAGTGTCACCTTCAAATAAAACATTTTGCCGATGTGTTGCATTTCAAAACACAATACCCCAGCCAACATTCCTCCACTCTCACAGTCATCAGCCCGCTATAAAACCCCGTTGATGATGTTGTGACACGCCGGAACAATGACAGTGACGGATGGCGGGCACGAGGTGTCAAGTCGACAAGCGCCATCGACGCCCATCGTTATTGGATACATCCACTCAACCATGGGCAACACAACCACCATTAGCTCGGAGCGCTCCTCTCGGTAAAATGTCTCCCGTTATCTCGCGTGTGTACTATCGTCACGTGTGCCGTGATAAGAGGGCAAGTGCACTGATTTAGTGTCACGTGATCCTATTAGGGGAAGTCCCGTGGGGAATCCCCGACACTGACAGTTGCAGATAATGTTTATCACACAAGTGTCAGTCGACTGGGGGAACTTTAAATGTCCTATTAATTGTTAGATGATGCGAAATTCGAGCTTCATTTAATAAACATTATGGCTCACCTTTTGTAACCTGCAGCTAGGGACATATTTAATAAAATAAATCATCCACATTATGTAATTCGATCCACAATCGATCACACTATATATATATATTATATATAAAAATCCATTTAAATTGAAAAGGAGTCCCAGTCAGATGGGAAATTCAAAACCTGAGGGAATCTAGACTTGCTTCTTTTGGGGTTTTAGGGAGGGCTAGGCAGTAGGGAAAATATTGTGGTTCAGGGACGGAGACAGACCACTCATTCTCCACCCATCCTCAGCCAGATGGTTGAAAAAATTGTATGCTGTTGAGTTCCCTACACTTGAAAACTGGATTTGACCAAAGCTTACATACCGTTACGTAACGTTACTAGGCTGTAGCGTTAATCGTTTTGGTCCAAACCCCATCTATGATATCCGTGTGAAATATGCTGACGTACAAAAGAAAGTACACATCATTTTAGGGGGATTATTTTCGAAAACACCGATCTTGATACACGTCACAAACAATGTGAACATCACATTATGTACACTAAATGTTCTGACTGGGAGAATAATAACACAGTACAGGTGTGTACTTCTATGTACGTCAGTGTACACCACCATCTAATAACTATTCCATGTTTGTTTTACCTTCAACCACCATCAATCGTAGAAGCACATTTTCTTTTGGACTGCTATATAATGTTTGTATTTAACTTTAAGCATAACTTAAATCCATGTTTGTCAACGATCTGGAGTTGAGTTATCGCCATGTTCATACATCTGATAAAAACAAATCCATTCCAAGCTCCTTGCAGCTCGTTCTAGGGTTCCTTTGTAGCATAATGCTATTAACCCATGCAAAGAGACGAAAGAAACTTTACCTCTGTGTTTCATTTCATCATGATAACTGAAAATATCAAAGTTTCGACATAATATCTCAGATATGAGGATATTACCCTATTGAACCATTTACCTCATTTTGCCACAAAAATCCCAACCACAGACTGTTGCATGATTGAGTGAGTGAATTTAGTTTTACGCCGCTTTTCGCAATATTCAAGCAAGATCACGGCGAGAGATACCAGAAATGGGATTCACACACTGTACCCATGTGGGGAATCGAACCCGGGTCTTCGGCGTGACGGGCGAGTACTGTAACAAGTAGGCTACCCCACTGCCCCGTTGAATGAATGAGTGGTATGTATTTACAGTTTTCAGTTACATACAAAACACAAACTGGTATACGTTTCCCCTCAGATTTAACCAACATGTTTTGTGGTAAATACACCCTAGCTTAGATATGGGAATAAATATACATCAACGTACTATGAATGGAATTATTCATTTTGATCTATTTGTATTCAACGCGATTTCATGCAGTGAAAGAAAATGGCATTTGATCACTGATACAACATCCCCATACAGTTTGTGGTTGTCTGTGACATGTTCCGTTGGTGATGATATCAAACTTAACTGACTGAATGAGTTTGGTTTTACACCGCTTTTAGCAATATTCCAGCAACATCACGGCGGTGGACACCAGAAATGGGCTTCACACATTGTACCCATGTGGGAATTCGAACCCGGGTCTTCGGCGTGACGAGCCAACGCTTTAACCATTAGGCTACCCTACCGCCCCGATATCAAACTTAAGTCTATAGTCTCCATATGTACGAGCGGTTCGAACCGGCATTCTCGGCTGGAACGCACAAACTACTGGATTAGCTGTTTCCTCTGTGACTCTGTGAGAAACCTAGAGAAAAGATATGTAAGGTTTCAGCAATTTTCCTGCAATATCACGGCGGGGGACACCAGAAATGGGATTCACACATTTTACCCATGTGGGGCATTGAACCCGGGGCTTCTGTGTGACGAAGAAACGCTTTATCTACTGGGCTACCCCACCGCCCTCAAAATATATATAGAACAATAAATCAGTGTAGCGTTAGATTTTATTCAGGTATCACAGATTATGGCACTTTATAGAGACAGCAACACTCATCACCAGGGCCTCCATGGAACTTGTTGCTCCGTCTTGATTTGTTGGGAGTAAGACCACGTGCTCTGGAGCCACGCCCTAACTCTCGAGTCATCAAAGTTTTTATGGATTCTGCTTGACTCCATTTTACAGAGTTCTGAATCTGAGAGATTGGAAGGGTGATAGTGTCCAGTTCTGTGGGTGGACTGTTTGGTAATATCAGGAGAACCAGCATATCCACTGTCTGAGAAGCTGGTGTCTTCCTTCACAGGGGAAGTGTCCACTGTCCCGCTCATGTACGCATGTGCAGCCGGATGTGGATACTGGGAATTGTGGGAAGGTACTGGATTCAATCGTTCGTAGCACTGACTCGTGTATGACATCACATCCTCTGTTGATGACGTCACGGGCACCTGCTGAATGTGTGTCATACGTCGAGAGATGTGTTTTCTCAGCTGACGATGTACATTGTCCGACACTCCCGGCACAGACTGGATGTAGGAGAGGATTTCTTCAGCACATTTGGAGAAGCCATGTTGGAATTTGGCTTGAACTGCTTCTTTCACGTGTTGATGTGTTGTGTTGATCTTCCTGACATTCCTCAGATAATCTACAGTCGTCTCCAGAATCTCAGCCTTCTCCATCTTGTCATAGTTGGGGTCCTGGGGAAAATGGAAGAATAACTATAAGTACATGTTGTGTGGAGGGTATACAATCATAGTAACTGTAAAAATATGACTCCTATAGTAATTGTATTTAATTTTTTATATAATAAACCAAAATACTTAAGTGAAATTATCAAGGTATTAAGAAATATTACACAATATTTGACTTTAAAAGTTCCACTTACATTTTGTTGTTGCGCCCCACAGACAATTCTTTTGATGTCCAATAAACTCTGGTTGATTCTGGCTCGTCGGCGCTTTTCTGCCATCAATTTTCGGTCCTTTCTCCCTCCCATATTGTCCGATTCCGTGTATCTGTCGAATGATTCCATGACTGAGGTGTGTTCAGCTCTGAGAGGCAAGTTGGTGTGATGGAACGCTGCCTCTCCGACCCGCTTTTATACCCCCCGACATTCCCCTACCCACGCTAATCTATGCACAGTTATGTTTTGACATCTGAATTGCCCGGCGCGATCCGATACACGCAGCCAATCAGCGCACGCCTTGGTAAGTGGTGGCACGCGCCGGCTCGCGTTAAACTTCACCAGGAGACAGATGTTCTTCTCATGACCCGACAACGATGATATTCGTCAGGAGCACCGGCCATCTTGCTTAGCGTGACACGAGGAGTTACGTGGACGAGCACCCGACCTTTCAACAAGTATTATTTGTAAATTTCTACTGAGAACGTGTCCCGTTGTGCCGTCACTGAGAATCTAACGTTCCGACATGCCGTTATTTTCACCTTTGGTTTGAGACTTAACGGAAAGTGCGCGAAACGCATCTTCCTATTTTTAAGTAGATGAAAACATTTACCATTGACAAAGTTAAGCTTTTACATCAATTTCAACCACGACATACGAGTGAAATTTTGTTGTAGGCTGCCGTCAGCTCTCAGCAAACTCTGACTTAAAAAATTATAGAAAAATATATAGAAAGGGTCAATTTTCGTGTGTTACTTGACCGCGCAGTGCAACCGTTTGTATGCATGAGACATACATTATTATTATTAAAAATTATTTTTACAGGCATACTGTTCACAATCATCGTCGGATAAATTGTAATTTGTATACTACTTATAATATAATTTGTTTGGAGAACTGTTGCCACATTACGTTATCTTTTAGGCCAATGAAATACGTTTAAACGAAAAAAGAAATTGCTAATTTCGTGAGTAGGATGGTCAGAACGAAACTGACACAGAAAAGCCTCTAATGACAAAGTTTATGACTTTGGAGAAAGTTTTACTGCGGTAGCAAATACTTGGAAAATCTTGTCTGTAGACATTTCATTACTATTTGATGTACTGAAGGTACTGACATATTTACATGCCAGAGTAAAGCCTTAAAAGATTACTACGTCACTGATATAACTACGCCCATATTAAATCCATATTGTTTTGAACTTCCCCTTCATCCACTCCTTTCTGTTTATCAAAAGACCTATATGAAGAAAGTCTTTCACAGGTTCTGAATTTCCCATCTTACTGGGGCTCCTTTTGTCAAATTAAAATAACATATTTGTTTATATCAAAAGTATATTGATGCAGAGACTAAGCACAAGTCTACCCTTATTATTCTATGTATTATATATATATATATATATATATATATATATATATATATATATATATAGCCTATTTTTACATTTGAAATAAACACACATGAGCAAATCCATATAAAACATGTCTACTTTTGTTAAACCCATGTAGCACTCGCAATGGCAACAAGGAGGCGATTTAATCCTAATTAATCCTGTTAATCAGTCGCCAAGTTAATTAAGTAACAACACCTTGTTAGACTCAACAGACTAGTGTCACGGTAGTCACAGTACTGCACTAGGTTCACACGTCGCCTAATATAGCAATGATTTGTCATAGAAACGAAAACTACTGAAACCTATATGGCCACGGACAGCTGGATCAATTCCACCGGAGGGTCTTGTTAAATATCCAATCTCTCAGCAGCAGCAACAATGTCAGTTTCGAAATTTCGGTTTATGGATTCGATAACCGGCAACAACATGGTTCAACTATACATAGTTTGAAATATGTTTATGTGTTTTTGATAGATTTCAAATTTTAGATTATTGCCCTCACCTGCACGAACACACACACACACACACACCACACACA